GAAGTTGGAATGAAGTCCTGAAAATCGGAGTAGCTGTCGCACGGGATGTACTGTAACAGACAGCCTGACATTAAACACTTAGTCATACGGCTGGGCATTTGATGTTCACACTCACAGATGATGACTGAGTCCTGACAGTTCAGATAAGTTGTCATGTCAGTGCTCAGTTGTATCACAAGTCTGTATGGCATGCATCAATTGCAAATACATTTCCAAGGCTCAGGTAAACCACTGCTCTGCAGTCGCCCAGTGCTTCAGTGCTTCAGTGCTAGTGTGGAGTGGTGCCTGTTGAGTACTTACTACTTTGCTGCTGTGCTACATAGTGAAGTTGTGCATTAGATACATCAGAAGTTGCATACTAGATATATTAGAAGTTGCATCTAGTCGAGTAAGTTGCGGAGTTTATAAAATACAGGATCACTTGCTAAAAAGATTAAATGTGCAATTGGACTGTCATACAATTGAGCATGCCGATTTCCTAACATTGCAGGCATAATTTACTAAGAGTTTAGAGCATAAAAATAACACTCTGTATACACAATAAAATCTTATTCTGCAGAAAAAATTGCTTAGTGCTGCAGTATTAAAGGATATTTTTGAGTAACAAGCTGGGGTCCCGCAAGCTCCCAAAACAACAGATTGTGACCGTTTGTGCAAGAAAGGTGGCAGTCGCAAAAATTTGGTAACCCAGTGCCAATGAGTGCCAGCGGGGCCTCCCTGCGCTGTGAGTGATTGCGGATTAGTTGGAATGTCTTATCTCAAATGCAATTGTGATTGCTTTCATATCCTGATCTTATGATATTTGGTCAAGAATTCTAGATCCAACAGAATATTATGTTTTAATGATGATAAAGTGGTTCACACAACAACATGTTCAGAATAGTCATTCTGGACATAATTCTGTGAAGTCAATAATTTTCTAGTTCCTGAAGTGTTATAATTAGACGAGGTCATCGTGGAGAACGAAACCTAGCGTGGGCGCCAACTTTGGGGTGGTGGCGTTCAGTATGGGCGCTTGATCTGACCTGCTTGTCCTCGACCTTCACCTCCTCCTCCGCTTCACTCATCTGCCGCCTTCTCTGCAGTGCGTGGCACGATGCAGCTACCATGTGGCTGCTATATGCACCGAGACTGACTCACGATCACGAACCTCGCCGATATGTACATGCTCTCTCGCATATTTGACCACTGTACTGACCAAGACTGTGATACTCTGTAGGCGCAAGAACGGCAAGAGCTCCAGTTTTGCGCTCCAAATCGACGCGTCGAGGACCTTGAGAAGCTACATAAGTACCAAGGCCGAACACGCGAGGAGTTTGAGAAGTAGATCAGGCAGGCTAAAGGCAGCATGTGAGTCCTTCCGTTCGGCGCGCTCTGCGCTACTCCCAGGACCCGTTCAGGAACGAATGGTCTCTAGATGCAAGATAGAAGGTACGTACTCTCGCATACGCCTAGTTTCGTTACCATGTATCTCGAGAGGACTCGCCTGGCTTCTGTCCGAATGGATGGGCGAGCAGTGCCGTCCGGGCGGCGTGCGATATTCGATGGGCTTGTGGGGATGGTTGTGCAAGCTCAGCCTGGCGTTGCGGATATACAGGAAGGGCGGCGCGCGGGGTAGTATATGCTACCTGCAACGCGCGTATCTCCGCTGCTCGCCCTCCATAAAGCCGCCCCACGCATCCTAAACCTTCTTCTTCACAGTTCAGTCAAGGTGAATCCTCTCACGCACGCTCGACGTCGACCCCCGCATCGTCCAGCGTTGGCTCTCCTACTCCGATGTCGAGCCCAAGAACCACAACATTCAGCACGCGCGCAACCTCTTGGACCGCGCGGTCGCCCTCCTCCCGCGCGTTGACAAGCTCGGGTACAGGTACCGCCAGGAGGGAAGAAGCGCCGTCGGCGACATCATATCTTCCTCTGGCTGTACTACGCGCTGTTCGAGGAGATCTAACCCAAGGTAGTAGAGCGCGTATCCTCTCCTCCAACGGTAGCCTCTACGCCGATATAGGTGCCGAATATCTCCTTCAAATTGATACACTTCCCGATCTCCGTCTAGAACACATCTGCTCGCACGAACGACTCATCCCATCGCGGACACGGTCGGCAGAGCGCAAATGCCACTCCCGGGAGGTGAGCTCCAGTCCTCTCTTGTTCTCATGATTGGGTTTCGCGCTTGTCATCTCTGGCCTTCTGGGATAGCGGCGTATTGCGATGGCGTGGTTCAACTCATTGGATGTGCAGACAGAGCTCCGTCTCGTCAGCCGCAGCCGCGGCCGCAGCTAGCTGTCGTAGGCCCTGCGCACGTCGAGCCTTGTGCACCGCATCGCCGTGGATTCGTCAGTTGTTGCGAACACTGTTCTTCTCTGCGGAAATCCGCCCTCGGCGCGGGATCGACATGTAGCACTACAGGTTATACATGGTGCGACTGTTCCTCTATGAAGCGAGGGCACTATCACCGGCGAGGATAGATCGTATGTGTACTAATACCCGCATGAAGCGCGTCCTTGCGGGCACTAGTGCGCGTCCCGACGTGGCGAATATTAGAACGAACGAGATCGGCGAGTACCATGCGAGTGCAGGCATAGCACGCTCTTTCGCCGCCTCGGCACCTTGGCATACGGGCTAACACGACGAGACACGGCTGCTAAGACTCCCGTCACAGCGCTCAATGCACGGACTTCGCGCTCGTTTTCCCGCAAGTTAGCTCTTCGCGGACTTAGAGGCACTCACTGTGCGTTGACGGCTGCACGGCCACTATATTAGGCCCCCTCACCCAACAGCAGACGACCGCCTCTGTCGTCTCCACCGTGTCCGCCATCCTGCTCATGGACGCCTCCCTTCTCCAGCGACTCGTCGTTCGCATCGGTGGTGGAGAGTGCGCGTCTCTCATGGCCCAGGCCGTCAACCTTCGCCACCCGGTGCTGGCCTTACTAAGACGTTCGACGGCAAGGCGTTGCGCAATCTCCCCGATCCCACGCATATATTCATAATTTGCGAGCACTTGCGAACGACCTCGGAAACAACGTGTAAATCGCGGATAAACGCGACAAGAAGCCACCCACCGATCGACTGGACGCATACTCGGTTGGCCAGACCTCCTCTGTCCCCCGAAGACATCGCCCGCGCGGTCGTTTGCGCGAGCAAGCGTCCACTTCTGCCTCACTGGCGGTGGCGACAACAACTCAATGCTTGCCACCGGCATGTCCGGTCCCGCGTCCGCGTCCTCCGCATTCTGGGCGCCATCGTTGTGCGGCGGCGGCGGTAGAGACGTCACGGCAGGCTGCGGGGATGGTCGAGTTGTGGGGGCGGGGCTTGCGTCGGGAGACGTGTGAAGTGCTGTAACACTTCCACAGCAGGCCAAGAAACACGAGAGTGCGTCATATCTGTTTCGCCCTTCACCAACTGACTTCGGGGACCAGCTTCGGACTCGGCTCGATGCGAAGCCCCTTCCCGGCGTCGGGGCAGCGGCATTCGCCCGCTTTCGTCACTTACGGCTTCGAGCGGTGCGCCGTGCCGGACGTCGTTTATCGTGTAGGCGGTGCCGCCGTCCAGTCAGGTGCTGCCCACCCAGCAGTGAAGCAATGCCATGCGACTTTAGCGGTGCAGGCGCACAATTTGAGTGCGTCGGGCACCCTTTTTGAGAACATTGATCCTTCCCGGCAGACGGTGAAGAGCACGGTGTGATGACAGGAATAAGCTCGCGGCCGGCGCGTTCGCGCGGAGGCGCGCCGCCGCACTCCAGTCGACGGCGGCTGGCTCCTGCGAGAAAGGATATAAGGGTGCGGCGAGGACGAGGGTGGTCGTCGTGGTCGTCGCACACCTCCTCCAGTCCTCGTACTTACACAGGGTAGGTATCACTACGACTCGCCGCTGTCCTTCTTGTACATTAACCCTGCCTATTCTGCGCAGACCCGTTCCGACAACATGGCACACGCTCTGCGCAAGAACTCCAAAGGCCCTTGGGCAGGTCGCATCCAGGAGATGAGGTCGAAACTACGACGCTGCTTTAAAGCCGCCCTCGGTGAGCACTTTCCTATGCACTACACTTCAGCGACGTTGAGGCTGATATTTCCCGCCCTGCGCAGTCAAGCTCACGGGCAGCAAGGAGGCGCGCATGTATTGGACGGTACATGGATACCACCGGTGCCTCTATGTGCGCCGCCACGTCTACCTCGCGGGCTGGCCAACCGACATTCGTTTCACGAACTTGAGCAACCACGGGATGGCCGTCATCATGCGCCTGCAGAACCTCTGGTCCATGAAGAAACTGAAGTTCAAATTCGTCGACGACGACACCTACTACCAGAACGCGAGGACGCCGGAGGCCGTCGCGCTCGCGGACGAGTACGACCTCGGGAAGCCGTTCGCCGGCCGCAGCGACGTCAAGAAGTCCCGGTTCAACCACGAGACGGGCGAGCCCATCTCGAAGCGCGCGAAGCTGCGGACTCGCGGCGCGATCACCCCCAAGTACACGGAGGAGGAGAAGGAGTACGCCGTCGAGTGCATCCTGGACCGCCGCCCTCGAGGCCGGGGCTTCCAGTACCTGGTCCGCTGGCAGGGCTACGGCCCCGAGGACGACTTGTGGCTGCCTGGGCGCGAGGTTGAGAACCTCACTGCTCTTGATGCCTTCCTGCGCGCGCGCGGCGAGAGCTGCTAGGATAGTCGTTTGTATATCATTATCTATATGATAGCTATGCGTTCAATGTCTGTGCCCTGCGCTACTTCGTCTTGATTCCGATTGATACCCGTCGAGCAACGATTTTATTTGGACGAGGTAGGACCGTCAAGCATGAGCTTCGCGAAGGACAGCCTGTCGGACTGAGGTCAACTCAGAGCGCCCAGCCAAATAAGCGCGGACATGCGTGCCGGGCAAGTGCGTCACTGATCGTCTTTTCCCCGCACTCGACGACCTCGACCTCCCGCTCATCGTCTCTCGCGCCCTCGACCATCTCTGCTCGCGATGAGCTGTCACTGCTGCTGAACGTTGAACGTCTCGGTCTATGTTCTCCTCTCTCGTCCGCCCTCCATGGCGGCGGCTCACCTCTGCAACGCTCTCACCACGCCCTGCGTATCCTGCCCGCACATCGAGCTACTCCACCGCGTCCGGGACCCGCCCAGCATCGCGCACCAGCCGCTACTCCCGCCGCGCGGCCTTCATCGTCGTCGGTGCAGGTCTCGCATACGGTCTCGACCGCGAGTTCAATGCGTCGGCCATCGGGAGAAATCTGAGGACGCTGGGGACGGTGAGTAGTCTACTGCGCTCCGATCGCGTGTCCAGCTCTCACACGACCTCCTCCATGCGCAGTGCTTAACGATCGCGGTAGACTACAAGCTTAACTTTACGCCCGAGAAGGCGGACGAGATTCCCGCTCTCCAGGAACGCGTCGCAGAACGCGTTTATGACCTTCTTACGTCCAACGGCGGCCTCTACATTAAGATCGGTGCGTCGCAGCCCCAATACTCGCTGGCTCCTGCTCAAGCCTCGTCTGTACAGGCCAAGCCATTGGTAATAACGCTGCCCTCCTTCCCAAACCCCTCCAAGAGAAGTTTGGCAAGCTCTTCGACGATGCCCCGCAAGTGCCCTACTCCGTGGTCGACTCTGTCTTCCGCAAAGAGTTCGGGCGCGCGCCTGCGGGACCCGATGGGGTGTTCGAGGTATTCGAAGAGCAAGCAGCCGCGAGCGCGAGTATCGCGCAAGTGCATCGCGCGAAGCTGAAGACCACAGACGGCTCGGAACAGTGGGTCGCTGTCAAAATACAGAAACCGGACGTCGGGAAGCAGGTCGAATGGGATCTCGGGGCATTCCGTGCCGTCATGTGGGTGTACGAGAACTACCTGTTTGACCTACCCGTCTATTTCGCTGTCGGTGAGTGCGTAAACGCGTGTTTGCCGCTCACGCGCTCACACCGTGCAGACTTCATCACGGACCACCTACGACGCGAGCTCGACTTCGAGCTCGAGGCCGAAAACGCGCGCGCCACCGCCGCATTCGTCGCCTCCGAACCCCGCCTCGCCGACCGCGTTTACATTCCACGCGTCTTCCCCTCCCTCTCCACCAAGAAGATCATGACCGCCGAGTGGATCGACGGCGTCCGGCTGAGCGACAAGCGCGGCATCGCGCGCCTCATGGGCGACGACCGCGCCTCCGCCTCCTCCACAGACCCGCTCGCGGCCGACCGCTTCCCGCCGCTGCGCGGGGGGGCGAAGTGGGTGATGCAGACGATGATCGACCTCTTCAGCGCGCAGATCTTCGACTGGGGCTGGGTGCACTGCGACCCGCACCCGGGGAACGTGATCGTGCGCCCGCACCCAGACCCGCGACGCGCTGCACGGGGCGCGGCGCAGCTCGTGCTGCTCGACCACGGGCTGTATGTGCGCCTGCCGCGCGAGTTCCAGCAGCAGTACGCGCGGCTGTGGAAGGCGCTGCTGACGGTCGACTTTGCGGCGGTGAGCGCGGTCGCGGGCGAGTGGGGCATAGGGGCGCCGGACCTGTTTGCGAGCGCGACGCTCATGCGGCCGATTCGGTTCGCAGAGCAGGCACCGTTGCCGGACTTTGAGCGGATGAACGACTATGAGCGCGGGGTTGCTATGAAGGAGAAGCTGAAGAGCTTCCTGACAGACACGGACCGCATGCCGAAGCAGCTCATCTTCGTCGGCCGGAACATGCGGTGAGTACGCTTTAGCACTTCTTTGCGTTCTTCACTAATTTGCATCCTCGACAGGATTGTCCAAGGTATGTACTACTCTGCAATACTCACCCTCACGCTGACCGCCGCTTTACATAGGTAATAACCAGACGTTCGGCTCGCCCGTAAACCGAATCCGCATCACAGGGTACTGGGCCTCCCGCTCGCTCGCGACCTCCCCTAGCCTGGGTCTCGCAGAGCGCGCGCGCGAGCTCGGCCGCCACATCGTGTTCCTCGCGATCATGTTCTCCATTGACACGGTATTCTGGGCGACACGGGTGCGTCAGTGGTTTGCCGCGCGGTTTGGTCGCCTGCGCGGGGGCGACGGGTTCGAGGACGAGCTCGAGCGGACGATGCGCGACTTTGCGAAGTCCAACTTCGGCGTCGACATTCCCGAGAACGTGTTCGACGGCTGAGCGCTGAGCACGAGGGTTAATGGCGATAGATTAGATGTTCTTGCTAGATGATACACACGCAATCCCGGACCATGACCAGCATTCATGTATTGTAATCCACGAGTAGCGCCAGACACCGACAGTCGCGCGCCCAATAATACGGTAGTAACGGGGTAACAGAAAGGAAGGGGTAGTGCCGATGGGCAGTCGGAATCCGAAGTGCCGCTCCGTATCCAGGAGAAAAGGTAGGTAGGTGTTACAGAAGTGCGCCGCCGCGAAACTTACAGCTTCATGAGGCCCTTCATCGCGTTCGCGACCGCGAAGCTCGACTTCGCCATCACCTGGCGCGCCTCCTTCGAGACCTCCGTCTGCGCCTGCACCTCGCTGAGCTTGTTCGCGTGCTCGCCGAGCTCGCGCAGGATCTCCTCGCCCTGCGCCTGTGCGCCCGGCGGGAAGTTGTCCTTGCACACCGCGACGATGCTCGACACGATCGTGATGATCTGCGTCAGGTTCTCGTTCAGCGTCGGCGACGGCGTCGGGCTCCGCACGCCTGACAGCACACTTTGGATCGCGTATACGATGGCTTCTGTCTGCGCCTCGAGGTACGGCTGCAAAGGAAGCGCAGTGAGCTATTTGCACGGACAATCTTACGAAGAGCGCACCTTGAGCTCCGCCCACGCCTCGTCGGGCCCCTCGCCCGTCGCCGAGCTGTCGCTCTTGCTCCCGTTCATCATACCCTTCGGCTGGTCAAAGATCGGCGGCGGCGAGCTCGCAGCCGAGCTTGACATATTCGACGGCGGCCTACGCCCCTCAAGCGACGGCCTGCCCGCCGCGCCGCGCGGCGGTGACACCGGCGAATAGCGGTCGTCCCCATTGCGCGAGCTCGTGCTGCTGCCCGCGCGCTGGTGCGGCGACCGCAGCTCCTCCACCGCGCGCAGCGCCGGGGCGTACCCGTTGGTAGCCGAACTAGCGGCAGCGGCGGGCGCGAACTGCTCCTGCTCCGCCTTGGTCGCCCGCCGGATGTGCACCGTCTTCCCGATCTCGGTCACCGTGGCGGAGACGTGGCTCGCGGCGGCGTCGAGCAGAGAAACGGGCGCCATGCCCGCACTCGTCGCGTGTGTCTTCGCCGCTGCGACGAGGTTGCTGAGCGTTGCGTCGAGCCGTTCGCGGAGGGACTGGAGTGCTTCGAGGTCGACCTCGGCGCGGTCGCGCTGCGGTCGTCGCTCGAATGCGCGGACATCGTCGCTAATTGCGGAGACGGCGTTGACGACGTTCTTCATCGGCTGCAGTACACGCGTAGGCGCATTGGACCGGCCCGCCGTGAGGAGACTGTCGATGGATGAGACGAAGGCGGTGACGTGGATGTCGACGAGCGCGCCGTCCCGGGCGACGGGCAGCTGATCGTCGACCTTTGGCGGTTGTAGGAACAGTTGTGATGTCGCTGCAGTATAATGTAAGCACATGTCGACAGGGGAGCACGCGTACACGTACCCTTCACACTCCGGAGTTCCGTCTTTGCTTGTTCGTACTTGCGCTTGTAGTCCTTCATCTGCGTCTCGAGATCGCGGATGATGGCTAGGTCGTTATCCTTCGCCGCCGCGAGGTCGTCGTTCCGCTGCGACAAGTCTGTCAGCTCTGATACAAGCCCGTCCATTTCCGCACGGAGCTGATCGAGCATCTGGGACTCAACCTGGGGACCGTTAGAACTATGCGAGACGAGCAAATGAGGAGCACGTACCGAGCCGCCTCCCCCACCAGCGTCGAGCTGCTCGCGCAAAGACTGGATCTCTTCCTCGTCCTGCCGTTGCCGCCGCGCCGCCATATCCCTCTCGCGCGCCCGCTCCTCGCGGAGGGTCTCCAGCTCCTGCTGCAACGACAGCATTGCGTTGCTCTTCTCCTCCGCGCGCTATGCCAGCCGTCGTCAGCATTCCCCGACATCGAATATCAAGAGAATATACTCACCCTCCGGAGCTCGTTCAGCTCCTGCTCCATCGTCCGCACGCGCTGCTCGCCATCGACCCACTTCTGCTCGCGGTCCTGCACGTCCTCGAGATCCCGCTCGAGGCCCGTGATCCGCGCCTGCATCGTCGCGATCTTGAACTCATAGTCCCGCCGCATCCGCTCCTGCTCCTCGCCCGCCACGCTCGTCCGCCCGCCCCCGTTCATCATGCGCGCCCCGATCCCCGCGCCCGCCGACCGGTCCGATGCCGCCGACTGCCGCCCGTAGGACATCCTGTCGTAAAAGTCGTCTCCGCTGCGCCCACCGCCGCCCGAGGCACCGCCGTCGTCATCGTCCCCATCCGCCGCCTGCAGCCGCGCGCTGAGCCCGCTCAGGCCGCCAAGTCCGCCGACGGGCGGACTCCGCGGACTCTGCTCGCCGCCCTCGCGCTCCGAGTCGCTCGCGCCGCGCCTGCGCTCGACGCTGCGGTCGCGCTCCATCGCGGTGCTCGAGCTGTCGCGTTGGTCGCGCCCGTACGGCACCTCGATGTCCTCCTCCGCGATCGTGCTCTTGTTCGGGATGATCATGCCCATGCCGGCCGTCGCGCTCTGCGCGTTCGACGCGCTCGTCGACTCGCTGTTGATGCTCACGGACTCACTCGGCCGCCGCCCGAGCACCGTAGTGTCCTGCGATGGCTTTCGCCTGTCGTTCCCGTATAGATCTTGCGAGGGCTTGCGTCGTGAATAGCCGATGTCGGTCCCGCCGTACGCGTCGGCGCTCCGACGCCCGGCGTCTTCGCTCGGCCGTCGTCCAGCTCCGGGCGTGCTTCCTCCATATCCGCTGTCGTTACCGCGGTCTTCCGATGCGCGGCCGTTGCGCGGGAAGTCTGGCGACGGGTAGTCATCGTAAGTGGACCCAGGCGACGTTGCAGGTGCCGCATCCGGGGGCTGTGGACAGCATCAGTCAAAAACGCGCAGGCGAACGTTACGCGCAGGATGCGCACCTCCTCCTTGAACTCGGGATATCGGCGTGCAAGCTCGTAATAGACGTCGCTAGACAGGTCCTTGAACCGGCCGGTGGGCAAGGTAGCGAGCTTCTGGCGCGCTTGATTGCGCTTTGGATGGAAGTCATCGCGGACGGGAAGGAAGGGGACTAGGACGGCGTTGAGGATGCGTGCATGAGGCCGATGCGGGGACAGACGTACCTTCATTGTCGCTCGTGTTGTTCTTGCGGCGCATCAACTCATCGTAAACATCTGTCGAGAGCTCCTGAAACTGTTGACGGGTAAGGCGTGTGAGCTTCTGCCGTGCTGTTGAGCGGGAATTTGCAGGCTCTAGACGGGAGACGGGTCAGCATGCATGCGGACGACAGAAGATGGCGAGAAGAAAGGAGTGGCAACGGGTCGCCTGGCGGTGATGGTGCACTGCAGCATACGGTGCCGCAGCGACTGCTGCCTTGTCATGACCAAACATCCATGTATACAGACATCGTATGCAAGGACACGCGAAGGAGGTTGCAGTGGCGGACCTGGGGGGGTGTATGCGCGCGCTCCGAGAGCGAACGGACGTACCTTTTGCAAGATAGGACGCTAGATACGAGCTGAGCTCGTCAAAGTGGACTCGTGCAACGGTGCGCGGATCAGGCGCAGCAAACTGGGCGGCGGCGTTGTTGGGGAGGGGGCGGTAGGAGTCGGTGCGGTAGTTGGAGATGCCCGAGTACGTTGTGTTCGTGGGCGAGGCCGCCCTCGTTGAGCCCGCACGCCTCATTATGACGGATCTAGCAGCGAGTAAGAGGTATCCAAGGCGAGCAGACCGTGAGGCACAGCGTCGGGGAGGGCAGGGCCAGCGGCGGGAGGGGGGGAGCAGGTCGTAGTACGGAATGAAGAGGTCTTTAGATTGGCGCACTCGTCCCCTTCCGGCTTAGCTCGATCAGTTCTGCCGGGTTAGGGTTACTACAACTACTTCATTGACGACCATCACCCAGCATCTATTCAATGTTCGCTCTTTCTTCAAAGCTCGCTAGAACCGTGTTAGGACCTGTTTAAGATTCCACGTTAGAAACGCTATCGCGGGCACTAACACTAGATGTAGAACAAATGACCAGCGTGGTGAGGAAAATTTCTTCGCCCTTGGCGCGTGAGCCACAGCCGTCCTGCAGACTTGACAAAGCTCCCATGTCAATGCATATTGCGCGAACATAAAGTAACCGCTGGGACTACATTCGAGGGAGCCTTGAGGTGGTGCGAGGACCGCTCACGACAGGTCTTAGCAGTTCCCAGGCCGCATCGCAGCAAGGAGAAAACGTTTAAGTTTAGCACGTGTTCGGGAAATTATCCTGCTTTTTCACATATACGATTGTTAATCTACCTGGATGAGAAGTGCAGGTCAACTGCTTTCATTCTCTTTAAACGACCGGCAACGGTGCTCCACCACCGATACGGCTGGTATGAGTATATCAATCAAAAAGCCACAGGGCGCGACTTCACCATGAGCTAGGTTGGGATGCAAAGCATAGGTGCCCCACTCCATGAGGTCCGCACTCACTCGGTCGGGATTTCATGTTTCTCTGTCCCGATTTGGACATGGCGTTTGGTAGCCTCGTGTACTCAGGCGTTTGACGTCCATTACGGAAGCATCCCCTGCCCGAATTGCGTGCATCTCTGGCATACACCACGACGTGCGGCTGTAGGTTTTACAGTATGTCTTGCTGAACGTAACTTGCAGATAGTGCTTCCTGTCTCCGAGTCTGTGAGTACCAGGTTTAGCATCGCCCTGGACCGTAAATTCTAACATAAATATTTGCACCGCGTAGACCTAAGACGACGCACGCAGGAGCCAATCTAGTACGGCGGAGAGTTCTATCATAACTTCCAGCCGACGATCCTCATTGCTGCTCATCTATTCTCCTCGCCCCGGCAAGATTCAGATCGCGTCCAGTATCGACCGCTATCAGCAAAGCCCATTGAACGGCGTGCCGTACGCGATTTCAATCCAGTACGTCCTGATCAACTCATCACCTTCGAAGAAACCGATCTCATGATATGCGGAGTCATGGCCCACAAGATGCTCCTCACCGAGTTACCGGACGAGATCCTGAGCATGATCGTCCAGGCGGCCGATCGAGACCTGAAGACACTCTCCAGCTTGTCCCTCGTTTGCCGCGCACTGCTCCCTGTCGTTCGCGAGCATATGTTCACCGTGGTGAATGCGCGCGCGCTCGAAGAAGCGTGCATGCGCCCATACCTCGTCCACATTACCGAGCTGCAGATCGGGAAACCCGACATCGCGGCTTACGCGCGCGACACAGCGGACTGCCGCTTCATCCCCCTGCTGAGCTCCTGCGCGCTACCCAAGCTCAGATCTTTGCACATCATAAACAACTACACATGGTTCTACGTGGATGCACACCCAGCGCTCTACGAGACAATGTTAACTCTCACGTCAGTAACGGGACTCACCTTGTCCTGCAAGGTGTTCTTTGTCGACCTCCAACACCTCCAGACCATGGTCTGCGCCCTCCCAAACCTCGCGCAGCTTTCATTAGGCTTCATATCGTTTGACTTCTCGACGAATCGCGATACGCCCGAAGGTTATACACAAGTAGCCGAGCGCATATCCCCCCTTACTTCGGTACGGCCGAAGTTGTCAACGCTCTCCATGATTCCCTCGCTCTACTCAGATGCCGTGGCTGGGTGGCTCGGGTCAGGCCTGAGCAAACACTCGCTATCTACCTTGTGCATTCCGCCCAATTCGATGTTCCCCTACATCGTATTACAGTACTTCGGGCCGAACATCCAGCATCTTCACCTTCCCCTCAATGACATGCAAAATTGTAAGCGACTGTTCAGCCACTGCTACAGCGAGCCTCGACTTATTACTCACCTGAGTCTCTATAGACACATACCTATATGCGCCCTGCCTGGGCACGTACACCAGCCTCCGCACGCTGACCATCTTCTTGGGCGCCCGGTCCAATTCCCCGCGTGCCTGGGAGCTGTCGCTCCTCGTGCTGGAGGACTGGCTTCCCGCAGAGCACCTGGAAACCGTCACGATCGACATGCGCATCCCACCGCAGAACCACATTTGCGGGGCGTACACTGCCGAGATCGACTGGGACATTCTCGCGCAGCTTGATGAGGTGCTGGTTGGCCCAAAGTTCGTAACACTACGCACCGTCGAGGTTTTCGTGCAGGCGACTACGCAGCGGGATTGCGTCGAGGAGATACGAGACGTGATCGTGACGAGGATCGAGGAGTGTATGAAGAGGCTTGCGGCGGGGAAGCTGGTCGCAAGCGCGCGGGGGCTGCGGAACGCCGGATCTTCCACAGGATAGCGTGGGCAGGCTGTAGGATGCGCACTCCTTGTCATTCTCGGTGGGTGGGTTGATACGCCTACTAAAAGTGCATAACTCCGACTGACCGAGCGTGTAGGGCAACGGCGACATGACACGCTATCTCACTCTACTTTGAGAACATGCTCGACGTCTCCAGTCACCAGATGTACATGGATATTCGAATGCGAGATGTTAACTATGAAACTGGGAGTCCTTTAGTAAGTACTACGCACGATCGGCACAAAGGCGGCACGCGTACCTCCCGCACAACGCCATATCGGACAACCAAACGCCCCGCGTCAGACAAGCTCGACAGCCTCCTCCGGATCTTGCGCATCAGCGCGTTCGCCTCATCTCGCAGATCCCAACTGGGCCATGCCGTCCACTCTACCACAAACTCCACGGTCTGCACGGCCGCATACTCGCCACTGACGAGCATCTCGCCCAGCGTCTCAAGCACACCCCATGATATAGCGCCGTCTAGCTCCTCCGGACCAGGGTGCGCAAGACGCATGTCAATCGTGAGTGCTTCGAGGCGTGCCGGCGCGGGCAATCCTTGTTGCAAGACGTAGAGAACCTGGGTCCACGGGCACAAGTGGCCTTCCGGTGGGTGTGGGTCGTGCGCGTCAATGAAGAGCGTCAACGAACGCAACGATGTGTACTTTCGAAAATGCCGGGGCCAATCATCGTCGGCTAAAAGATCAGATTAGCTCTGGAATCATTCGACATATGGCGAGAACGTACGATCTCGCAGAATATATGGGCGCAGGGGCATGGCGAGATGCACAATCGTAGGCCCGAAGAGGGGAATAATCATGTCGGCCCCAACAGCAGACGGGGCGATGGTCAAAGTAGACAAGGGCATGCCTCCGGGTCGGTGCCGGGCCAGCCACCACAATGCCTGCAGAACCATGTAATTCCAATCGAGGGATAGCTTCGATAGCAGCGGGCGGGATTCCGTCATGGTGTACAGCTCCCGCCCCGCGTTGGTGCGATCGAGGGCAATCGGGGCATGGTGCGCGTTGGGATCGAGCATCTCGCTATCTGTTGGAACCTCCACGCAGTCGAGCGAGAGTGCTGACAGGTTGGGGAGGGCGCGGATGAGGGTCATCATGTCGAATTCGTCATAGAAGACGACGCGAGAGAGTGACAGTTCCGTCACCGATGTGAGTGTCCTGAGAGCGTCCCAATCTTCCTTATAGACCCTGGTTGTCCTCGAAAAGTCGATCCCATGCAAGCTCAGTGCGCGAAGTTCAGGGAGTGTGCGCCCATTTAGCTTGTGAAGGAAGCGACGGTCGAGCAGATCGGGGCGAGTCTTAAACCGAGGCCCCGCACGCAGCTCACAGACGAGACAGAGGTATGGGTCCATGTATACGTGCTCGAGGGCACGGATGTTGATTACCTTGAAGAGCTCCTGCCGCGCGATGGGAAGAAGGCGGTGGGAGAGATGGGCCACGCTTTGGAGTGCCTGCAAGTCATGGGAGAGAGACCCTACGATCTGGAGAAGCAATTCGTTGGGGAGTGTTGTAAGCATTGGAGTCTGTATTCATTTGGTATACGTAGAGGTCCAGTACGACTAGTCGCCACAGAGTGGGTGGAAGGAGTTCAAGATGAATCAGCACCGCCACTAGCACTCGGCGTAAATGGGTATACGGGGGCGCCAGCTCGGAGATTAAGACTATCCAACAGACCTGATTATCAACGCGAAGCAATGTAGTAAGCGTCACGATAGTAAGGTGATTGAAAAGCATAGACAGGTCAAGCAGACTTCGAGATCACAGGCGAGTCGTTACAACTCGTATACCAATTCCGAGAGGGCGACGACAACTCAGATTCCTCTCCGACCGCCCTGGCCCATATATAAATCGTCTCGACCCTCCACTCCGACCGCCAGAAGTAGGGAAATCTCCGCTTGGCCAACGGGTACGGCAAATCGATAGCCCTGGACAGCCCCGGCGACATTTCCTCGTGCACTTCCATACTCTGGACGACCACATACACCGGGCTACTCCGGGGTCGATACAGCACCAACCCGATAAATTTGGGGGGTGGGATCCACGCAGTGTGCGGGCCGGGTGCCTCAGAGGCGGCGGTACGACACGCGAGGGCGGCGCACCACACGCGTCCGCCAGGGTGCGACAATACGGGGCACAGCGGGAGGCGGATGCGAATGCCGTAATGCGTGTCGAAGAAGTGCGGCTCCTTGACCGTGCGCAGACCAAGCGCGCCCGTGAGCTCCGCCATCGCGACACGAACTATGTCCGCGGAGTCGCAAAAATCGTCCGGTGAAAGCGCGAGCAGGCGCACAACTGGGGGCGCCAGCGCGCGCCCTGGGGCGGGAGCGCGCGCAAGGAGGCGTGCGGGCGCGGCACGAGGGCCCCATGCGAAGATGCTGTGGTCGAAGGTGTGGCTGATGATCTCGAGCTGGAGACGGCGGAACGCGCGTTCGCTGCCCTCGCCGTAGATGAGAGGGATGTGCACGTCGAACATGCCCATGAGTGCGTATGCACGGTCTTCGGGGCGCGTCGTATGCCGTCCCGCGGCCCAGGACATGCGGCGCGCGATGCTCAGCTGGGAGATGGCGCGCGCGGGGTCGTCGGAGAGCAGGACGGCAGCGTCGATAGTGGTGATCTGCTCGAGGAGTGGGGCGAGCTGGGGGGTAGACCCAATGCGACGCCAATCGTGGGAGAAGAAAACAACGGAGCGACCGGGAGCTATGAGTTCCTGGAGCGTCCAGCCACGGGTGAACCAGCGGCTGTGGCGGAATGATGACTGCGGTTGGTGTGGGTCTTCGTCGCCAACATCGCTGAGGTAGACCAGACATATGTCGGCGCGCCCATACCAAGTAAACATAGAGTTTATTGCTTCAGAGAGTTCCGCGCTGCTAGACTTGTCGATGCAGCATGTGTCGAGCCAAACCCAGTCATAACCCTGGGAGAGCGCGGCAGCACATGCACCTTCCACTTTGGCCCACCCCCGGTGAGAGCGGGCGCGCGTGAGGTCTTGAATGTCGGAGAAGTCAACTTCATCCTCGGTCCAGCAATGAGAGAGGATGGCGTATCTAGGCGTGATCTCTGGAGAGGCGAAGGTGCGCAGTTGGTAGGTACGTGTATTCAGGAGCCGCATACCGAGTTTTCGTCTCCGTGATTAAAGTGGGTATATGGGTGACCGTCAAGATATGTAGCACGTTGCAGCCCGTGTAGGGCCCAAGAATGATTTTGTCGATGTCCGAGTTCAAGTTGACCGTCAAGCAATTCCGCCGCGGATTTCCAGCTAGTTTAATGTCTTAAATCTCTAGTGGGAACTCGTCATTCACAAATATAGTGAGTACGTTTCAGAAACAGTACTTACTCTTGCTCCTAGCCTCCTTTAATCTGTAGGAACGAAGAGTACATAGGTCGCCGAAGGTGGGATGATGGTGGTTGGGTGACACACCGGCGCCGGTCAGTAGCTTCGATCATGGATCATGGACATAAGAAGCCTTCTATGATTGCCTTTGATAGGACGTCATAAATGTTAACACTACTTATAATCGACCCTAACCCAGTAAGTAACTGCGCAGTACACAGCACGAAGCGAGGCGCGGTCGGCGTCCGTCGCTGCTACTCTTTACCCTTCCTCACTGTCTAAACACTCGAGCTCATCGCTGGCTACGATGAGCGACGACTTCGTCCGCTTGGTCTCTCAGGCCAACCCAGCCTCTCGCCAACAATACCAGCCCGCAAACGGCGGCTACCCTCCCTCGTCCTCCCCACCACACGCTATGGACCCCTTCTTCGACGATGACGACGACGTCCCCGACTCTGCCTTTGGCCGGCCGGCTGCTATGCAGTCCAAGGAGAGCGGCCTCCCCCTCGCTCGCTCAGGCGCACCTCCAGCTGGCTTCGGCAACTCGCAGCTCAGTCTCCCCACCACCATTCCGCCAGACTCATGGTCTTTCGACGACGACCAGCCCTCCTCCAAACCCTTCACTGGCTCCGCATCCTTCCCGGGACCTTCAGGATCAAGCTCTGCGTCCCGGACACACAAACGCGCGCCGTCGAAGTCGTTCAAGAAACGCCTGGGGGACATCAAGTGGCCGTGGCAGCGCAAGGAGAAGGTGCTTACTGGGAACAGGGTCATCGCGCTCAACAACCCCGAGGCGAACGCGGAGTTCTGCAACAACTACGTCTCGACGAGCAAGTACAACCTCGCGAGCTTCGTCCCCAAGTTCCTCCTCGGTGCGTCTCCTATTTCGTGCGCGCGGCGGTCTCACTTACCCGCAGCCACTTTCCTCGCACGCGCTCCGTTTCCTCCCTCTGCGTTCGTCTACCTCCTCTGCGCTCGTATCACTTGTTCGCACTCGCAGAGCAATTCTCGAAATACGCCAACTTGTTCTTCCTCTTCACCGCCCTCATTCAGCAGATACCCGACGTCTCTCCAACAAATCAATATACGACCATTGCCCCTCTTGCTGTTGTACTACTCGCATCGGCATTCAAGGAGACTCAGGAGGACTTGGTGAGTGTCTATCCATTCACCCCCGCACCCACCTTTCGCTGGTGCGCCCACCGCGCCTGGTTTCCGCGCGCACTCGGCTAGTGACCGGCGCACGCCGGGTTCGCGCGGTCACCAAACCGTGACCAATCTGGCATGCGCGACGGGCGCGCGCGCATTGGACGACTGTTCCTGTCACTGTCCAGTTAGGCTATGCCTAAATGGATAGCGTGCTGTCGCTATTGACGTGACGGGCATGGGCACTGCGTACGGTAGACGGTCTCGCACGCACAGCATTCCGCATTTCTCGGGGACAGCGACGTCAACGAACGGGTTCTCCGCGCCGCCAACCATCGCACGTAGCTCGTCGAAAGACCGCCATGCCTCCTTGTCGTCGTCTCCATCACCGCGGTGGCTCTCGTCGACGACGTCAGCGTATGCCACACCGCCGATACTGCAGAACCGGAACTCCATCTCGTTCCGCGTGAGCGTGCCCGTCTTGTCGCTGAAGACATATTCGATTTGCCCGAGCTCCTCGACGAGGGATGATGTCCTGCACAGCGCGGGCGTGTCCGTCTTCACGTAATACATGTCCAGGTCCGAGTTGATCAGCTGCGCCTGTTGGTACTTGACCACCTCCATCGTGACGATGAGCGAGATGGGGATCAAGTTGTTATACAAAATGATGAATGTCAAGATGTCTGCGGACTGTCAGTGGGGGGTACAGAATGTTCCGGGAAACGGCGGACCTTCGATGAATCCCTTGGCTGGTGGCGTCATTAGCATCGCTTTCACTGTCAGATACGGCAGACGTACCTCTTCCGGAAATCGTCGATGTCTCGAGCAGATACCATTGTTGGCTCGAGAAGAACCACTACGAAGCGTCAGCGATTAAATTGACCCACGCGACGTTGTCACTTACTGTGCGGATGCTGCTACCAATAGTCGACCCGATAGACAGCGCAAGTAGGAACAAGAAGAGGAACACGATGTGCACGTTCACCTGGCGCTCGACCGCCGTCCGCTTGATGGGCGCAGCCGTCGCATTCCGCATCAGCTTCGTCTCGTGGCCGGTGAACACGACAAGGCCATACGCCCATGGCGTATTCCGGATTTGCGCTCCACGAAGCAACAACTGGTCGGGCCCGAGAGGAACCTGCTTCGGTACACCGCCGGCGGTGACGAGCTCGACCGTACCTTCGTACGTATACAACGAATTGTTCGGGTGTTCTGAGCGCAATGTGCCGTGTAGTGATTTGACGAGGTGTGGAGACGTCAAGCTTGCCGTTTGCGGTGATGCTTGCTTGATCTTCAAGTTCGTCTCGCTATAATGGATGAGTACGAGCGATCTCTCAGTCGGAGGCTGGACCTACCCGTCGAGGTTGGACGTCTCGATATAGCAGAAACCCTCGGGCTCACTCGAACTGAGCAGGAGCACGTCCGCGGGAATAAACTCGTCGCTTTCCAGGCGCAGCACGTCGCCGACCGCAATGTCCTTCCATTTCTTCTCGACGAACGTGCCGTCTGGCCCGAGCACTTTTGCTTTGCGCGCGTTGAGCTCCGAGTCGGACTGGTGCCGTTTCTGGACGAACGCAAACAGGTTAGAATCTTGTCCTGTCCGGTGCTGTATCTCACATGAGGGTATACGGTGTACGGGCGACGGGCCAGTCGAGAGCGAGCGCGAGGTCGCGAACGAATTCCTGACACTGCTCGCGGTGTGCCATACGGTCATTCCGGAAGTGCGCGACGGTAAGATGCACTACCAGGCTAGCAGTCCGGACGAAGCTGCACTCGTAGCCGGCGCGGAGATTCTGGGTTATCAGTTCCACGTACGTGTACTCTCATTTGAATGCCCCCGGTTATTTGCTGACTTGCTCGCACGCGCTTGTAGATGCGGAAGCCGAAGTCCGTCTTTGTGAACATGCACGGCACTTCACAGGAGTACGAGATTCTCAACGTGTGCGAGTTCAACTCGACACGGAAGCGGATGTCGACGGTCGTGCGCTGCCCGGATGGGAAGATCAAGCTCTTCTGCAAGGGCGCGGACACGGTCATCCTCGAGCGCCTGAGTGAGAACCAGCCGTTCACGGAGAAAACCCTGCTACACCTGGAGGTGACTACTTGCAGGACCCACTGTCATGATTCCAGTCTACTCACTTGGTACACGCTGTAGGATTACGCTACGGATGGCTTGCGCACACTTTGCATCGCCTGTCGCGACATCCCCGAGGCAGAGTACCGGCAATGGGTCACGGTCTACGACCAAGCCGCGGCGACGATCAATGGGCGCGGCGACGCGCTCGACAATGCCGCAGAGCTCATCGAGCGGGACATGTTCCTGCTCGGAGCAACCGCTATCGAGGACAAGCTTCAAGAGGGCGTGCCGGACACCATCCACACGCTGCAAATGGCCGGGATCAAGGTACGCGGGCGCGGCGGGAAGTCTATTGAACGAGCGAGCGCTGACGATGGGACAGGTGTGGGTGCTCACCGGTGACAGGCAGGAGACGGCTATCAACATCGGTATGGCTTGCAGGCTGATCTCGGAGTCTATGAACCTGGTATGTCTGTTCGGTATGAACGCTGGACTGCGTGTTGAGGAGTGCTACAGGTGATCGTGAACGAGGAGACTGCGCACGAGACGGAGGACTTCCTGACGAAGCGCCTGAACGCGATCAAGAGCCAGCGCAATTCCGGCGACCAGGAAGATCTCGCGCTCGTCATCGGTACGTCTCTAGTATCTGACTGCTCACGATGACTGTGACAAACTGTGCATATCAGACGGCAAGAGTCTCACCTTCGCCCTGGAAAAGGACATCTCGAAGATATTCTTGGAGCTCGCTATTCTCTGCAAGGCTGTCATCTGCTGTAAGCCCCTCAAACCGTGCTGTCATGCCATACATTGCTCATCCGATAAATGTGCAGGTCGTGTGTCCCCGCTGCAGAAAGCACTTGTCGTCAAACTCGTCAAGAAGAACCAGAAGTCTATTCTGCTCGCAATTGGTGACGGCGCCAACGACGTCAGCATGATCCAGGCTGCGCACGTTGGCGTCGGTATCTCTGGTGTCGAAGGTCTCCAGGCCGCACGCGCGGCCGACGTTGCCATCTCGCAGTTCCGGTACCTCAAGAAGCTGCTGCTCGTCCACGGTGCTTGGAGCTACACCCGTTTATCGAAGATGTTGTTGTGTAAGTATCACTATCGTCTCGTCACCGTCCTTAGTTGACTGATGTGTGCCGGGCGCAGACTCTTTTTACAAAAACATCGTGCTGTACATGACACAGTTCTGGGTATGCACGTAACCCTTTAGATCGCATGTCTCCGTGCTAATTCACCCCGCAGTTCTCGTTCTTCAACAACTTCTCGGGCCAGATCGCGTACGAATCGTGGACACTATCGCTCTACAACGTCGTCTTCACCGTCCTACCTCCTCTCGTCATCGGTGTCTTCGACCAGTTCGTATCCGCCCGCATCCTCGACCGGTACCCACAACTATACATGCTCGGCCAAAAGAATGCGTTCTTCACGCGCACGCAGTTCTGGGCGTGGGTCGCAAACGCGCTCTATCACAGCATCGTAAGCACCCTGGGCATCTTGCCAAGCTTTAGCCTTCACAATCGTCTTTGCAGGTCCTGTTTGGGTTCTCGATCATTCTGTTCTGGGGAGACCTGAAGCAGGCATCGGGACTGGACACCGGGCATTGGTTCTGGGGAACAACGCTGTACCTCGCGGTGCTGCTGACTGTATTAGGCAAGGCTGCGCTGGTGTCTGAGTAAGTCGATCTCTCAGTCCAACTGCATAGCGACTAACAATTCGTCAATAGCCTCTGGACAAAGTACACTGTAGCAGGTACGCTTCATTGATAACTCGTTGCCGACCTTGAGCTGACGCCTTGCCTCCAGCGATTCCGGGTTCCTTCATCTTCACGATGCTGTTCCTTCCACTATACGCAGTCGTCGCGCCGGCTATCGGCTTCTCAACTGAGTACCGAGGCATCGTCCCGCGACTATGGACGGACGCGGTCTTCTACTTCGTCCTCCTACTCGTGCCCATCTTCTGCTTGACGCGCGATTTCGTATGGAAATAGTGCGTCTTCCATTTACCAGACCAGTCTTCGTATCACTCACATACCTGTCTCCTAGTTACCGGAGAACGTACATGCCCGAGACGTACCACATTGCGCAGGAGATCCAGAAGTATAACATTCCAGATTACCGTCCGAGACAAGAACAGTACGTTGCCTCACCTCTTTGGTTCCGTACCTGTACTCAACGTGCCTCTTCCTGCCGCACAGATTCCAGAAAGCGATCAAGAAAGTGCGCGCGGTGCAGCGCATGCGGCGCAATCGCGGCTTCGCGTTCAGTCAGACGGAGAACGCGGCGCGGCAGGACCAGGCGCGGCTCATTCGCGCGTACGACACGTCCAAGACGGGCGCGCGACCGACGGGGTACTGAGTACTGAGTGTTGGATGGTGCGGAGGATGGGTCGTCTTGCGGTGCGGAGGAATGCTTGGTGACGCTACTAGTCTATCATTATACGGACATCCACGATGTAAATCTACGGTAGCTTTCGAAATTCCGGAGTAATTGCTTGTAGAACACGCGAGGTGCTGGGAAGTGTGCATAGGTGTTGCATACGAGATATACAACATAGCACAGTATGCAACGGGGAGGGCCGTCAAGTGAATCCTGTTGAGAAAGGCATGGATGACAAGGCAGGCGAGCTAAAGAACGATGCGAAGGGTAGCAAGTACGATCGCGTTCTATCGAGCGAAAGGCGGGTGTGTAGGGGCAATGCGCTTGGAGGTGGATGTCCTCCAGGACCTTGCCTACGCATATGGACCGCAGAACCTCGGGAACCCATTCGCTCGGGGAGCCGGAAGTGGACAGAACGCCCTTTGTCGCGGAGAGGCTCCGTCGCGCGATCGTCAGTAGCATCCGCACAGACATCCTCGCTGGGTACGGGAACTATCGGCCACGGCACCGCCGTGTCGTACACCGGCCCCGAGAGCGCCAGCGTAACCGTGTAGGTCTTGCACGGGATCTTACGGATAATTTCGAACCCCTCGCGTTTCCTGAACGCCACCTCGACCCGCCGGGTCCTGTCCCCAAACGCAGCCCGGATGACCGCGTTGTCGCCACGCACCGACGTGAAGTCGATGTGCGCCCTGGGGCAGACCATGAGCATTTGCGCAGGCTCGGACAGCTTGGGCAGGGCCTTGCCGTCGAACGCTGGGGCGTTCGCGCGGGACTGCTCGCGGGTGAGGAGAACGTCCACCCAGAGCTTGTGCAGGGGGATGCCCTGCGGGCCAGGGAACGGCACCATAAGGCACATGCAGTTCCCGACGCCGAAGCGGACGGTGAGCCGCTGGTGCAGGGAGGCATCGAAGAACGAGATGGTGGAGACGACCGAGTCGGACACCTGCTGCTGCGTGAGGTGGCAGGGGACGGTGGTCGTGCAGCCGTCAGTGCTTGCCTGTTCGCACAGGAGGTGGTGGCGCGTCTCGAGGTCGGTGAGGAGCCAGTGCGGGAAGAAGAATGTGAAGTTCGGCTGGGGCGCCATGACGTCGCGGACGGGCCCATCGGGGTGGGTTTGAGGGGGCAGCAGCGAGTTCGGGTGGTGGATGTAGAGCGGTTTCAGCTCGAATTTGCCATACCGAAACTTGATCACTCGCGGTTTCTTCTCCTTCGTGCTACCTTTGGGTGGGGGTGAAGCGCTACCTTCACCCTCGTCCACCTCCTCATCTACCTGGTCATAGATGCCTCTGGCATTGGCCATGGTTGCGGGTACCGTCTCCACGGCATGTAAGAGGGTCCGAGGGAAGAACGCACCCCGGTGATAGTGATGCCCCTCCGTGCCGTCGATGAACTCGCCGACGTCGTAGCGGTCCCCTGCAGCTTGTTTGCCGCGCCGCAGGAGGAGAATGATCAACTCGCCGTCCGCGTTCTCGCATGCCAGAAGGCCTAGTTGTACGTGCTGCGTGTTCGCGGCACCCGTGCGCGCCATCCAGCTCTTCCACGACTCGATCGCGTCTGTGGAGAGCGGCAGTATCGCGCGGATGCCGTTGCTGGTGACTGCGTAGTGCGGCATCTTTGCCTCTATGCCGAAAGTGGCCGCCAGATCGGCGATGTTGACGGCCTTGTACCCTGCGGAGTCGGCGAACTCGGACGGGGATGATGCAAGCAGGTCCTGCAGCCTGCCTTGCACGTCGAAGGCGATGTTGGCTTGTCTACCGTGCGTGGCCCGTTCGCTGTCCTCGAACCGATCGCGCTCCATAAGCTGACGTGCAAGTTTGATATCCTTGTGCATCGGGCCCCATGCGAAGATACTCTGATCGGGGATCCGCCGGAGGATCTCCTCTTGAAGGCGGACGAACGCGCGCTCGCCTTCCCCATAGATAGTCGGCATGTTGATGCCGAAGATACCTAGGAGCGAGTACGCTCGGTCTTCGATGCGCGTCGTCTTGCGGTTCGCGGCCCAGGACATGCGCTGTGCGACGCTGACACTGTCGAGCGAGCGTGCGTGCGTAAGGATTTCCTTTTGGACGCCCGTGACCGCCTCCACGACGGCCGCGAGCATGTGCTTCGAGCCGAGGGTGCGCCACTTTTGGGAGAGAAAGACGATGCGCGCGGGGGCGATGAGCTCTTGGAGGGTCCAGCCACGCTCATACCAGCGGCTACGTCTGAAGGCAGAATCTAGGGATGCGGGATCATCGTCATCCCCGACATCGTACAGATATGCGTAACAGACGTCCGCGTCCGCATACCACGCGAACATGGAGTTGATCGCCTCGGAGAGCTCCGCGCTGCTGTGGTGGTCGATGCAGCAAGTGTCGACCCAGATCCAGTCGTAACCTGCACGCTCTGCGAAGATGCAGCAGTCGCGGATCTTGGCGGGGACGCGGTCGCGCAGGCTTTCTCCGGAAAGCGCGCACTCTGCGCTGAGGGCCTGGAGGCCTACGAAAGAGAGCTCGTCGCCGCTCTGCCAGACGTGGGACAGGATCGCGTATCGGACTTCGTGCGAGTTGACGAAGTAGTGCAGCTCGGCTGTCTTGGTGTTGAGCAGATACATCGCCAGGGGCTAAAGAAGTCGTCATACGGTAAGCCCACATTGTGACTGAGGATAGTCAACATATGTCGAAACTGACCTGTCGAGTAAACAACGAAGATACGATACCGGGAATTGACCACGGCACTGTGTTGTTTGAGGACTAATGGTGGTGCTACGAAACCTGGGGGTCCTCGTTAACATCGATCAATACTCAAAGATGACGGCTATATAGCGCTTCGGTGTGTGCCGGACCTGCTGAAGAAGAAGAGAACCAGGATAGCCTCGAGAGCCGAGACTCGTATTTACTCGTGGACTCCATGCCTTTTGAATGAGATATTATGTCACGGCACACCAGCTGGCAGCGGGCGTCCCAGGGTGCATCGCCTCGACACCTCATGTCGGGGACATGTGGTCATAGAGAAGCCGGGCCCTGTGAGCGAAACCTATGTCATCCCTCAGCGAGACTGTGTTCACATTATCGTGACATACCGCGGGCGAGTGATGATGGTGAGAGGAAGAGTTGTTCAACGCGGTGGCGGTGTGGCCTGCGCCCGGTTATGTGCACAGTTCCCACAACCCAGGTTCGAATCCTGGCAAGACCTTCTTCCCTTTTGCCTCGCTGTTCCCGTCGTGTTTTAGCTGAGCGAAATGATTCTACAAGTCATCCATCGCAGCGAATCCTACACTGAACGCGAATAGTTACATCAGTCGCCGCGTATAATCCCTCCCTTCGTCATGTTCCACCCCAGCTGCTCATACGTCCACCCGAGCACCGTTCCGTCCGCGCTGTATTCGTGGTACCGCAGCAAGGATCGGTGCATCCCGGGCTTCTTGTGGATCGCGTCCAGCGTCACCATCTCCTCGTCAGTAAGAGTGATCAACTAGTGCGAGACAAGGCATATCGCACGAGCGAACACGGATCAGACGAAGTCAGCACCAGACGTGCGCGGACAGGCGCATTACACGTACGGCTATATTCTGCTTGATTCGCTCCGGATTCTCGCTCTTGGGGATGACGATGGTGCCACGCTGAACGCCCCAGCTGAGCGCGACCTGCCCCGGCGTCGCACTGTGGCTCTGCGCGATGCTGATGACATCAGGGTCCTGCAGGAAGACAGGTTTTCCATCGTATTCCTTAGGCCGACCTACGATCGGAAGTCAGCATTTGAGCTCATGTCGCTGATGTCCCGCCACACGCACCAAGAGGCGAGTACGCGGTGATCAATATGCCCTTCTCCTCGCACCACGTCTTCAGCTCAAACGACGGCAGGCACGGGTGACACTCGACCTGGTTCGTCGCGGGGACGACCGACGTCTCGCGCAAGAGCACCTCGAGCAGCTTCACCGAGAAGTTCGACACCCCGATCGAGCGCACCTTCCCGGTCTTGAGCAGCGCCTCCATGTCGCGCCACGTCTCAACGAACGTCGGGCTCTGGTCGTGCGGGACGGGCGTGTTGTCCTCGGTGTACGCCTGCGGCCAGTGCATGAGGTAGAGGTCGACGTAGTCGACGCCGAGCTTCGCGAGCGACTCCTCGAAGGACGCGTGCACCTTGTGGTGGTGCTGGTTCGGGAGCTTTGTGGTGAGGAAGATGTCCGCGCGCGGGACGCCGGATTCGCGGATCGCCTTCCCGACGAACTCTTCGTTCGCGTATCCGTATGCCTGACGAAACGGTCAGAACTGTTTATATGATCGGTGTCAACGTGCAGTTTACCGTGTCAAGATGCCTGTATCCCGCCTACTTGGAGAGTAAGCAGGTGCTGACATGACAGCGTTGAAGAGACTGGCGCACGGCTAAAGCGTCCTTGCACATCTTCTCTACGACTTCTCCGCCGCCGGGAGTTCCCATCCAACACCTGTGATACAAGAACTGTTAGCATATAGCATCATCGACAGTTTGCGCCCAACACAACGAATATCTTAGGCTGTCGCCATACATGGCTCCCGTTGAAGGCGGACGATCTCGCCGAAGCCCAGGAGCGTGACTGTCCGCGGTGCTGACACTCACCCTATCCCCACAGAGGCCATCTTGTAGCCCGTGTTCAGCGTAAAGCTAGGAATTGCAGCGGCCATTGTTGATGCCGGGAAAGAGGAGAATGTGACGATGTTGGCACGTCGACGATTGCAGAGATACGAACGTCGAAGACCGAAAGGCACCTACTTGCTATCGGCCTACTCTTATATGTCCAAATGCCAAACGCTCTGAATGACCGCCCCTTCGGATTGAGTTCAGGAGCTTCGTCATGCTGCTATGTGGACTAGAATATCAGGTTGCGCCCGGGCGGACCGTGTGTTTTGCGGCAGCTGACTGGCTTCGGGCCGGAGACCATAATTAGTGGGCTCCCTCGGCGTTCCGCGCGAAGGACCCTGTCGTTTGCAAGACGATACCCATTCGCGAACAAAAGATGGGTCTCAGAGAGATGAACGGGGACGTCATCATTGACAAGGAGGATCTTGGACCTGAGGCAGAGAGTATCGCATAGAAGATCTCGAGAGGGTACGGCGACAGGCGGTATTGCAAGCCAGATAGACTCCAAGCCATCAGTATGCCTGAGAGATGCAGACATCTGAGGTTGAGGAACCCAGGCTGAACGGTCGAGCTTTTGGGCAGTGGTCGTTAGTTAGCTCTTGGTCCACGATGATGGTTGAGGAGAAAGATGGAAACAACGCTAACCCAGGCGTGTGTGAAGCGATAAATGCTGGCGGCGTATGCTGGCGGCGTGTGCTCATCCGACGGACGCATCAAGTATCTTCGTGGAGTCCATGGCAGCCTGTGTCCTGGGCGAAGAGGTCTAGTAGTGCATTCTCTGGATGTGGTAATGAGTTGGGTAACGAGTCATTAGAGTCGGGACCCTACGGGTTCAATGTTCAACGTTGATATAGATCAGCCCGACTGGGCATGTATGGCAGTCGATCCGTTGCGAGTTCCGATATGCAGCAGCTCGGCCTCCTCTCCGAAGGCCTTGGCGTAGATGTATATGGACTCGACCTTCCACTCGGGAGACCCGTTCCCCGCTAACGGGTACGGCAGCTCGATGACCCTCGACAGTGTCCCCGCCGCACCATCGTCGCGCTTCAGATCCGGGCTCCGGATGGGGAAGTACAGGGGGTTGTCGTGCGTCCGGTACAGGATCAGCCCGATGAACTTGGAGAGCGGGGCGCCGTCTACGCCTGCCCCCGACCCAGACGTCCGACACGCCAGCGCGGCGCAGCAGAAGCGGCCATGCTCGTGTGAGTACACCTCGCACAGCGGGACGGGGATGCGGATCCCGAGGTGCGTGTAGTAGAAGTGCGGCTCGTCGACCATCCCGATACCCAGCGCGCTCGGGAGCTCTGCAAGCGAGACGCGCACAAGGTCTGCGGACGCGCGAAAGGCATCTGGGGAAAGCGCGAGCAGGAGGCCGGTCGGCCACAGGTACTCGCACTCGTATTTCCAGCTTGTGCGGCTCCCCGAGTCGGAGTTGGGGCGCGCGAACGTGTGCGCGGGCATGCCGCGCGGGCCCCACGCGAAGATGGTGGTGTCGTACGAGTGTTGGATGATCTCGATCTGGAGGCGGCGGAATGCGCGCTCACCGCCCTCGCCGTAGAGGACGGGGATGTTGACGTCGAAGATGCCCATGAGCGCGTACGCCCTGTCCTCCGGGCGCGTCGTATTCCGCCCGGCGGCCCAGGACATGCGCCGCGCGAGGCTCCGCTTCGCGACCTCGCGTCCGGGGTGGTCAGATAGGAGGATGGCAGCGTCGATGTTGGTGATCTGCTCGAGCAGCGTTGCGAGTTCTGTGCTGGAACCGATGCGCGCCCAATCGCTGGAGAGGAAGACCACTGAGCGGCCGGGCGCGACGAGCTCTTGTAGCGTCCAGCCACGGGTGAACCATCTGCTGTTGCGAAATGACGAGTATGGTTTGTGTGGGTCGTCGTCGCCAACATCGCTGAGATAGGCGAGACACAGGCCAGCGCGCCCGTACCAGGTGAACATGGAGTTCAGCGCCTCCGAAAGCTCGGCGCTGCTGGACTTGTCGATGCAGCATGTGTCAAGCCAAAGCCAGTCGTAACCTTGGGCCCGTGCGGCAGCGCAAGCGCGCTCGACTTTCGACCAGCTCGTGTGTGCGCGAGCGCGAGCGAGGTCTTGGATGTCGGCAAAGACGACCTCATCCTCGTCCCAGCAATGAGAGAGGATAGCGTAGTCCGGCCTAGTTTCCGATGAGACGAATGTGCAGAGCTGGAAGGTAAATGTGCTCAGAAGCCGCATATTTGGGATTTTGTCCGAGATCTTCCAGATCCAGAGCGAGAGGTGTGCGGTCGCAACACAAGCTACCTTTGAGAATAGTACCAGTCCACAATGAGTTAGACGGATGTTGACGGGTAGTAAATATGAGCACTTACCGGCGCGGGGCTATGTCTCTTCACAATGGTTATCGTCAGGACGATCAGGGCTGTACTGCAACCGTTTATGGTACCCGGTGGGAGACACGACGAGGTTCCAGGTACCAGTGAGTGAGGCCGTACGAGTGTGTCCTTGGAATCCTCATCGAGGTCGAGAAGCAACTCAAGCACGAGCGCTAACCCACGTGCTGGAAGGGAGATGTGCGCCAATCTGTACCAGGGCGACTCTCCTGGCTCCTCCTACCGCCACGGCGTCGATCTCCCCGCCCTAGATGTCTTCTCATATATACAGGTACTCCGGTCTGGTCATATTGTATAGCATGAGTCTCATGCTGTGCTAAAACATAAGTTCGAAGTCAGAACGTAGTAAGTCCTTGCGTGCTCAGAGCTCGTATCAATTTCTGTCAGAGAGTCACAGATCAGATACTTACAGCAGGACGAAATATCGGGCACGGTGAGAAGTCACATATACGCCTCTTCATTCATGTCGTCCCATGTCCAGTGGCCCAGTGGGCCATGATCTCCTCGCGCTCCTGCTCCGAGGCACCCTTCAGCATCTGCGCCTTGAACTTCTTCAGGGAAGCCACGGCGGCCTCATAGTCCTCAGTCGGCACCCCGCCACCTTCTGGGGCCCCAGTAAAGCACTGTATGATCTCAGAGCCCCTGGTCGTCTCCCTCACATCCTTGTGCAGCACCGCCGTCTCGCACAGGTCCTCAGCCCCAAACGCGAGGGACACGGCGCGCCATCCCCGCACGTCAGCGCGTCCCACCTCGTCGCGGCCTGCTAGTGAATGAACGCCGTTTCCAGGTCGTAGCTCTCGTCCTCCCACGGGGCGCCAGCGTGCTGGAAGAGACGGCCGCGGAGCGCGTATAGGCGGTCCGTGAAGGTAGCGTAGTGGTGCGGGCTGCACTCCTGCGTGCTGGTGACGTAGTGGTAGTGGACGAGACGGTAGAGGTACTCCTCGTTGGCTCGCTGAGCGTCGCCCAGTGCGTAGAGGTGCTACGGGAGAGAGGGCAGCGTCATGGACTGGGAGGGGCTGTCGGGGTGGTTCTGAAGGTCTTGGGGGATGCCAGCGAAGAGGAACAGGGGAAGGATCATCCAGACGTGTGCTACCAGTCGAACAAGCTGATTGACTGTGTAGCCGGAGGCAGGCGACCTAGAGACGAAGATGTCGTTCGGGCGGAAGTCTGGGTGGCGGATGCAGAAACGGTTCAGCGCGGAGTCCTTGGGGACGAGGGACGAGGTGATGCCGGGGTATCGCTCCAGGTTCTCGACATGGTCTGATGGTGACTGGCGCCCTCTCGTGCTGCAACAGCGGGAGCGGCTGTCCGAAATACTCGAGGTATGCGATTTCCTTGTGTGCTGCTATCGCCAGAGCTGCTTTGGCGCTTCATCTGCAAAGCTCAGTTAGTTCGAGAACGTCGCAATGACGAAGCACTGGAAAGCGGTGGCATACACGGTCCTCGATGTCGAGTCTCCCATATCACAGCGCCAGCTACGTGTCAGGGAAAACATAGAACCGCGGGTCCTCCACCGGAATTTCCAGGACTGGGGTGACCGTCTCGAGATCCTCGGTGAAGTAACGGCTGCCGCCGGCGGGGAATGGCAGCGACATCAGTGCCATTCGAGCCTGAGCTGGCGGTATGACACAAGTTACATACATTTAAGCACTCCCCAAGATGTGCGACCTCAGATCGGCTTTCCTCGCGAAATGTCGAGGAGGTTACGGGACGGTTGGACGAATATCGCGTAGGCTCGACTCTCGAGGTCGAGGGCGTGCGCGTCTAACACGGAGGTACCCAGGTGGCGGTGCCCGTTGAATGTCGCACGAGCACGTGACGTGTCTAACCTGAATGTCGCCCGGGAGCGGCAGTGGCTCATCCTCTTCAACGACCTACCACCACGACTCCGGCACAGGCAGCTCACAGGAAGAGAGATCTCTGTTACAAAGCGTGTACACGAAATAAAGCCTTAATCACATGTGAGTAAAGGTCCCGGTCTTTCTAACATGAAGGACAAAGGCGCCTGTCGTCGTCCCCGATTCTCGACACCGGCGGCATAGGTCTATGTAACGGGCTGTTACAACGAAACCACATCGTAACCAGAGTTGGATTATTTTTTCGGTGTCTCAGCTTGTGGCACCGTTGATGCACGCTGATCACACGCTGCATTCAAAGTGTGATCAGTGTGTAACGCGGTTTTCTCGTTATATTTCGAATGTTGCGAGGATGTGGCAGTCAGACAAAGGGATGCCGTGTAACGGGTCGTTACACCGCTCTGTACTCGATAAGCTTCTCTGCCTCGCGGGGCTGCGCCTATGACGCAGTCGACATCGAAAAAGCGTCTTCCGAGGGTCCGCCAATCTACCGATGGTGTGCACATTAATCCCACTTTTACACACGCCAAAATCCCCACTTCTCCAACCCCACGTTGATAACATGTTATGAACACTGTTATTAACACGACTTTCTCACAATGTAACTTAGTCGAGCTTTACTCACAAAACCCTACAGCTCTCTTCACCACGGTTGAAACTACTTGCCATGCAGATAATTCGAGGGTCTAGGGACTCTGCGTTTATGAATCTACCGAGCGAGCTACTCCTTCACATTGCGGGATATCTCTCCGATGACCTTGAAGCTCTGCTCAACCTCGCCCTCCTCTCCCGGCGACTATCCGCCATCGCCCGACACGAGCTATTCAAAGTGATGGACATCCGCGCTCTTGAAGAGGACTACATGGAAGAGTACCTGCACCTCGTCCGCGAGCTCCGCGCGGTGCCCCCTTTCGACCACTATGCGGACTTTCTTGGTGCCCACGCCCTCCACAAACTCACCCCTCGCAACCTCCCTAGGCTCCGTGCGTTCAGCATCGCCGAGCTCAACCTCGTACGGACGAGCTGGGTCTGCCAAAAGGACCTCAGCGTGCTGGGCTCGATCTCTTCCATCACCACGCTCTCCCTCTCGCGCGTCGAGTTCTTCCAGCCGCTCGACATGCTCGCCGTGATCTGCTACCTCCCGCACATCACTGCGCTCTCTCTTGACCGCGTCACGATCCGCGGAGTGGACACCCCCGACCTGACCGCGGTCGTCACCAACCCGGCGCCCGCGGCCACCTTCGAAGACGCGGTCGAGCGTGCGAAGACGCGCCCGCAGCTCGCGCGGCTCGCGCTCGACATGAATCTCATGGCCATGCACGTCGCGCGGTGGCTGGCCGATGAACCCAGCGCCCTCACCACGCTCTCTGTCGACCCGACGGCCTCCGACGCCCAGTTCATGCTACCACACTTCGGACCGACCGTCGTACACCTCGCCGTGCCCCTTCGCTCGACCGGTCCCCTCGCGCGTACGTCCCCACGCGCATTCACTGCTCACTTACACACTAACCTGCCATCCTTCGCAGCCGCCGAGTGGACGACACCCCTGCGTCAGTACACCGCGTTGCGCACACTAACGCTCTACATCGACGCGTACCAGTGCTTCGCGTCCGCACCCACGTGCCAGTGGACGCGGCTCCTGCGCGTCCTGCAGCAGGGCGTGCCGCCCACGGCACGCGCGCAGCTCGACACGCTCACGCTCAGTGTGCACCTCGAAGATCCCGACCTGCACCTGCTCGACGACGCAGTGTGCTGGTGGGCGCTCGACCCGCTGGACGACGTGCTTGCGGGGCCCGCGGGCGGGTATACGGGTCTGAAGACGGTGGAGGTCGCGGTGGAGTGGACGATGCCGGGGAGGAGGCGGATGAGCCTGGATTTGAGGGACGCGGCGGAGGCGGTTATGAAGAAGATCAGGAAAAGGATGGGGAAGCTGGAGGGCGCGGGGAAGTTGGTTGTGAGGTATGGGGTGTTGCGCGAGGTATGTGTATTGTCGCTGTGTTGACTGTGCTGGTTGCTGATCATCGTGTTTGTAGCTGAGCGATTCCCTCATCTGAGATGAAGGGACTGCGCCTCACGCGTGCTTATTTTCGATTTTTGTATGTGTTATGCGGGCCGAATGCTGGCAGTCACTCCGGGAGGTGTAAGTTGTAATACCATGTAGAATTGATACCACGCTGTAGTATATTCCGTGCTTTGAATTGACATACAGAAGACACATAATCTATCATTACGCAGGGTACTTCAAGCTGAGCCCCTGCAAGTACTCCATCTGCGCCGCGCGGTACGTATCCTCTCCCATCGCCAGCGGCACCGCCCCGTCCTGGAATGTCAACAGCTGGGGGCTCTCGCTGGTGTATGGGGGCCAGTGGAACGCCCCGTCGCCATTCGGATCGAGCGTGCTCGCGAAGCGGATCAGGTAGTCAGCCATATCACCACCCCCGTACACGTTCGCCAGCTCGGAGCCGTGTGCCTGTGGATGGACGCGTCAGTGCATATCGCCACACGAACGGGTGGAAGGAGGCTTACCGCGCCGATGCCTTCGATCTTCCCGCCCTTGTTCACTGTAGTAGCCCAATGTTGAGCGTCACGGTCGCGGAGTAGTTCGCAAAAGGAGTGTAAACGGTACGCACAGAACACATAGACCGGCTGCGTCTTGGCCAATTCGCGCGCGAACAGCCGCCGCGGCGCCTGCTCGACCCAGTCGCCCTGGAACGCGGAGATGCGCTTGTACTGCGGCGAGTACGCGAACGCGTCCCCCGTGCCGAACGGAGACCCCGTGGCGGGATCGGCGGGGTACAAGTCGAGTATTGGTGCGAGTTCGTCGCTGCTCGCCTTGGGGTAGAAGTTTGATGAGAGGTAGTCGAAGAACTGATCGTCGGTGCTGTGGACTTTGATCAGGGTGGGTGCACGGTGGAGCGAATGGGTGAGGTCTTACGTGACATTGAGCGAGGGGAACGCGAACGCGCTGCCTTCGTCTTCGTCGTTCCCTGGGGATATATTCGCGATGAGTTCGCAGACGAAGCGGGTAGATGAGGGTACACGTACCTATCACGATCGGGATGTTGGCGATTTGCCCTTTCATGAGAAGTTGTTGCGGAGGCTCGGTCAGGAAAACACCGTCCGAACGGATGTTCCAGGGAGTGTTCACTTGCTGCATTGCATAAAAATGACGATGAAGGCGGCGGCGGCGGCAGCTAGAGAGGAGGCGCACGTACCACAAAGTCGACGAACGAAGGCGACTTGTCCATAGCGGCATGCAATACATTCGCAGGTACAGTCCTGAGGCACTGCAGCGTATCGCTTGCAGACGCACACCCGGCGTCGGAGACGATCTGGTCGTAGGTCGCCTGTATCTCGAGAATGTCGCCATACATTCCCGGGCTGCCGGACTCCATGAAGCCTGCGCGGAATAGGCCCTCCGTGTCGCCGCCGTTCGTGAGCATGTGAAGCGATACCGAGATCGCACCGGCACTCTCGCCCCAGCTATACGAGACGCTAAAGTTAGGAGCCGACTCCGGTATAGCTGGAAGAGAGGGCTCACATCGTGACCTTGGATGGGTCCCCGCCGAATGCGGAGATATATTTCTGAATCCATCTAAAAGCCTCACGCTCTGAAAGTAGAAGATAAATCAATATTAGCTGGCGCCTGTCTGACATCGCACGTACGGTCCTGTAGACCCAAATTTCCGATGCCGGCCTCCTTGACCTCCCTACCGCCGAGAAAGCCGAATGCTAGACGATTAGGTTAACTGCCTAATTGTGATGTTGCTGAACTGCATTCTCACCACCCAATCTGCGAGGGGAGGTCAATATAGCGCGCATGCGTGGAACGGGTTATCAATGCAATCTTACCGATAGTTCATGGCGACATAGACGATGGGGTGGCCAATTTCGATAGACCGTGCTACAATGACATCGCCGGGTTGTCTGGAAACGGATGAGCGACGATACGTATCAAGAGGCGAGAGTCGTACACCGCATTAGACCCGAGTTGAAATCCTCCTATTCGTATATATCAGTCTCCTCCGACAGGCGTTGGCATGACTCCATTACGTACCTCCATAAATCCACTGGTACCCCACACATGTCAGCATAAGTCTTCGCCGATATCTAGGACGGTAATGAACTTACCACGACGACGGGTAGTTTTGACTCCGAGGTGGCGTTTGCGGGGGTGATGACATTGAGGTTCAGGCCTAGACACGCCAATTTGAGTTGTAGCCGCGGGAGACCGGCGACCACAACTTACAATCCTCGCTCTGGGGGACATCCTGGATGGAGATAAATGCCTCAAGGTATTCCTGCGCAGGTTCGGGCACATCGGCCGGGAACAGCGGTAGTACGAAGTCCTGCTGTATGCACTGGTTGCCAAACGAGGTGGCGTTGATTAGACCTTCGTATGGTGAAATAGGCTGCGGAAGCCGTAGCCTCAGATCTCCGACGCTGAATGATTCGAATTAGGTTTACTCCATTTGCGTAGATGGAGCTTAACTCACGGAGGCTGCGCAAACGGAATACCGAGGAATTGAGTGGTCGTTCCGTTCGTGGCCCCAATTACCGTCGCATTATCGAGGACAACAAATGGGTTGGGGGCGCGACGAGCAGGAGAAGCCGCTGCCGCGGTCACATATGCGATGAGGGCCCAGGTGAGGAAGGACATGGGTGTTGTGTGGCGGATGGCTCAGACACCTTGTACGGCCCCGCGCCGTCCTCTTATACCTGGTTCCATGCGCCTATGTGGTCAGTATATTTGAGCTTCGGAGTTAGGGGGAGTCAAAGAAATGCGCGCTTTTTGGCTTTTCAAATGGGAGAGGTCAAAACGTTGGGAGACAGCGGATGCGCGCGTAGAGCTGATGATGCAGTCCGACCGGGTTTACAGCGTCATGCTTATGCAGCAAACCATTCAGGTAGTCTACAATAGTCATCAGCACCCAGAATTTGCGTAGATAGCAGGTTGTTCACCTTGCAGTCACACCGATGACTCTTGTGACTTTCTGCTCATGGACCATGCGGGGCTTCTTGACGCAGAATAAGGTCGATATGATATGCGCGGTAAACCAGCCGGGTGCTCGAAGCCCAACGAGTTACCTAGAGTGCGGGTTGCCGGGGGCGCGAAGTAACGCGACCTACCGGGCATATGGACGACTCGCTCCATCTTCCGAAGAGCGTGAAAAGTGGAGGTCTAAAGTCTATCGACCTGATTTTCGCTATAAGCCGACCATGGTCGGACAAACTCCGAAGTGTGCATCGCAAATAGACGTGGACTGACACGCAAAACACCATTTGCTAACTCCGAGACCCTTGGATCGACCCAGACTTCCTGAAAGCTTCATTTGATTGTCGCCTTTTGTCGATTAAGAGGTATTCCAGCCAGTTAGACAGCCTCCCTAGTAGCAGACGCAGTGTGCTTACCAACCTAGTGCTTGACCGACGAACCGGCAAGTGACACGACTCGGATGCGCACTAACAACGGCAGAGGTGACTCGTATTTTTGGCTGTCTTCACACGCTACCCGCAGAACCGCCGTAGACAGCTAGACGTAACATGGCATGGCATGCGTGAGTCGAGGAGATGGTGGTTCGAGAGAAAGACGCACAGACTTCGTGGTGTCCCGAAGAGGCGGAGTTGAAGAGATAGGCGCTCATAGCACGAGGCTGCCAAACGCCCGACAGTCCGAAAATCCGAAAACCACTTCCTTGGGGAACACTCATTGTGAATACAGCCAGAAAGTTTACGAGTTATTTTAACCTCGGTTCAGCATCACCCGGGAAATTAACATCCTGGTGAATAACGTAAATACACATAACTGGTACTACTTGCCGGAATAGTGGTTCATGTCGCCGACGATAGCAGCCACCATGTAACCTCCCCGAGTCAGCCCTTCATGTCGCTCGGCCTTTCGCCTCTGTGCCAACACATACCATGCCCGTACGTTCTCCTCATCCCCCGTACGCTCGTAACCAACCTCCGCCCCGCCGGCGTGACATTGCGCAAAGTCTCTTCGATTCTGTTCGCCAGGGCCCCGTCGCGCATCTCCACCTTAGCAACCTCCCACTCCCCACTCCACTGTACCTCGAAAATGACGGTGTCAAGGACAGCAAATTTGGGATTGTTGAGCGTGTTGCTCAGCAGCCCGAGGACGTCCCAATCGATGTGTGAGCTCAGCGGCTCGGATTCGCAACGGGCCAGCACGGAAGAAGATATGTGCACGTTGATGGTGGCGGTGTGCAGATGCTCCGCCGAAATCCAGTGCTCGAGTAAGTGCAGGAGAACTTTCCATGCTTGGGGCGAGTCCACCATCGTATCCAGCCACAGGGTGAGGGTGCGCAGATTGGTGTACGTTCCGAGATATCTGCTGTAGCAGGCCCTATCTGGGAGGGCGTCGAGGTCAGCTAAACGGGTACGATGCGGAAAATTATACGGCGGCAGTCGACTTACTGCCTTTTCCCTTGAGAGGGATACTGAGGTGTTCGATGTTCGTCCCGAAGTGCCGCAGCACGGAGCTGGGTGAATTTGACCAGCGCGTCACCACCAGAGTGGTAAGCGATTCTTTGCTGGGACCGGAGGCCAGCCAACCTGCCACGTCGTCTGTCACAGCAGTAATGGATGTCGCAACCGAGAGGTTTGAGAGCTTCGGTCGCACCGCCATTTCGGACGAGACGCCATCTGCCAACTGTTTGAAACCCTCAGGCAATTTCAGGTTCCGAGTCCACGATGATGGAAAATACTCCGCATCCTGCAGCGAGAGTTCCGACAGGTTCGGAAGGGAGCAGATCAAGGTCTGGATATGTCGGAGGTGGACAAAGCACACACACCCGGACAGGGCGAGGGTAGTGACTGACGTGAGGGCCGACAGCCCACAGTAGACGTCCGTGGACATCCAGATGAAGAAACCTACACATAGATTGCTGAAGTGGATGGATTTGAGCTTGGGGAGTGCGTGCAGGTCGAGGTATGGGACCAAGCGGCCCTTCATGACGTCGTTCGAGCTGGGGTTGGGCTCTTCGATTCGCAGCTCCTCGATGCGCCCAAAGTATGGGCGCATGTATGTCTCCCGGAGAGCACATACATTCACCGTAGTGAACAGCTCCTCGCGGATGGCCGGGAGGAGTGCGCGACAAGCGAGGGCGAGATTTTCCAGGTCCTTCAAATCCCGATCGACGGCCTTGACGATGAGAACGAGGATCTCGTCCGGAAGCATTGAAAACATGGTGTTTTTTGTATAGTCTCGCACCTAGACGATGATCAGGCATTAGGATCGAACTTCGAAACTGCGGCGACCGTATATATGATAGGTAGATGCCCACCTCTTCTACGTCAAGGGCTGCTTTACCGGTCACCAACGCTCTTCGGCCAGTACTACGAGTCAGTTTGGTAGGTTCTGAAGTTATGGCGGGCCCAAAAATGGGAGATGGTGGTCGTCTTTAGTGAGTAGATGGCGATCAGTTCAAATGCCCAATCGACGCCGCGACACCGGAGTCCGGCACGCCATGGCATGACACGCGAGTTCCACGAGCACCGCTTTCAATTCCGACTTCTCAAGCGCAACCCCGCTTCTACGTGCTTGCTCCGACGAAACTGGAGACCACGCTACAGGAGTAGCGGCAGGTTCGCGATGCTGGGCCGGTCCCAGACGCGGTAGAGTAGCTCGATGTACGGGGTAAGAGCGTCGCGGAGGTGAACCGCCACCATGGAGGGCGGATGAGGGAGGACAGCATGAACAAACCGAGACGATCAACATTCAGCAACAGTCCCAATGCGAGTGGAGGTAGTCGAGGGCGCGGGAGACGATGATCGCAAGGTCGAGGTCGTCGAGTGCGGGGAAGAGAATGATCGGCGGCGCACTTGCCCGGCACATCCGCGCTTATTTAGCTGAGCGCTCCGACCAGCTTCGACCTGTCCTTTGCAATGTCACTCGTTCTTGCCCGTCCTTGACCTCGTCCACATAATATCGGTGCTCGACGAGAGAAAATCGGAATCAAGAGGGACTAGTGACAGTCAAGTACTACTCCAGTAACTCTCCCTTCTCCTGCAGGTCGGAGGCATCTGACCCAGTATTGCTTCTAGCCCGGGCCACGACGGTGTCATAAGCGTACTGGCGGTAATGGTTCAATGTCCAGTTTATGCGCACCGAGCTGTCGCTCGTGAGCTTCACTGCGCAAGACGGGAAATATCAACCTCAAGTCACAGTGCATGCATGGTGAATATGAAGGTGCTCACCAAGCTCTGCTTGGAAGGATCGCCGGAGTTTCGACCGCAGCTCCCGGGCTCCATCAGTTTCGGGGGCCTTGGAGTTCTTACGCAGAGCGTGTGCCATGTTATTAGAACAGGCACTGCAAAGGACGGGTGTGAATCATGTCCAAGGAAGATGGCCATGAACCGTAGAACACTGGCAAGCCCACCTTGTGAAAGTGCGGGGGCTTGGCGAGGATTGAGTATGTGCGACAACCACAGCGACCACCTGGTCCCCGCCGCGACCTTATATCATTTCTCGCAGGAGCCAGCCGCTGTCGACTGGGGTGTGGCGGCGCGCCGTCGCGCGAACCCCAAACGTTCCGCCGCGAGTTTATTTCTACCATCACATCGTGCTCTTCACCGTCTGCGAGGAAGGATCAATGTTTTCGAAAAGGGTGCCCGACGCACTAAAATTGAGCGCCTGCGCCGCTAGGCTCGGGTGACATTGTCCCACTGGGCGGGCAGCACGGCTTGACTGGACGGCGGCACCGCCCACATAACAAACGACGTCTGGCACCGCGCATCGAACGAGGCCGTTACATAACCAAAGCAAGCGAGCTCCGCCGCCCCGACGTCGGGAAGGGAGCCCGCATCGAGCCGAAGCCGAAGCTGGTCCCTGAAGTACTGCTGAAGTCATTTGGGGAAAGGAGAGATAGTCATGACGCACCCTCGGGTTTCTTGGCCTGCTGTGGAAGTGTTACAGCCCTTCACGTCGCATCCCTTCCACTTGCAGCTGGCAACGCCAAAACACACGCCAAAACTCTGGGTAAACGGGGTATACGACAAGGAATCACTGACTGAATCATGATGGGTGCACACTCATCGAAAAAGCAAGGCTTTCGGTCTCCCCGCGGTCACCGTCCGCGAAGTCGCTCGTGCGAGCGAGCGATGGCTCGAGCTACTTGACTAGCAGAGTCCACGGCCATACAACGCTCGTAATTAGCACATCTATCATTGTCAGCTCCAGCTCCGAGTTCGCCTCCTCCGAGAATATCAAACATCCATGGCCCACATAAAGAAATTGACAGCGTCCGAGTTCGCATAAAGTCCAACAAATTGCCACCCATACCTTAGTGATTCTTTACTCGACTGGCAGCGACGCTCCCAATCGAGTATGATACCGCGCTGCCCTTGTACCGCCGTCGGTGATCCGAGTCGACGTGGTAGTATCCGCGGAAGATGATGTCCAGCTCGTACACTTCCGCCATCCCCCGCTCTGACGCACAGTCCGACACTTGACACGGATAGTTGAACGCCAGCCGCACTTCCCCGCTCTTGTTCCCGAACGCCCGCCGGTGGTCCTTCCACTGCTGCACGAGCATTGACTCGTCCGGGCACACGTCCTTGCCCTCCGCGTACCCTGGTGGCGCCTCGAGTAAGACCGAGGCCAGGTCCCCGCAGTCGGGCTTCACGAGCAGGGAGTCGACGTCCGAGCCAGAGTCGAAGGTCACCGTCGCCCACAGCTGCGCGCTCTGCGTCGAGCCCACCGCCTGCGCGTCGATCGCGCACACACCGAAGTGTACTGTGAACGGTTGGTACCCGATGAACGAGATGCTGCGTGTCTCCCCCACGCTTGTGAGCCGGAAGCCGCGTTCGGGGAGCACCGGCGTGATGTAGCCCATGCGCTCAAGCGACTTGCGCGCCGCGTGCGAGATCCGGATGGTGCACGGGGGCTCGAAGAAGATGAGTGAGTGCCGGGAGGGAGAGGAGCTGGAGCCAGGAGAGCCGGAGCGTTCGCGGGCGAATGACGGCCGCGAGGAATGAATAATGACCTCTTGAAGGTTAGAGGAGCAGATGAGGTACTGTTCTGAGGACGAGAGACGGGTTGTCCGGCAGTACGAGTTTACGCGACTGCCCTGTGAGACGTAGCCACCAACAAGCAGTTTGGAACCTTTGTTAGAATGGGCTCGGAGGTATAGCGCGACAAGTCGACCATTGCCGTCGACGCAGGCGAGGAAGCCAAGCATCGCGTTGGGCGTCTTAGAGGTCTGTCCAAGAGGCACCACGGGGAGCGTCGTTCGCACACCAGCAGCGGTAGGGGTATACACTGGGACGTTCTCCCGGTCAAAGCCAAGACGAGCCGCAAACTCCTGAAGGGGTATAGGGCTGAGGTCCGCGCAGCCGACAAAGTCGCTAGGAGATGACGCAAAGAGCGTCTCCGTGTCCGTCTGTGGCTCGTAATCGTGCTCCTTCGCGTTCGCCACGAACGTCCCAGAGCCGTGATCGTGCAGGGTGGGCCCCCAAGCGAAGACGCTTTGGTCTTCAGAGCGCTTGACGATCTCCTCCTGGAGCCGGATGAACGCAGCACGGCCTCGCTCGCCATAGATCGTAGGCATACACACGCCGAAGATGCCCATGAGCGCGTACGCGCGGTCTTCTTCCCGCCGCGCCTCACGCTTCGCCGCCCACGACATGCGACAGGCTATGCTGACCTCCTCGAGGGGCCTCTTGTGGGTGAGGACCAGCTGGTCGATGTTCGTCACGGATTCGATCAACGGTGCGAGCTTCCACTTGGCGCCGATGGGCTGCCAGTCGGAGGACAGGAAGACGACGGAGGCGGGGGCGATGAGTTCCTGCAACGTCCATATGCGCCTGAACCACTTGCTCCTTCGAAACGACGACTCAGGTGGGTGCGGGTCCTCGCCAGGCGGCACGTCCTCGAGGTACGCGTAGCACATCGACGACTTGGCGTAGATGTCGAACATGGAGTTGATCGCCTCGGAGAGCTCTGCGCTGTTCCCAGCGTCGATGCATGTCGTGTCCGCCCAGAGCCAGCGGTACCCGTCATGCAGTGCCTTCGCGCATGCGCCCTTGATCTTCTTTGACGGGCGGCGGAGCGCGTGGTCGGATACGCGCTGGAATACGCCACGCTTGTCGCGTGCGCCCTTGACGAGAGGAGTGTCCCGGAACGTCTGCTCGGTCGTGCCCCAGACGTGGGATAGGATTGCATAGGGCGGAACCTTGAGCTTGTCGAAGCGATGCAACTCGATAGTCGCGGTGTTGAGCAAATACATATACTGCTAGTGGGTCTGCTACGCGCGGTGATAAGATCCGATGTAAAATAAACGGAAGACCAAGGTTTGATGAACTCACCTTAGTAGAGGGCTATAAGAAGAGAGTAAGGTCGAGAGGACAACTTAAGCCGCGTAGCTAAGAGAGAGTAGCACTGAGTAAGTGGCACGGAAGTCGATACAATGGTCGGATGCGCCCCGAGCGGGGAACGTGTCCGCTTAAGTACCTCTTGGAGGCCATGGAAGGTGTACTTGGAAATCGAATCCGCTCTGGCGATTATCACTGGCTTCGGATCCCGGAAAGCCTAGTCGTGACTCCTTAGCAGCAAATGGGCAGCGCATTCCACATACCGAGCTGTACAAAAACCACCTCATGACAGGGAGTATGGCTGGACGCACAGGTTCCCATTGACAATTATGCCATGGATGTGTTGTGGCGGATCGCTTTCGTTACAAACATAACGTGAACCCGGGCGGGTAATGCGGGGGAGCGGACTGCCTAGAGGGGAAGAAGGAAGAAGGAAAGCGGTGCGCGTGGGAGGTTTGGGCGTTTGAGCGACTGACCATCTCCTACGAGTCACTGCCTACGACTACCATCTCCCCCCAAGACCCAATTCAAGTTCATAGGTGCCAAAGGCAAAATAAATCATGCTCATGGAGCTTCCAAATGAAATCCTGGTACTCATCATCCAGGCGGTCGATCGCGACTTGACCGACTTGCGGAACCTCGCCCTCACCTGTCGCGCACTCCTCCCAGTTACTCGTGAAGAGCTCTTCTCCGAGTCGATCGTGAACGTATGTGCTCTTCTGGAGCCACACATCCGCCCGTACTCCGACCACATCACCAAGCTGCGGATCGAGGAGCCTAATTCTGAGTCAAACAACGTCGCGAACGGCCGCTTCATCCCGTACCTCGACCCACACGCACTCCCCAGGCTTACAACCCTCTACTTCAACGGCCTCAACGCGTGGTTCTTCGTGAAGATGCCGACGTCGTTCTACCAGGCGTTATCCTCTCTGACGTCAGTCACCACACTCGCTCTCGGCAGCGTGTACTTCGTCAACTTCCGGCAGATCCAGGCCTCGGTCTGCTCCCTTCCGAGCCTGTCGGAACTCTCGCTGCAGGACGTCGGGTACATTCCGTGGACCGGGGACATGCCAGAAGGTTACGACCAGTGGGCGGAGGGCCTCCCCGAGATTACGACACGGCCGCGGCTCTCACGCCTGATGATCGCTCCCTCCTCCGCGACCGAGGACGTCGTGCCTTGGTTGGCCTCCGGGCCGAGCAAAGACTCGCTGACCACTTTGGTGGTCCCGCACCGCGCCAACACCCCGCAAAAGGTGCTGAGCCACTTCGGGCCGAACATCGAGCATCTCAGCATCCACCTCCACGAATACGGCAGTAAGCCAATTCGCACAAGCCCTGTGTCACGACGTTGCTCACCCGGACGTCTTCCTAGATAAAACGTACTATACCAGAATTATCAAGGGGTACACGAACTTGCGCACCTTGAGGTTGGTCCTGGACGCTCTGGTGGAGGCGCCACACGCCTGGACACTGGACGTCCTGCGCATGCTTGGGTTTTGGATCCGCGCGCAGCACTTGCACACCATCGCCATCGACGTGCTGATCCCCTGCGATGTGCTGGAGCGCTGCGAGTGGCAGCTCGATGCGCAGCTCGACTGGGATAAGCTCCGTTTGCTCGACGGCGTGCTGGCCGGCCCGAAGTTCGCGGTGCTCGACACGGTCGAGTTCACTGTGCAGTGGATCGGAGAGTGGGACCCCGAGGAGGAGATGCGGGCGGCGCTCGCGAAGAGGATTGAGGAAACCCTGCGCAAGGTCGCGGAGACGAGGAGGCTGGTCACGAGCGTGCGAGGGATGAAGGAGGTGCTTCCGCGCGCGCATCGGCAGGGTCCGCGCCCGGAAGCTGCGTGAGGGTGACGGCTCTTGTCATAACTGATATACAGTTGGGGTGAACGACGGCAAGTTATGCGAGATACAAGTTTAGTAACCGTTCGTATCCGAGCCGTCCGGCCGCTAAGTTGTAGTGGCCATCTGTTCTGACGTCGCTCTTGTCAGTCCAGCTATACGGTCCACGGATCACCAACCTGCCCATACTGCTGATTTGTCCAGTGCATAGGCTTTAATCCGGTCTTGACGGGATTACTATCTTTTACACTGATTTGCAGATATTGTAGAGGTAGCAAATGACTATTCCGACACTCACCTTACAGGCAGCCTGGGCGGGCCTGCATCCACGAGGAGTGGAGTCCTAGACTCTCGATGTCCGCTATCGAAGTGGATGTCTGCTCATCTCCGCAAGGCCTCATCGGAGATGTGTGGAAGATCCCGAGAAGTGAAGAAGTGAACGATCTGCATGCTGTATCCGCACACAGAACCGCGAGGCTGCGGCGCGCGCAGTTGAGGGGGCGCGCAGTGGCCCCCCACGTCTAATTTGAGCCCAGCGTGATGTCCCCTTGTTGCAGAAATCGAGAAATCCAGTCGTTGAGAGTGAAAGCGAGTTGATTCCGGTTGTCCTGTACGGTATCGTCGTGGTACAGAGGCAAACGGACAGGTACAAAAAACGGCCTCGCGCACGATACTGAACGCTTCGGCAAACGCCGGCGAGCAGGCGCTCGAGCCTCGCTCGCTCGAATCCAAAATCTAACACCCCCGGTACACCCGGAGACCATGCATACATATTCTCTTTCGATTTGTATCTCAGCACGGTGCACACATACATCGCGCGCTCACCCGAGTGTGGTACTCACTGGACATCGCCTGATGTCCGAGGATTATCATGATGGGAAATGTCGCCGGTGTCCATCACGGCGTAAAGCCATACGAGATGGACCGGGGAGGGAGTGGCAACGAACAGATCCGCCGCAGATCAACGTGGACCTGTGCAATGCGCAAGAGAGACGCAGGAGGCGAGGCGATGAAGTTCTTGTAGAGTTACCATATATATCAAGGTTACAGCGCCTCATCCGGATCGATCGCACTCCTTGTCTCGCAGCAGCCACCATCTCCTGTACATATACCCGTCCATCCGGCGTCCTCGAGCGATCCATCTCGCTCATCCCCACACGCACGCATACCCACACAGCGACACCCCGCGATGCAGCGACACTCCTTCACCGCGCTCAACTCGACCTTCGTCGTCGACTCCGAGTACCAGTTCGTCAAGGAGCTTGGCCAGGGCGCGTACGGTTGCGTCGTAGCCGCAAAGCATCGCCGATCGGGCGAGGGGTGCGCAATTAAGAAGATTACAAACATCAACACCAAGGTGCGATTCTGAGCTGCTGTACCCGCCGGCTCGCATCCTAACCGAAGTACTTCGCCGGGTAGAGGATCCTTACGAAGAGATGTCTACGCGAGATCAAGTGCTTACTCCCCCTGCCGTGCGCGATCGGGGCCGTGAACTGATTCCCTTCCTAGGCTCCTTCACCACTTCCGCGGACACAAAAACGTACGTAACATACCCCGCGGTTCCGCACAGGGCATTCTGATTGACATTCCGGATACAGATCACCTGTCTGTACGACATGGACATCGTCTTCCACTCCGACGGTAACTTCGACGAAGTGTACCTCTACGTAAGTCAGCATACGCGATGCAGCCCCATCGGACACTCACTATCATCCTAGGAAGAGCTCATGGAGGCCGATCTGCACGCCATCATCCGCTCGCAGCAGCCGCTCTCGGACGCGCACTTCCAGTCGTTCATCTACCAGACGCTCTGCGGGCTCAAGTACATCCACTCCGCGAACGTGCTCCACCGCGACCTGAAGCCGGGCAACCTGCTCGTGAACGCGGACTGCGAGCTTAAGATCTGCGACTTCGGCCTCGCGCGCGGGTACAGCCCCGGGAGCGGCAGCAGCCAGGCGCGCGGCGGCGCGAACCAGGGCTTCATGACCGAATACGTCGCGACGCGCTGGTACCGCGCGCCCGAGATCATGCTGAGTTTCGCGAACTATGTGAGCTGCTTGAGGTTGGCAGTATATCTCGGAGCTGACCACGTACGCAGGGTCCCGCAATCGATGTGTGGTCCGTGGGCTGTATCCTGGCAGAGCTGCTCGCTGGGAAGCCCATCTTCAAGGGCCGGGAGTGAGTGCTGCATGCCTTTCTGACAACGGAGATACTCACACGTTGCATTCAGCTACGTTGACCAGCTGAACCAGATCCTGCACTACCTCGGCACCCCCTCCGAAGACACCCTCCGCCGGGTCGGCTCCCCCCGAGTACGCCCTCCCTATCCTTCTTCGCCCTCAGTCCGCTAACCTCTCGACGCCCACAGGCGCAAGACTACATCCGCTCGCTTCCGATCAAGCCGCGCGTGCCGTTCTCGACGCTCTTCCCGCGCGCCAACCCGCTCGCGATCGACCTCCTCGCGCAGCTGCTGCACTTCGACCCCGCGAAGCGCATCACCTGCGAGCAGGCGCTCAACCACCCGTACCTCGCCGTCTGGCACGACCCCGCCGACGAGCCCACCTGCGCCTCGGTGAGTCCCACGTCCCGCGCGATTCGGGTCCTAGTGTTGGGGCGCGCGTGCTGATGCGAAGTGTCGGGGCTGGAGCAGCCGTTCGACTTCGGGTTCGAGGAGGAGGACTCGATCGAGGGCATGAAGCGCCTCATCGTCGAGGAGGTGCACGCGTTCCGCGCGGAGGTGCGTGCGCAGGCCCGCGCTGCCGGTCAGATTCGCCGTCAGGAAAGGTGCGTCCCTCCTTTTCTTTCTTCGTGTTGTGTGTGCTAACGGGGTGAACAGCCTGCCGATGCCGTCGCGCGACGAGATCCTGAACTCGCCGGTGGGGGATAACGCGGCGCAGAATGGCGCGACGTCGAGCTACACAGGCGGGAACGGGGAGGTGCGCCCGGGGAGCCCGATCCTGGACGACCCGAGTGCGGAGCTCGAGCGCGAGCTCGCGAACGCGCACATCGCGCGTCGGTAAGTTCGTGTTTTTCCGGTGGTACCACGAGGGAGATCTATGGAAGGGGGCCGGCGCTAGGAAGATCTATGGGGGGACAAGGATATAAGGACGGAGGACTCGATATCTTGGAGAGAGAAGCTTGGAAATGAGGAGGAGTGTACGCTGGGCACGCCGGCTTGTGTTGCTACACGAGCCGGATCCGTGCGGTGTTGTGCTTGTTCTACTGTGTAGATGTATCTCGTACCGTAATTTATTGTGCTTGTCATCTTCCGCTATCGCAAGTCGGAGTGCTACGTTGCCGAAATTGGACGCAGAGGCGTTTGGTAGCCTCGTGTCTACGGGCGCTTGAACGGTCATTTCCCCGGTTCGCGCATCTCCGAATCGTGATTAACGCAACATAAATTGAATACGGCAACATATCGAGCATGGGGTGATACATAGATGCATAATGACGACATGCACTCGTAGGGTTATCAGGCAGCACATTGCACACCGTACCAGCACTCGACTCGGATCTGATCCTCGCCGCCCGAGGTCAGCTTGATGCATCTGTGTGCGCCAAGCCAAAGCCCGAGATGCAGAACAGCATCGGCGGGATGATGCCATCGCCATCGAGTCCGAGTCTCGACGGCCATAATGATACAGTGATGTCGCAGCGCCGGAGCCCGAGCTGGAACGAGCCAGGCAATCCCATTTGTAGCCGTTCCGTAGCGACAGCGCGATGGGGTTATGACGGGCTGCAAGTTGGCGTTGAGGGGAATCGTGCACCCTAAAGGGCAGGCCTGGGCGTGTCAGTCGCTATGCGGTGCGCCACTGTCCACCGTCAATCGCTGTGATGTCAGACAGACATGCGAATGTGGCCGTCCCGCCATCGGGGACGCATGTGCCCGATGACAATACCGTCCTCACGTTCGCAGGCTCAAGCTTAAGCTCGCGTCAGTCGTCACCGCCGTTGAGCCCGTCGAGCCCTATCGATAATCGCACGCCTCCCACGGTGGATTAGGGGCATGCGTGTGCTTGTACGGAGCCGCGGGGCCATCGTCATAGTAGCGTAAGTTAGAGGGACGGGTCCGGGGAGGGCGTGCGAGGACATGCGTCGCGGGCGTGTGCGGAGACTCGGGGATGCGTATGTAGAGGGAGGCGTGTGTAGAGAGGCGTGGGTGGTTGTCAGGGCGCGGGGACGGGGTAGGGAAGGAAGGGAAAGAGATGCGGAGCCGGGGACGGGGACGGAGCGCGAGGACGGGCAATGTGTATACCGGCTTGGCGTAGGATGTCGTGTGAGGTACAGGTGACGATTGCGATGCGGAAGAAAGGATATAGCGCGGCGAGGAGGTTGGTCGACCGTTACACCAGGCCAGAGCGACGGTGCAGTTATATCGAACGAGTGGGAGCGTGCAGCGGAGCCGAAGATTGAAACCAAGAACACGAGAGCGGATGCGAGACCGTCCAGTACTGCGAGCACGCGAGACGGGCGTAGGGTGAAGCACCAGCATAGTAAACCGTCACGGCACAGCAGCCGGTGCCGTAGCGCAGTCTAGGGATCGACAAGCATCAGTCAAGCGTGCATCTTCGGAGGGCGTACCGTGCGTGCGTGCAGCGAGGCAGCGGGGAGGTGCCCCCAAACCTCAGCCTAATTCGATCGGACACTTGGGATGCCGCACCGCCGAGGGGTTTGACTCTGAGCTGCGATTGCGAGATAGGGCGGTCTGCGCAAAGGAGCTCGAGTTATGTACGCAAGTTCAGGGAGATCGAGCTTGTTCTCCGTCGGCGCCTTACGACTGCGCGCCTTCGAATACGTACGCAGCACAGCACAGCAACGAGGAATGATTATAAGTAAGCTTTCCCTGCGCAGCGCTCGGAGTCGTTACGCGTAAGTACGCGGGGGTGATCCGGCGGACGCACGGGGCCATGACGACTCGGGACGGGGCAGGGGCGAACAGAAGAAGCAGTGTATGCAGGGCGGGGGTGGCTGCGGAGCAGGCGCGCTGCGGTGCATGTACGAATGTTACGCGGTACACGCCACACCGTCGAACTGGAGGCAGTAAGACGTATCCCCGGTGTCCGCGCGAGACGCCGTGCGAGGACGTGCGGGGGGCTCGGGCACGAGGGGCGGGCTAGACGGGCCAAGAGAGAGGAATAGCGGGCGCGCGGGTGTGCGATTCCCAGGGATGTGTACCATGGGGAGGGCGCGGTGAATGTGCGACATGGTGCGTGAGTGGGAGGGCGGAGTATTTTTGCGGGTGCGCAGTATGCATGGGGGGTGGGGAGAGTACTGCCGGAGTGGTAAGTTGGCACGCTAAATGCGCGCGGGCTGCGTTTAGACGATGGGATACGGGGGTGCTATTCCTGGGGATGTACGTTCATGGTCGGGATGACGTCCCGAAAGCATCATGCAGTTGAGCTAGAAAAGAGCAATCGTGCAGAGGTGCGCATGCTGGAGGTGAGTATATGCTGCGCGTTAGGCGAAGCGCAGAATATTGAATGGCGAAGCGGGTCAGCAGTCGAGGTCGAAGAGGAGGATCGTCGGGTGGGAGGAGGACGACAAGCGTGCGTGCGGCCGGAAGCAGGCGTGGGAGAGAAGGGAGTTTGTCGACCGGCGGCGCACATCCGCTGCGGTTGCCAGAAGGGGAGCGTGCCTGGACGAGCATCAAAGCTGTTCTGACCGTCGGAGAGACAAGTGAGTGCGACAGACTGCACAGGCTGTTTGCTATCACCCTGATGGGCAGCGGATCGCGCGCAGTCGTCCCGCCCCTCGTCCCGTTGGTGTCGACCCCCGCGGCTGGTACAGCGAGCGGACAGACAGCGTTCACAGGCGAAGAGGGCCGGAGAGCTGGGCTGGGAGGCGACGGAGGGCGGGAGAGTGTGACACGACTGCCGGATTGGGACGGATGACGCACCGGAGAGGTGCGGTCGGCAGGGCGACGGGGACGTGATTGGACGGGAAGCCTGGGCGGGGCTGGTCACGGCTGGTCACGGCTCGTGCGCTCTTTAATATTCCGAGTGCGACGGTCGGCGGGTTGGCCGGTCTTGTCTTTCCTTCGCTCTTTCCTCTTCTTCTTCGACTCGCTCTCTTGCCTGTTTTCCCTCCCAGACGCGTCCGGAACGCCTCACGCTCACGACGTCTGCCTCCTTATATTCTCTTATCCCTATCTATCGGCCCCCTCTAATCCGACTCCTCCCCCACTCTCCCTCTCTCTCGACTGCCCTCTCCACTCATGTCTCTCAAGGCAGAACTCGAGACCTGGGCCGCCGCCCTCGCCGCTTACGACGCAGAGGACTTTGAAAAGTCCCTCGAACTCTTCGCAGGAATCGCCGACTCCTCCAAGATCCTCACCAACATCGGCCTCATCTATGCCACCCTCGGCGAGCACGAAGCCGCCGTAGAGCAGTTCACGGCCGCCACAGAGCTCGACCAGTACCTTGCCGTTGCGTAAGTCCCCCCTCTGTGTGCCTTGTCTCCCGTTTCGCTCCGCGTCCTTGTCCTCGCCTTTGCCGCCCTTGTCCGCGCATTCGCATTCGCCTTTGCACCCACGCCCCGCCTGCGGTCTCCCGCAGCGTCCCTCTCGCAACCCCCTGCCCCCGCAACTCTGCCCGCCCGCGCCCGCAGGCCGTCCCACTACTCTCGCCGCACCCCGACAGCGTGCCCCTCATCTCCGCCCGGCCCTCTGCACCCTGGGAACCCCGCACAGATAACAGATCGCGCCCGCCCGGGCTTCCCACCGTCTGTTTCTGTTTCTGGCGCAGTGAACCATACATTGCGAGCCCCCGGTCCCGCGGCCGAGGCCCTGCCCGTCGATTAGGCTTCGGGACGGGCGTGGGGGTGTGCTCTGTCCCGCGGTTCTTTCCCATGGAAACCGCCGCTGCTCCCAGACGCAAGCGCGCGCGGGGGACTCGGGGCGTGCGTGCGCGCGTGTGTGTGCTCAATGGGCTATTGGGGCTCCGGGCAGCCCAGGATGGCGCGCGGATTCCGTGTTTCTGCTCATCTCATCTTTCCTGTTGGACGGCGCATCGCCTCGGCGGCGCGAGCATCACCCTCCATCACCCGTCCCCGGCCGCCGCACGCCGGTCCGGCACACGTCGCAGTGCGGGTGTGAGGCCGAGGATGGGTGCGATGGCGGCGAGGATGTGAGACCGGGATTGAGACTTGAGATCGAGACTGACACCGACACCGCGAGTTGTGGGCGGTTGTTGGCGTCTTGTCTGGGCGATCGCGCCGTGGGCGCGTACGCCCTGCCAAGCGCGTGATCGGGCGTGCGAGGCAATTGACCGGCGCCAAGGGGGATGCGCCGCGGATGCTGCTCGCGGTGTCACTGTGTGCAATGCAACTCCCCGCGGCTTGTCTTCCGTTCTGGTTTGCGCACTCGTAACCATTAGATGGGCGCTAATCTGTTCTCGCACGGCAGATACTTCCAGTGCGGCGTATCCAACTTCCTGCTCGCGCGGTACGACGCGGCGTACAACGACTTCTCGAGCGCGCTGCTGTACCTGCGCGGGAACCAGTACATCAACTACGAGCAGCTCGGGCTCAAGTTCAAGCTCTTCAGCGCGGAGGTGCTCTTCAACCGCGGCCTCACGCATATCTACATGGGCAACGCCCAGGTGCGTCCATCTTCCTTCCGCCCGTCTTTCTTCCCCGGTCGAGGGCGTGGGGTATCAAGGGAATGAAGGGAACTGACGCGATGCGGGTGTGCAGGAGGGGCTGGCGGACATGGAGGACGCGCGGCGCGAGAAGGCGACGGAGGAGCATGGCGTGATCGACGACGCGATCCAGGACCGCGGCGAGGGCTACACCGTGTTCAGCATCGTGAGTGCCCCTTTGCGCAGGTAGAGATGATAGGGATAACGTTGCTAACGGGATCGTGACGCAGCCCGTGGGCGTGCTGTACCGCCCCGCGCAGAAGAAGCTCGAGAACTCGAAGGCGCGCGACTTCCTCGGCAAGGCGGTGCGTCTTTAGATTTTTAGAAAGGAAGTAAGGGGGACTGACGTAGGGCGGGGGCGCAGAAACTCGTCGCGGCGGAGTCGACAAACGACCTCTTCACGGAGTTCACGGGCGTCGCGCGCCTGAAGCAGGGCATCACGCCCACCGGCATCTTCGTCGACGACGGCCCGAACGCGGGCCTCCAGCGCGCAGCCACCGTCGCAACGAGCGTTCCCAGTGCGTCTCCTTCTCGCGCTGATCCCGATAGGGCTGATCGCTAATTGATGGGTAGAACCGGCGAACGGCGACGACCCGAAGCCGCCCGCGCTGCAGCGCGCGAAGACGACGATCACCGTGCCCGCAGACGCGCGCGACCGCATCCGCGCCGCGAACATGGGCGGCGCCCCGCCCAACACGCCCCCCAAGGCCTCGCCCACCTCCCCCGCCGGCGGCGCAGGGCAACTCGGCCGCAGCGCGACGTCCGCAGGTGCCGGGCGTGCGCCCCCACCGCTCGGCCTGAACGGCCCGACGCGCGGGCTGAGCATCCGCAAGGGCGGGTCGCCGACGGGCGCGGGCGGCCAGGGCGCGGGCGGGCGCATGACGGAGTTCTACGACGACTACCTGGACGGGTACACGGGCGAGGAGGAGGCGGCGCAGGCGGTGCCGCCGCTGCCGCCCAGTGCGGAGGGCCGCGTCGCGAACTGGGTGAAGGGCTCGAATGCGCAGGGCGCGAGTGTGGGGCGGAACGGGACGCTGAGGGGCGCGCCGCCGAGTAGTTATGCGCCGAGCGCGGCGGGGACGGGGAGCATGCGGCGGAAGCTGACAAGGAGGGGGACGGGAAGGGGGCCGAGCTCGAGGTCGGGGAGCAGCTTTTATGGCGGGTATGAGGAGGAGGAGGAGGGGTATGTGAGTGGGGAGTATGAGGATGTGTTTGAGATGGTGAAGATCCGTGTCAAGGTGCGTTCCTCTCTCCCTTGTGTCTCCCTTGTCCCTTCCTCTTTTTGTGGGACGAAAGCTGATGGAGCCGCGCAGTTGTACTACCGGGAGGAGGTGCGCGGGATGGCGCTGCTGCCGGAGACGCCGTACGAGGAGTTCATGGACATGGTGCAGCGCAAGTTCGGCGTCGTGCCGGGCGCGCTCGGCATGAAGTTCAAGGACGAGGACGGCGGCAAGGTCACGCTGCGCGACGACATGGACTACGAGCTCGCGATCGAGACCGCGCGCCACCACGCGAAGGGCCGCCCCGAGGGCCGGCTCGAGATCTGGTGCATGGACGAGTAGGCGCGCGCGGTCGGTTCGGGTTCGTCGTTCGTGTTGGGTTGTTAGGAAGGATAGATGGGGAGGAGGGGTGGGGTGGTTGCTTGGCTCGCGGATCTCTGCTGTTTTCTTACTCTCACTCTCTCACTCTCGCTCACGTCTGTGTCTCTCCCTCTGGATCTGCGCCTCTGCCCTGCATTTCTGTGTCTATATACCACTATCTAATGTTATCCTCGGTGTACAGTTGCGGAGCTCTCGCGTGTGCGTTGGCGAGCAAGCGAGCAGAGCTCTCGCGTGCGGCGCTGGCGAGCGGGCGAGCAGGCAAGGTGCGTGCGTTCGTGGCTGTGAGTACTTGGCTGTTTTGGGTTGCTGATAGGGCAGCGCGTGCAGTGTTCGGCTGAGACTGAAAGTCTGCGTGCTCGCCCACCCAGTCTATACAGTACATAACACGATTGCGACTCTGCGTGAGGTACGCCCCTCGTTCCCCGCGCGCTGCTCGATATTGACTTACCCCCGGGACGTGGCATTCCCTCGATAGCACTGGCCCGCTGGCAATCATTCATGCGGCTGCTGCGCTCTTCTACTGATTCCGACGCGCAATACCAGTCGTGAAACGAAGCAAGATATCAAGCTCGAGATTGCTCGCCGGCGGCTGCGTCATCCAGTCGCATGTCCGGCGGGACGTCGAGCGCGCAGTCTTGCGCAACGTTCCCTTGGAAGGCGACCGGTCGGCAACCCGCGTTTCAACGCCAAAGTCCACGGATACCACCTCCCCTTGTTCTGGATCGGCTCCCCTTGCATCGACCAGAATAACAGCGTGGAGGTCTCCGAGGCGATGCCGTCAATGTACGGGTGGTATGCGCACGCCGCGATCATCTGCGGCTCAGGACCCGTCGCCCCTTCCCTCTCAAACTACAATATCTCCCTCCCCAGGATCCCGACCCTCAACACCATCGTTACATGAATGCGGTATCCCCTCCGCGCTACCCACACACCTTGGGCCGACCACGATGCCTTCCGACATCTCGAGTCCGCGACGGCTTACACCGAGATGACGGCTCTGCAGCATAAGCCCGACCGGCACGGCGGGGATCTCTGGAGGATGTCCTCACATTCCGAGGATGACTTGACATGGTTCACATGGAAACACTGCCAATCGATGTCCGTGGTCGTGCAATCCCCTTCCATATGTTGTCGCTCCATCACAGCCCTCCGCGCTCTCTGCTCTCCCGTTCTCGCTACTGCTGTCTGTTGCTGGTACCCCCTGTTCTTGGGCTTACTGTCGCCCTCCGTTCATCTAGCTTGGCGTACAATATACTCGGCGCGCTCCTCGCCGCGCGCCGTCTTCTCTCAAGCCACGCTCTGCGTGCAGCCTAGAATACACAGGTTGTACACAGCGCAGGCTGTGATATACACTGTCAGTGTGGTCTCTTGATCGATGGATGACAGCACTCTAATACGACCTCCGGCGCTATTCCCCTATGACCACCCAACATCACGCTGCGTCTTCCGCATTGACACTCGAATATGCACATAAGTCAGCGGTTCAGGTGCGCCATTACTCTCTCCCCGAAGCACGCTATACTTAGTGCATGGCTCATTCTGTGCGCCAGGAACACTTACCGCGGGTGTGCCGCTGTACCCTGTCCCGTGCAAAAGAAGCTCGCACGTGGGGACCCCGGCGCTGCGGGTGTAACCTCCTCGATAAGGCGCAGCACAGGCCGATGGGCCCCCTCCGCCGCTGGGTGCAGCGCAGATCCCCGAATCTGGAACCGGAAGAGCAGGGGCAGCACGGTGGGTTTTCGAGGTTCATGATTACTATCCGCAGAAGATTCTACACTTGTTTGAACGGTTACTTCACGATTGTACACAACAATCGCAGGTGACGCGCCCAGACACAAGCCCTTTGAATCTTCGACGGGCTTGAAAACCTCGTCGCAATGCCCACTCCGCCACCAATCCTGCGGGGTGGCCGCGCTCCGTCACATAGACCGGGTTAGGCTCCTAGATTCCAGCTTCAAGTTCGGAAGCGGATGTGAATACCTAGCCATCGGAAGTCAGCTTGTCCATGATCAGGACTCCGGAACCGCGGGCGTGTTGTTGGCAATTTGTTGATGTACGTGCGCAACTCTCGCCACTGTTACCTCACACGCGCGACGCGCGCTCCGACGAGTCTCTACAGTACTTCAAACTGACCTTCACCATGGCCAGCCCTCGAGCTTTCCCCCCGTTTCGCCGTGTCCGCCTCTGCCTTGTTGGCTCTTTGCTCAACGTGAGTTCTTTCTGCTCAGGCAGCCGCGTTTACAATCTTATTTTATTGCATAGCCGACATGCGGTTGCTCTCGTCCGCAGATCCTCACGTGCGGTTCAACTCGTGCAACGAGCCGATAACACTCGACGGTGGCTACGCTGTCCTCTCGCACGTCTGGCAAGATATCGAGCAATCTTACGCAGAGATTGTCGCCTTGGAACAGGACCTTGCTCTCGTCAACGACCCGCGTCTCAGCATCAAGGTCCGGAAGTGCTGGCATCTCGCGCGAGCCCACGTTCTTCCCTGGTTCTGGGTCGACGCCCCCTGTATCGACCAGACAAATAGTGCGGAACTCTCAGAGGCGATCTCGTCTATGTACGAGTGGTATGCGCAGTCATCGATTTGCTTCGTCCACCTTCCCGATGTCCCCTCCGACGACGACATCCGGGCCTCTGGCTCCGCGTTCCGGAAGAGCGTTTACTTCCGGCGCGCATGGACGCTGCAGGAACTCATCGCTCCTCGCCGTGTCCTCTTTCTCTCTACCGACTGGACCGTCCTGGGAGACAAGCAGGAGCTCGCGGACCTCCTAGAGGAGATTACTGGGATCGACCGGGATGTCCTCACCTTCCGTCGTCCCCTCTCCGACGTGAGCGTCGCGGACCGTCTCTCTTGGGCATCACATCGCAATGCACGCCGTCCGGAAGACGTCGCATATTGCTTGATGGGCCTTTTCGGCATCCACATGGCTCCTCTCTACGGTGAAGGCGGGTACAAAGCATTCATCAGGCTACAAGTGAACATCATGCTGGAAGTCTGCGACCACACACTTTTGGCATGGAGCGAGTCCCAAGACCTACGTAACCCGTCCATCTGGCCCTTCGCTCCCTCTCCAAAAGCATTCATACGACATGCTCGTCTGGTCAAGGTCGACATGGAGCATTTCTTGGCGTCAATCAAGCCTCTATGCTCAGCGTCCTATCCAGGGCAACGGGTGAGTTCCCTCGCCACAATTACTTGAAACTCGGAAACTTAATGAGCAACACCAAGTTCCTACCATGCATCGGTCCAGTCGATCACCATGGGCTGAATTGTAGCCTTCCTGTTCTCTTTCTCGGTTCGACACCTTTCGCCGCGCTACTTGCATGTCGGGAAGAACACTCTCCGTCGACTTACGTGGCGATCGCCATGCGCCACAAGGTTCCAGTGGTTCCCGGCGTGTATGACGTGGGGGCATGGGCTCAACAAGCGTCTCCATCTCCGGAATGGCCACCGTCTCGACTGCTCCGCGTCAACCTGGACCTCATAGCTCCCCACGTAGCCATCCGGGCAGCTCTCGCTCAGGACGCCGTGGAGCAGACCCCGGCGCTGATCATGCGCTTCGAAAGCTTCCACATCGCAGCTACCTCTACGCGTGCATTACTCTGTCCTTCAACAACACCCCTCTCCATCTCCCGAGGTACATCTCCTCCTTCCTCGCCTCCTCCATTACCAAACGCCAGTGTCGGCTCCGACGGCCCTCGTCGTACAGACGCGGTGGTTTCTCCCGGTTGCTCGCAGCCTCGCCATCAAGTCGCACAGTCTATTCGTGGCGCCATCAAGTCGCACAGTCCATTCGTGGCGCCATCCAGCATCCCAAAACTTTCTAGGCTCGCGCGGTGGTGGCGCGACGGCGCACACAACCATGACGGCACAGTACGCGATCTCGCCCACACGCCCCCATCGTAGCGTCTGGCACTCCCGCCGCCCTCGCCTGCTCTCCTGTTACAGTCTCGTGTATCTTCCGTCCCTGCTGTCTCGCTCTCGTCATGGTACCACCTTCCTGTTTTGCGCCTGCTGTTCCTGGAACTGCGTTTCAACCAAGTTCATATACTTGTACTATATATCCAGTTCGCTGTCCGCTGTTCTCGTTCTCGTTCTGCTCCTAGTGCTTGCTCTGTCTGCTCCTGCATTGTACTAACTTGGAATTCAAAGGCCTCAGACTCTGCGAGCTATCATGTTGATGTTGAGCAAAAACCGCGGTAGGTCCCCGGTCCGCGCGCCCGTCAAGCGGAGTCTGAACCTGACGAACGAACGACTCGAAACGGCGGGACTCCTCAACCGGCTACGACAGTCATGCCGCCTCTCCCTCGTCCGAACGATGCGCTCGTCGAGAACCTCGGTGAAAACGCGAAACGCGCCTACGTTGTCCACATTCTGCCCTCTGAAGACACCGCGGTCAACGCCAACCGCGACTCCCTGCACATCCGCGTCCTCGGCGCTCTTCCCATCCACGCCCCCACTCGACAAGCGTCTGAGGCGGTAGCCGAGGAAATCATATCCGCCAACGGCAGCTACGAGAGACTCGACGACCTCGGGAAGCTGTATCTTGAGAACTTCGTTTATTTTTGTGAGCATTTTCTTCGCCTTTTAGTCGGTGTCTTCATCTGAGCGTACAAGTACTACCCGGTAGTTGGAAGCGCTAGGAGTCGCACCCCTCTCCCGACCGAACACCCGTCCAGGCTGTCGCTCTCGGCGCAGCGAGCTGGTATCCAGCACGAGCTCGTTCAGACCCCGCAAGACCACTCCGGCGCGAAGCAGAATGTGCGTACTGTTCCAAGTAGCCCGACTACTACGCGCTAAATGGGCCTTCGACATAGGCCCTCATTCGGGACGGTTTCCGATGCATGCTGAGCGGAGAAATCGAAGTAATCGTCTGGAAGGCCAGCCCGAGTGCTTTCCCGGACCCTGCCGACACCGTCAGTGTCGGACCGACGAGCTGTTGCCACATCTTACCTGAAAGGACAAACGACGCCGTCTCGTCTTTCGATAATCCCGGGTCGGAGAACAAGGTGAGCAGTGCTCTGTCGAGAATCATCGTGCTGACTGTCGGTCATGCAGCCTGACAGGGGAAGTGCACTACGGGCGGTTCTAGCCCGCTTCTCCGGATACGAAGATGTGAGAAAGGAGCTGGAAGGACCTGCAGCAGCCCATCAGTTGTCCAACATCTTGACGCTCTCCGCAAAATTGCGCACCCAGTTCGAGGGCCTTGAGCTCTGGCTTGAGGCCCTTCCAGGCCAGGTGCGTTCGTTCCGCACTCATGCTCTCGCGCGAATTCCAAATTGGACCTTTAAGAACACGCGTACACAGTCCATACCTATCCGCACGAAGCTAGACAGGCACTCCGGTGTAAGGAACAGGTGCACTTTAGGGTCTGCGACGTCGACATCCCCGGCTTCCCGCGCCCCTCGCCAGAGTACCTGCCCCTGCCGGACCCCCGGTTCCTCGCGCTGCACGCTGCATGCTGCAAGGTCGCGCAGATGTCGGGCGCTGCGGAGTACGTGGACAAGATGGACCGCGACTTGGAGGAGATGCAGGTACTGGGGGAGGACGGCGGGTCGGCGGACGTTCTCGTCTACGCTATGTCTAGGCTTCTACCTAGGGGATAGAGTTATAGATTGGTTTAAATGCACTACCTTGTCTTGCCTCCACAGTGTACGCAAAATTCTGAACGTACTGCAAGAGCGTGCAATGTATCGTAGAAGATGAGCAGAATTTGTGCGGTAGTGTGTACAAAGTCTGCTTTGAGATATGTAAATGATATGACATGGATGGGAAGGCTCCGGCGCGACGCCCTCGTACTTCATCTCCTCGGATTCCATAACAACAGTAGCCAAGCACGCGGTCTGCGTCGTCCTCGGGGCCGGCGCCGCCGTCGTCGGGGTACATGCTCCCATCGAGCACGACGTCGGCTCGGAGCGAATATATGTCGTCCCGCGGCGAGTGGCTGTACGCAAGTTGCACTATGCACTTGCTGTCGCCGAGCGCACGCTCGCAGTGCCAGGGCGGCGAGGGCAGTCGCGTGCGATACCGCGAGGGGACCATGGGTGCGTATCGAGCGCCATTGTCGCGTCCGCGCGTGGTGTCCACGCAGGAGCCTCGCGCGCGGCCAGTGACGGAACGGAACCGTGACGCTGCAAGGTGAAGCGCGTGCAGACACTGCCGAACGTACAGGGGCCCGAAAGTTGACTCGGGTTCTGCGCTGACCTTGGACGCGGCGATGCAAGCTGCAGCCGCACGCAAAGGCTCTGCCCCAGGCGAGGGCTCTCAGGCTTGCCCATGCACAAGCTGCACCTGGGCGCTGTCACTCAGAGTGCTCGATGGACGCAGTATGTATCGCGGGTATATTTGTAGATAGCTAGGATAGTGCAAGTCGGGACACAGGGAACACAGCGAGTCGAAAGCAGAGTCATCGAACAGAGCACAAACGTCAGGATAAGCAAAGACGATCAACAACGCTAGCGTATAAACGAACAGCATAACAGGTATATGGGAAACGGGGCTGGCCCCGTGCCGAGGAATATTACTTCAGTGCAACCAGGATAATACTGCAAAGAGAGACCCGTACAGTCAGAGGAAATGGAGGGCTCACTAAACTGGCGTTAGCGCATGGGGAGACGAGCGAAGAGACAGGGACGCACGAGGGACGAAGCGAAGGATTGGATGCAAGGCTCGAAAGTACCGAGAATGAGCTATGAGTCTATAACGGGGACGGCCGGAGGCTGGATGTGGGTGTGGGCGCGGGCGCAGGATGGCGGCGGTCGAGGGATGCAGAACTTGAAGGGGAGCCAGCGGGGGATAGACATACAGGAGCTGCGGATCAGGTCCGTGACGCGATAGTCGTTCGTAATGTGGAAGCTCATGAAGCGGACGTGGAAGGCCGGGCGCTTGAAGATCCTCGGTATGCCGGAAAGCGGAGGGTCGATAAGGTCTAGATTGACGCGAAGCAGCCTACAGGTTTGCCGACGAGTGTGAGCAGCGTCCTCTATGGTGCGGTGTCCTCCGACACGGTAAACACCTGGTCCATCTCGGCCCGCGCAGTGCGCTAGCGCGAGCGCAATATAGGTCGTCGATGTCTTATGGTCATCTTCCCGACAAGCGAGAAGCGCGGCCAAAGGATCGGCTCCGTTGAAGAGGACGGGTAAGCGGCATTTGAGACCGTGGGGATCGACTGGACCTATGCGTGGCAAGAGCTGGGCGTCACATAAGCCAAGGCGCGATGAATGATAGAGCAGCGCGTGGGCATGCTCACCTTATGATCCTCATATGACCCAACACAAAGTGACATCACAGCAGTGAGGAAAGATTGCGTATCCACTGGAATCATGCGAGAGGCCGATGCGAACGCGGCAGGGGATTTCGGGAAGACCGCAGTCGATAGGGATGTGCATAGCGAGTCTTGACCATCACCACCGGTCGATGAATCCTCTGAAGCACTCCAGGCCAAGAGGGAGTGATCATGGATTCTTGCAAGGATGGTTTGCTGCAGCCGCACGAAGGCATTGTCTCCCTCGCCGTATATCAAGGGCATTTGTATGTCGAAGAGGCCCAGCAGGCAGTACGCCTTGTCCTCCACACGGGTGGTCTGGCGGTTGGATGCCCAGGAAAGGCGGCGGGCGACACTGACGTCTTCAAGGGTAATGTCGAAGGTGAGGATGCCTTTGTCAATGCCCGTGATCTCCTCCAGGACGTCCGCGAACTCGTGCTTCTCTCCGATGGGGGTCCAATCCTCGGCAAGGAAGACAACACGACGTGGCGCAATGAGCTCCTGCAAGGTCCACCCTCGTTTGAAGTAGATGCTACGCCGGAAAGCGGAGTTGGGGGCGCGAATGGTATCGTTTGGGGGCACATCGGGGAGATATGCGAAGCAGATCGACGCATGGGCGTACCAGTCGTACATGCAAGTGATGGCCTCCGAGACTTCCGCGCTGTTCCTGGAGTCAATACAGGGAGTGTCGACCCAGAACCAGGGGAGCTTGTAGGCTTCGGCAAGACGATGGCATCCCTGGACCTTGGCACTCACGCGGTCGTCGTAGACCGCCGTAAGCTCTTGGGCTAAGCCAAAGGCTTCCTCGAAAGATTGCTCGGATGGTCGCCAGACATGCGATAGAACGGCGTATCCGACGTTGACCTCGCTAGGGACGTTGAACCGCCTGAATTGCAGGTGGAAATTCACAGAGATCATCCACATGTCGACTAAGTACGCGAGAACACAATATGTGTGAGCTTGTCATGTCTTCTCGAGGCTTCGTGTGCAAGAGAGAGAACTCACATTGAGCAGACAGGTGGTTTGACCGAAGCAGGCGACAAGAGAGCCAGAGAGCCGTATAACATAAGAGCCCATGGTTGACGATCTGAGGCAGGGGCGAGCGTGAAGGCGCAGGCCCCGAGCGTGAGACGGAGTAATGGGGACGGGCAATTGGGGACGGGCAATGCCTGGCATCAGCGAAACCGCACGACGCTCCCAATAATTTGGCGCCCGTCCTAGGTTGGGGAGCGCTCCCAAGTACTTCCACTCACTCCCAAATACCCAGGAGTACTTGCCAGGTTTCCGAAGGTACCACTTCACCCCTTCAAACATCACCTCCACGAGCGGACGCCAACAATGACCGAATCCAGCGGCAATAGGACCTCATCGGGATACCCAGACGTCAGTTAATCAAGTCCCGCGCCGCCTTCCATTTCGACTCCTACATAAGGCTTCCGTCGGGGCTCTTCTTCCTCTGTCGCCCCTCTTCCTCTTACCTCCTCCATCGCTTGCGCTCTGGGCTCGCCTCGGCCATCTTGCCCGCCTCCCGCCGAATGCCCGATGCAACTCTACGTGAGTTCCACTCCTTGTCCATCATCTAGTAGACTCCGCATGCGTCCGCTCCTTTGCTCGTTTGCAGGCTCGCACTAACGTGTCCAACAGGTGGGTAAATGCGGCCACACCAAAGCTTGTGGCTCCGATATTCGCTTTTGTGATGTGTGAGTCTCACTTTTCATTCCCACGTCCTGTATCTCGCCCCTCAACTCAGCTAACATGCGATGAACCAGCTATATGCGTGACACAACGCCAACAATGACACCGCTCAACGATCAGGAACTTCGGTACGTCTTTAGCCCCCTCTAACTTGCGATGCTGTGATTTAATACGCTCCGTAGCCTGCTCGATATTCGTCATACGCGATCCGAGTCCACGTAAGTTTATAAATTCCCTGAGACGACTCTATTCGCTAACCGCCTTGTTCTCAGTGCTTTCTCATAGTCCCGAGTCTCCAAGCTGGTTCAGGTGCACATGAATACTACTGGAATATCAACGGTCGCGTGGCATTCGTGCCTGTGCCGCCCTCCCCGAGCAGCAAGGTTAGTCTTCTCTTTTTGTGCAATATCTAGCCTGCGGCCTGCCAGTGCATGTTGTATCAGTACATCGCAATCAAATAGTGTTTACTTTCATCGTAGATGTCGTGTCCGCCTGTTTCGAGAACGCTCGAACGTGAATATCATTTCTTTTTTTAATACAAATGGCTGGGTGTACTTGGGAGTGCTCGGGAGCGCTCCCCAATGGCGCGTTCGCTCGCAAACGACGCGACCGCTCGGAGGGTTTGGCAGCGCTCCCGGGGGTTTGCCGAGACAGGGCGAAACCTCCTACACCATGGCCTCGAATTGGGAGTGATCGCGCCATTTGGGAGCGCTCCCAAGCGCTCCCGAGTGCTCGCGAGTGTCCGGCGGTTTCGCTGATGTGCGAGGTTTTTGAGAAGCGCCCATTACCCGATTTGGGTGCGCTCAGCTAACGCCCGGTCTCGAGCACGGACATATGCTACAGCACCGTGCACAGCAGGAGGAGGTCCGAAATTTACGAAGTGGTGTTATATGCATAGTTAGAAACGATCTATTGAGATAGATTTTCGTTCCGATGCTTTAATAATCTTGCACTGCAGTCCTCAGAGGTGCCATTCAAGGTGAAAGGCAGTCATTGAAATTCTGTCTCAATCAAATGCTATAAAATATGTATAGTACATGATTCCGTGCTCTCTGGTGACGTCGGAGAGACATGTGAGAGCCGTAGCTACATCCGTGAGCGGAGCGAGGAACATAGCTGCACGTGATCGTTAAATTTCCCAAAAAGGAAATGTCAACGTACCGCATTGCCCGCCGCATCGGTGGAACACTCCCCGCACCACCCGACTTGTCGAACCAGGATCGCCGCACCGATGGGGAAGTGGCGGCCATATAGCCAGTTTTCTCCCGAGAAGAAGGCCGCTGTATTGGCCAACCTTCACAAGGGGAGGGCCAGTCTCCAGCATAACAAGGAGAATGTACCTCCCGCCCATCCGGAGCCCGGTCCGCCCGGCGTACTTGCATCAGCTCTTGTGTAAGACCTTGCGAGAGCGAAAGAAGAACTCACTACCGTGGAGGGAGCCCTCAAGTCTGCAAAGGAGAAAGCGGAGTCCTATAAACGGGAGGTGCATAATAGTCACCGTCAAGAAGGTCGTCTCCGAGCCAACAAGACGTACCTCAATGACCAGCTTGTGCACCTAAGCACGGAGAAGCGGGACCTGGAGAGGGCCATGGAGAGAAAGCATGCCCAAGTCATGCAGGGCGAGGCCGACCGGGATCAGGCAATGCGAGAGCTCGAGACGGCTCAAGCTCGGAATCAGCTCATCGAGACTCGGAATGCAACCTTGACAAAGCGTATCAGTCGGGTCCCGGGACAGGTCGCGCAGGCGATCGAAACTGGCATGGCCAAGAAGCTGAAGGAGAGCACCACACTCCTGCTGAAAGAAAAGGGGGTTGTGTAAGCCTGGCTGTAGGCTTAGCACAGATATGCCGGTAGTGCATATATACACCGCGTTAGCTGAGAGTATAACCTTTCAGTTAAACTGCCTTTTGGCGTAACGGTTTGAGCAGCGGTGTCTCAGCCTGTTTACAGGTTGTCACCGAAGCCTCGCGCAATCTCATTCGGGAACTCACCGACGCAGGAGTTGCCCGCTCGGAGATCATCACGACGATTGCGCGTGTTGCGGCAGCGGCGGGGCTCCGTGTTGAAGGGTCTGTAAGTGAACGGTCAATCGGACGTATTGTTGGCGAGGGGCACATCGCTGCAAAGCTTCAAGTCATCGAAAACATTCAGGAAGCGAATGGTGAGAGATATGCGTACCAGATGTATACGGCCTTGAAGACTGAACGTTACTGCAGGAATTTCGATCAGTTGCGATGGGACAACTCATAAGAACGTCAACTACAAGTCACACCATCTCTATACCAACAAAGGTGACACCCATGTGCGCAACTTTGTTGGTATCTCATCGGCGCCCGACCACAGCAGCAAGACGCAGCTAGAGGGCTGGATCCACGTGTTCGAGGACCTCTGCGAAACGTACAACTCTAGTCCCCTCGGAAAGGAGAACCCGATAACAGTCTCAGACATCGCGGCGAAGGTCAAAGGCATGAACACCGACCATGCAGCAGATCAAAAGAAGCTCGCATCCATGCTGTGCAAATGGAAGATCACCTGCGATCGCGACGAGCGCGCCGCCCGCGCACTCTCTGACGGCATAGCAGTCGTCGAGTTCGAGGTGCTCCTTAAGGAGGAGCTTACGCACATGGTCTCCAACGCCGGTGGTGCTCGCAGCTGGGAGGCGGCTCCCGAGGTCGACCGCATACGGCTGAGCGAGGACGCGAGGCAACGCGCAACACGTCGCTTCGGCAATGCACGCTTTGCCGCCCTTTCAGATGCGGAGAAGCGTCGTATAGACCTCTTCGTGTGGGGCGGTTGCTGCATGCATAAGGAGCTGAACTCCGTGAAGGGCGGGAACACACGGATGGCCGCATTCTGGGCGCAAGCGGACCTGACCGCCCCTCTCCTTCTCATGAACGTTCACAATGCCGCCGCCGCATCATTTGGACCTTCTGCAGCACAAGATCGCGCCACTACTGTCTCGACCGGCGGAGGTGTGAAGCTTACGAGCCTCGCAGGCTCCCTGTTCAAGAACAAGGACGACAAAAAGGGTCAACAGGACAGTACACGGATCTTCTTCGAAGCATCAGAGGTGGTGGGATACTCAATTCTCCTTCCCCGACACAAGCAACACCCGCTACCAATCTCATTGCGAAGCGGCCGCGGAGCTTCTGGCACATCTCCCACTCTACATAGAGTTCATGGAGACGCTGCGGGACAAAAAGGTCGACCGAAAGTTCAACCACCTCGAGGAGAACATGTACGCTGGGCTGCATGATATTCCGACCCTTACTGAGCTCTGTGTTCTCGCTCTGTATGGGCAGTCTATAAGCCACCCCTACATGCGAGAAGTCCGTGGTCCTGATCCACTCTCCGCCAATCATCTCGACCTTGCACCCTTTCATGAGCACGTCAAAGCGCACTGCCGTCGAGTCATCGACAACCCATCCATCCTGCTCTCTCCTGCGGCGACACATGAGACCGTCTCTATGGACGGAAAGCTCTGGGACCGTCCGGAGGTCATCTATGCCATTCTACGTATGGCCCCCCTGCTCCCGCATCTCGAAAAAGCTCTGGTTGCCTTCTTTGAAGGTGCTCTCGAGACATGGGAGCGCTTTACCACCGAGTTCAGCGCGGATGGTCAAATCCAGAGCCTGACTGCGGCGGAGAAGCGTGCGGCATGGATGCGGATAACGAACGATGACAATGAGGGGGCGTTAGGACGCCTCCGCCGCGACGCGCGCCATGCGCCGAATATGTCCCTGCAGCAACACAATTCTCGCGACATGCACAAAGCGAACCATACCGCTGCATACAGCAAGCGGAAACTCGGAAGCGACGGGGAAATTCAAACGTACCTACGCAAGCGGGCCCGGCAAGAGCAATCCGGGGGCGTTGAACGGCGGCGACGGTTGGAGTTGGCAGAGGCGGACCAGAAGGTGATCGAGGAGAAGCACCGGAAAGACAAGGATAAACAAGACAAGGCAGATGCGAAGGACGCGATGCTGGACAAGGTAGACCCTCTGGCAGATGTCGACGAGATCCAGAGCCGGGTGAACGCAGGCAAGATGATGAATCCGCAGCTGGATCTGCAGCTGGACTGGCACCGTCGGCGGGAGGGAAAGCAGAGCTCGATTCCGCTGAAGTCTCGGACTACCAAGAAGCAGCAGAAGGTCGATGCTTTGTGTGCAGCTGTGTTACGGTGGAAGGGGCTACCTGCTGGTGAGCCCGTAGTCGACGAGCTCGCCAATGCTGGGGCAGCGCTCATGGCGGAGTGAGGACAGGAGCCGAGCCGAGCATGGGAGAGAGAGCGGGCGGTGGAAGGCTTCTCAGCCACCCGGTGTGAACATCGATGTCATCGATGCCAATCCTGGTAAATAGGCTTCTCAGTACACGAGTAGTGGGAGGACTACTGTACAGATCCATATAATGCACCCCATAGTCATACTTCTACAGTACATACTTTACAATATACTCGAATTCGTACGCAGACTGCAATGTCTCGGAGGAGAGCACCTCCGTTCCGTACATCGAGCGCTCCGAGGCGTCGTGTAGACGCCCGCGACCGCCTTTCAGCCACAATCACTGCTTACATAATGGGACACATCCCTTGCAGGAATTGCCCGTCCCCACGGAGTAAGTGTCAGTGAAGCCTCGCGTGAATTAGGTTCACGGCCCTAACCGATCCAAAGCCTCGGATTCCTCCTTCTAGTTCTGTCGTACCCTCGCGGACATACTGTAACTGTATGGTGCGATGGACGCTCACCCCGGCTTGACCATGGTACATACCACTTGCGGTGAGAGTTTTCTCACCAGTTTTCTTGACATCCTTACTTGCTGCTGTCAGTGCATCGCGTTTAAAAGGGCCCAACTGGAAGGCATTTCTTTCCGCGTTCAGGAGAATCGGAAGAGATCCGGAGGCCACGCCAGGGCCTATTTCTTGATGTTTCTCCCTCAAAAGCAAAGAGACAGCTGCTACAAGCGACAAGCGTCCGCGTGCGACTAGCAGCATTTATCAGTGCAGCTCACTCGTCGACCGCGAGACTCTGCGGGGGTTGTGCGCGGCCTGGCAAATCCATCGCCTATCCCGAATTCGAGCGTCGTGCCAGTGCGCGGTGCGCGGGCTGTACCCTGTCAAAGACTGGCTGCACCGCCGTGCGATGCGGTCCAGGCCCGTCGAGCAGGGAAAATACATGTTGTCAAAGATGGTCGCCGGAACCACCAGGTGCAACGGGCCCGAGGTTACAGCTGATCTCCGAGTATCGAGCGGAGCTCGTCATGCGCAGGCTGCACCATCCCTATGAACCGCTGCACCGCCTCCGCGATCTTATCCAGGTCCGGAGGCGGGAAGACGTCGTCAAACTCGGCGTCGGGCTCAAACCTTTCGCGGGTCATCAGCTCGCGCTGACCGTCAGAGGGGACGAGAAAGCGCATACCCGTGCTCCGTGGCGTACGCGACTGGGTCCGCCGTGTACTGCGCGGCGTGCACCATGAACTCGGCGGCCTGCGCGCCAACACGCGCGTTCCGCTCGAGCTCGTCCGGGGCGATGCCGTGGTGCCAGGGGCGCTCCGTGAGTGCGGCGGCGCACGCAGCGCGGGTGTCGGGGTCGCGCGCGAAGAAGGCGGGGAAGTAGGCGATGAGGGCGGAGGTGAGCGGGGCGGAGCGCGCGGGGTCGTAGGTGCGCCAGAGGTGGTGGATGTGCTGTGGAGGGTGTTAGGGGTGCGGTGCGGGTGGGGGAGGGAGACGGAGACGCACGAGGAGGCAGACGCTGTCGATGATGTTGCGGTAGACCGTGCGCTGGGCGGCGGTGCGGGAGGGCTTGGTGAGGCTTTCGAGGGATTTGCGGTGTATGTCGGCGAGGTGTTCATGTCGGCGGAGGATAGCGCTCAGTTTGTCGATGAGGTCGAGGCGGACTGTCTCGAGATGGACGAGGAGTTGGAGCAGAGAGGGGAGCAAATCAAGGGAGGGCGGCTTGACGGTCAGTATATTCTGTATGGCGTATATGATCACAGACAGTGGCGGACATGTGTCGGGAGACGCTGCCGGTGCGACACTCTTTTCGACATGCGCTGCGAGGGGTTGAGAGAGGGCTTAATTGATGAGGGGGAGCGACTGACTGAAGATGGCTTTGTGGAGGCTGTAGCTGTCGTACTCGTTCTCGTTCTTGGGCAGGTGCTTGAGCAGGACGGGGACCGGGTCGGACATGGCAGGAGGAGACTCAGATGGTATTGTATAACTAACAATGGTTCACACCTGTTATAAACCGGTTAGTGACTGTGAAGTAGGCATGGGTCCAGAATAGGCGGTGAATGGTCGTAAATAATCGTGAGGGCGGGGCATGCGAGGGACTGCTCAAAAACGCTCCCAGACAACAGGACTGGGCACTATAATCGACTAGTAAATCCGACACATGTCGATCAAGTCCCGGGACCCTTTCTCACAAAAGTTATCAACATTGAGCCTTCGGAGGAATTTTTAACAGGCCATTAACGTGTTATAGTTATAACACACGAAGAAAGCCTTGACCACAATGTGAGTAAAGCTCCCGGTGTTTCTGACCATGAAGGGCAAGGCGCTCGTCGCCGTTCCGGAGCCTCGAGGGTCAGAGCGGCGTGTGCTTGCATACGCACACGCCGCTCTGTACTCTACAACCTTGCCTGCCGCACGGGCCCGAGCCAGTGACGCACTCGACATCGAGAAAGGGTTCTCCAAGGTTCTGCCAATCCCCCGATGGTGTGTGCATTGATGAGACTTTTACACACGCCAAAATCGCCCCTTCCCAAGGCCCATGTTAGGCGTGCGGTACCGGTAGTAAGCACACTCACCAACAGGTCGGACGTGCTTGGCCTCTGGAGTCGACTCGGAGGTCCGCAACGATGGTGAGGAACTTTCGTCGGCTCGTTCGTTAGGTCTGGCGAGGGTTTGTACTATTATAAACGTGTTCTATACTGTTAGAAATGATTTATCACCGTTTTATAACCCACCTGTTAGTAAAGTCCTGTTAGAAAGCCCCCACCTCTGGTTCGTAATGGTGAGTTAATAACCGCTTAGAATCACGGCGCTCTAGCACGGTTGGAGACGTGTGGGAGAAGGGGGAGACGGAGAGACGCGCAGTGGTGGCGGGAAGGAGAAGAGACGCGCTAGTGGTGGCGTCGGGCGCCTGGTTAGAGGGGTCTACGCGGTCACGTGCTGTGCGCGTTGTTGAACAAACAAAGGTTGGCTTCGAGTCTGGGCGCCTTCCCACGCTCTCCCTCTCTGCGCCCACCGTCTGCCTCGTCCCCCGACGCGCCCTGCTCGCTGTGTCCCCCGATGAGCGCGCCCCACCCTCTCCGCGAGCGCGTCCAGTCTAACTCCCCCGAGCCACACCCGCCGCGCCCGACCACACCCCTCCGCATCACCAAGCAGCGCGACTCCCCCCAGCCCGAGCAATCTGCTCTCTCTCCGCGCGAGCACCAGTCACCGCGCCGCAAGCCCGCGCCCGTCCTCGCCCGCCGCTCCTCCTCCTCCTACAAACATGTCCGCGAGAACAACCTCGTCACAAAGTCGCCCTTCCGCTCCCTCCTCCCCCAGCCCTCGCCCCGCCGCGTCAGCGGCGAGAAGCGGCCGCGGCCCGTCTCCATGGCCGACCAGGCGGAGAACGAGCACCCGCTCGGCTTCAAGCGCAGGCAGTCCAAGGCCTTCCAGGGCCTCCTCCAGAAGGAGCCCGTCACAAAGAGCCCGTTCCTCCGCGGCTCGGATGCCACCCCGCCGGAAGACGACCCGCCGCCCGTGCCACCCAAGCCGCGTCCTGCGATGATGGCCCAGTCCTCCGCCCCGTCCCCTGCTCGCCCCTCGCTGGTCACCCGTCGTCTGCACGGCCCCCGGGACGCCGGCGGCCGTCGCCAGCGCCGCAAGACGGTCACCTGGGATCCCCGGTGCGACGTGCTCGAGTTCGACGTCGGCGAGAACGAGCACCAGGATGTGTACTACTCCGAGGACGACTACGGCACCCCCAGCGACGAGGAGATGCAGGACAGCTTCGAGTATGGCGCCCCCCTGGACGACAGCATCGTCGGCAAGATCGACTCCATGATTCACGAGACCCAGCCGCACACGCCGCCCCGGCCTGAGGATGAGCAGGATGCGGCGCTCTTGCCACCGTCGCCCTCTCCGGCCAAGACGCGTCATGAGTACTCGGAGCCTCCGGGCGGCGCAGATGGTGAGTTCACTTTCGTTGCTGCGCGTCGGTATGAGGGTGCAATTCTGGCGCGCGCTCTGTTTGAGACCGCGACTCTCGTACGGACAGACGGGTATAGATGCAGCTATATCCTTTCGTGTTGCTGTGTCGTGCATATGATGTTGCTCTGCCTGAACTGGCGTCGTTTACTCATGCTAACAAGACCCCACAGATCTCCCCGACGACCCTTCATTTATTGACCATCTTAAAGACGAACCACCGCCATTCAGTAGGGACGAGTCGTTCCAGTCTATCCGATCCAATGACTCCGACTCCCTCGACCCATCTAACTTGTCCATCGGCCACTCCGAGGTCTCCCTTACCAACCTCGATAGCCAATCGCTCCTCGCTGACACGGACATGCCCGTCGACGACTCGATCATCAGCAATTCCTCCTTTGTCCCTCAGGCCGACTCCTCACCTGCTGGTCTTCTGCGGTCACGCTCTCCGCCGACGCAAGAGCAGTCCTTTGAGCGCGGTCATTCACGCGACCGCTCCTTCGAAGCACGTTCGACTCCTTGTATCAATGCCTCGAGGTACAACTCTCCGCGCCCAGGATCGGCGACGGGATCTCGCTCGGGATCTCCGTTTCATCAACTCTTCCGGCCGGCGAGCACATCCAGTCTTGGAAGCGTCGGCCGTCGTGTCAGTCCCTTCATTACCCCGGAAGGCGTGCAACAGCGCCTGCAACGGAAGAGCCAGGAGGCCCTCTTTTCCTCGGCCCGAAGCGGGAGCGGCAGTCCAGCTCCGTCACCGTCTTTAGGCAAGTCTCGAGTCGAGTGCGGAGATGGTCAATCTACGTCAAACATACAAGATGCAACAGAGGACACCGAAGCGGACACCTCTCGCGCAACCGAACCTGCTTCCGAGCTCCCCATCGCCACCTCCACCTCGTTCACCCGCCCCCCGCCGCAGACACACCGCCGCGTCGCGAACCCCGCGCTCCCGCCGATGATGGTGCGCGGCCAGAACCCGACGCACGACGGCGTGCTCTCCATCGACCCGGAGCCGCAGCCGATCGACCCGCCGCGCCCCACGCTCGCCACGCGCGCACACAGCATCGACGTCGACGCGCCCGCGCACATGGACGCGAAGCGCGCGTTCGAGGGGCTCGACCTCGACTTCGAGCACGGGTTCGCGCTCGGGGACGAGGGCATGAGCGTCAGCGCCGGGCTGGGCATGCGCTCGATGGTCGCGCGGCACGCGAGCCCGACGCCGGCGGCGCGCGAGAGCGGCGTGCACCTCGGCGACGTGAGCGCGCTGGACCGGCTGATGGAGGACATGGCGCAGGGCGCGCAGGTGGACCCTGGGGCGGACTTGAGCTTGGTGTCGGAGTCGGAGCCGGGGGAAAGGTCGTTTGCGAGCATGCGCGTGGAGGCGGTCACGGAGGGCGTGCGCGCGGCGACGTTCGCGCTGCCGGATATTGTGCGTGATGATGAGGAGATGAAGATCGACGTGGATGTGGGGGATGTAAGGCCGCCGACGCCCGAGGGCGGGTGGCGCGCGGCGGGGGAGAGCAGGGTGAACGGGAAGGGGAAGGAGTGGGAGAGGGAAAGGGAGGGGGCCCGCGAGGAGCTCAATGTAGTAGTTAGCTCTGAATACGATGTTATTTTAACCCACGCGCCGCTCGCTGTCTTGCCCTCGCTTCCTAGATGTGGCAGACCTGCGTCGAAGCCACACACGACGCTCGAGTGCACGCGCCAAACGAGTGCACGCATGGGCGCCTATCGACCTGCTGCTCTCGCTCTCGCCCACGATGGCGTTGTCCGCGGCTCGGGCTGGCTGCACGCCCCCACTCTTGTAATTATCTAGTGCGAATGGTAGTACGAGCGTGTAACATGAGCTCGAGCTCGGTTCGGGACCTCGCTCAACACGTAAGCGCTCAGGCTCTCTCCGCGCTCTCTCCAACATCCGCTGATGGTCCTGCTACAGTGCACTCAAGAATATAACGGCCGTGTCCTCGCCACACTCAGAAACGTTGCAATTCGTAAGGCAAGGACATGCCATTGGACGGGTAACAAGCTGCCTGCCGGATGTGCCCGCCGTTCATCGTCGACGCCGCCTACGAGCACACCCTAGAGATGGCACGATCGTTCTCGATCCACCACCCGTGCATCTTCGCGGACACCCTCCACGCGTCCAATGGGTGTGTAAAATACTCATAGACATACGCCATTCCTTGTGCGAACGCGCCCCGGCCGTCCTGCGCCTGCAGCGCGGAACGACCTCCGGACTCCCTCTGAACTCCCTCCTTCGCCGTTTCCGTCGCATCCCTGCAGTCCATCTGCGCGATGCTGACGCAGCATACTCAACGGGCTATGCGGAACACGGTACGTGTGTTGCCCCCGCGTCCGGACAAGATCTGCTCTAATGAGCTGAGATTCTAGCTCCGAGCGACGCCTAAAACCGACCTTGCACGCGCATACGGCCCTGCAAGGACTGCAAAACGAAACGACACGATCCCTGCACCCCGGCGCATCCAGCCGTCGTGGTTTTCGCGCGGTACGAGGACAAAATATCGCGACATTTTTGAGCCGTCTCACGGGTCGAAACAAAGAACGCCGCGCCGCGGACCACCGTCGCAAGCTACGGCTCTATAACTTGTCATGCGCATGCTCCTCACATTTACGACCAGGATCCCGCCGTTTCCAAGCACGTACGAGCACTCCGAATTTCGACCATTTCAGCGGCCGTCGTCTCGGACCGCCCATCAAAGCTCGTTGAGGCCGCACCGCTTGTACTCCGCACCCCGGCCGCGTTAGAACGCAAGTAAATGGTTATATATACGCTTCTACACCGCTACAAACACATAGTGGCCATTTCGGCCGCGTTCTCTAGGTGCGTCGCCGCCGTCTCTGCTCGCGGTGTGACGCTGAGGACCGACATCGCAGCGTACCGAGCCATGACGCACGTACACCCGTTCCCTGCGCGACGCTGGACTCGGGGCCTGCACGCATCAACGACACGGCAAGGCGCGCCACCACGCGGCCGCGCGAGCACGCCGCGGCGAGGACATGTCCGTGGACATCGTCCTCGTCGTTCGTGCTCGCCACTGCCTCACGTGCCAACAACCTCAGACAACGACGCCGTGTCCCAAGCATCGCGTCGCGAGGCGCTCTCGCAGCGCTCTGCGAGCCGGGCTGCGTAGCTTGCAAAGAGAGCGGCTCTGGCAGAGTCACAAGCTGTGGGCACTGCGGAGGACGGCGAGGCGAGCCCCGCAATGCAGCTGCGCCGAGACTGCCGCCCCGGTGCTCTCCAGCTCGTGTGCACTCACCCAACGAGCTGGAGACGAAGTCTGCGTCGGAGGGCGGCCGCGGCTACGTCGACTCTCCCCGGCGCGAATACTGTATGTACGTACTCCTAGGCTACCATGCTACTCCTTCCGACCCTGCTGACGCAATCAGGTGCCTCCCAGCTTCCTGCTCGCCTAAAAGCCGTGCTGCGGAGTGCTGCGGAGGAAGTCAGTTGGGGCCGGCGTGCCCGAACGACAGGTACACACCTTCGAGCCGCTCGCGAGGGCAACATACACTGATTCTTCACCTTTTGTAGTCATATGGCGGGAAGCTAGGAGCGCGCGAAGTGAGGAATGACACACAGAGACGGCCGGTACGTACCCGCATCCTGCTTGCAAGCGGAACGAACACTGACTTTCACTTTCAGGACATGTCTGTGGGATAGGGCGATTAGCATCGAGGCGCCCACATCGAGGTACGGAACATACCGGTGCTTTACGACAAGAGCGGCTCCGGCCAGACCACAGGCGGCGAGCACTACACAGGACGACGAGGGAAACCCCGCCGCAACGCGGCTACGCCGAAACTGCCGCCCCGGCGCTCTCCAGCTCGTCTGCACTCACCTACCGAGCTGGAGATGATGTCCGCGTTGGGGGCGTTGGGGGGGCCGCGTCCGCGCCGTCGTGCGCTTTCCCCCATGCGAATACGGTACACACTTCTACTCCACCTCTTCCCGGTTCGCTGACTTCACCAGGTGCCTCGATGCCTCGCGCACGCGAGATCCCCACAGCGGGACTGTGTCGCGGGCTGACATGCTCAAGCGATAGGTACGTACCCTCGAGCCGCTCGCAAGGCTAGCGGACACTGATCTCCGTCCTCGGACAGCTAGGAGCGTGCTCAGTCGGAAGCAGCTCATCGAGACGGCAGGTACATACCTCAAAACTGCTTGCGAGCGAAACAGACGATTCGTCCGAAACCGACATGATGAGTTCGTACCTCGCGTACTGGCTCGCGCTTCTGCAGATTCTGACCGCCGCAGAAATCGTCAGTATTCGCTTGTCCTCGGTGCGAGTCCGACACCGACTCACCGTGTGCCAGCGCAGCAATCCACCCGGCTTCGAGTCTGCTGGCCATCCCCGCCACGCCGCGCCCCGCACCTGTGAAGTCGGCGTCGCGGCGGCTTGCTCGCGCGGCGCCCAAAGGAAGACACGTCGGCTAAGTGCGTCAGCGCCCTGACCTTTGTACAAGGCCGACTCACCGCTTGGTAGCTCGCGTTTCGACACCAGTTGCGGTCCGTACGACGACAGCTGCATCCACGCCGCCCCCCTCGACCTTCGACACGGCGCAACTGGAGCAGGGAACGAGTCAGCTGCGAGACTCGTACGGATCCGACAGGCAGGTGCTTATCTTGTCCAGTAGCCTTTGAATGTGCTAATATTGTCGACACTAGACGATGTCAGTACGTGCTCGCGCGGCCGGGGACGAGCTCACCGCTCTCGGAGGAGCTGAAGAGGGTGGAGTGAGGAGGGGGACGGATGGCTGCACCCCAAGGTACAAGCCAGGTATTTATGCGACGCCGCCGTCGCTTAATACCAGCCCCCATGTCCCCACACACAGGCCCCGCTCCGCCCTCCAGGCTCTCGGCCCCCGCGCCCTCGCCCGCTCACACCCCATCTGCTCTCGGCTACGGATGCCCCGGCACACACATGCGAGAGCGAGAGCGAGCGCCGCACCGGACACCCGCGGCATGTGCTTCAGCGTCCGTATGCGCGTACTTGCTCATTTCGTACACGGCCACGCCGCGTCGTTGGCGACGGAGTGTGCGCCCTTCGGACGCGTCTCACGGCGGCGCTGGGGCGCATCCGAATCGCGTATCGAGCGAGACCCACCGCGCGACCCGGTCGGGAGCGGACGAGCCCGCGGATGGCAGGTGAACCTCCGGGACGTTTCCCCGTGCGCTGACGGCTTTCTGCGCACAGTAGGATCCAGGGCGAGTGCGGCGCATCTGCGTACACTATCCCCCGCGTGCTCGAGTCCTCGAAACGAAGGGAAACGCTTGCGGTGCGACAAGCTTCGAGCTACGCCGTCTTTTGTGTGCAGCGGCCTCGGCACGCACGGATATTGCACGGGAACTCCGCCGTCGACGTCCCGGAGACACCCTGTTTCGTGTGCGGCCATCCCCACCGTCTTCACGCACTAGGACGACGCGAAATCCGGCTGCCAAGATGTGCGAACCCGGGCAACGCTCGCAACACCCCAAATCAAAAGCCCACGATCTGTTTCAGTCGGGCCTACGCTCGTGCACGCCGACAGCCCGTGGGTGTGTGTCCGTGGCGGTAGGATATCGAGGCTGCCGTCTGCGCCTTGAGCCAGTGCCCATGTCGGTGGAGACACTCATATGCACAACTTGAATATATTGATTTTGCGCATTTGGGGCCGGATTCGTACCGTTCCCCCTTGTCTGTGGAGTCCGGACGTGCAGTGAACCAGTGCACAGACTCGGACGCGAACCTGCCGAGCTCCGATCGAGAGGACGCCGCGATTTAGAGTCCAGGGAAGACTGTTTACTCGAGCGAGTGTGTAGCGGCCATCTATCTTGCATGCTGATCTTCGAACGGCCGCAGAAATATGCAAGCTCGTGATACGGTCCGCCGCGGACTTCGCGGGCATCTTCTGGCGCATTCGATTGAGTAGGATGGGTGTAATCTACACGCAAGAGCAGCCCTGATTCCTCGACGCCGTGTATGTGTATCTACGACGCCGGGCCACTCGACTGCGAACATGGCACTTCACCCCTGGCCGTCAAGTCCCTGCTATCCGAATCGAAATCTGGGGTATGCTCGTGGCGCCTTCCCGAGTGTTTGATGCCCACGTACGGACTCGGATGTCACATTTGCGCGCCGGAAAGCGGTCGGGACACGGTCGCCAAGATGTGTGCACACACGGCCCAAGTTGTGCGCATTACGACGCCCCGCCTATCGGGACAGGATTGGTTTTGCTCGTGCCAGCGCCCGTGCGAGTTGGTGTCCCGCCCTGCGTGTTCTCCGTCGTACGAATGCGCCATCTGCGCCCTCGATGTGTTCTCATGCCGCTTTGTACACTACTGTATCCCTGAATATATCCGCTTGTGTCTGCGCCGCCATATCCCTCGTTGCGCAGGACCTGAATAATCCGGTTCTTGTTGTGGAGTTGCGAAAATAATAGCCAGCCGAAGTCTGTGCAGTTACGAGAAGGTCAGATCGTGAGGGCGCGGCGGTAGAGCTGCTCCGAGTCCGAGCCGTGAACAGCGCGATCGTCACAGTTCCGGCGAAGTGCTCCGTTCAAGCGAGTTATTGCTTCATCTATCTACGTCGTGAATCGCTGGGTAGCCCCGAACAGGTACGCGTCATGGGGACGCTCGTAACACGGCCACAGGTTTCGGATTGCGGCTCCAAGTCTGCGAAAGCAGATGTGCATTTCCTCGTACTCTAGAAAACAAGCAGTACTAGAGTAGCGTACATACGAGCGGCGCAGAGGCCTCGGGAGCCAACCAAAAGCGCGCTGTGTACTATAAGATCACTTGCACGCATGCGGGTCTCCTGCATCCTGTAGATACAAGTGCCACACGCGTCGGAGTCCGCTTGGACCCAGGGCTACGACATGAGCGATGCGAACGTGCCGTTCGCGTCCTCAGAGTCCAGGCCAGAGTTCTAAACGACTCTGTGAGTCTCCAGGTTGTCGGTCCAAGTCGGATGTGCGTGCGGGTCTCTCGATCGCCAGGAGATGGTGTGCTCTCAGTGGGACGGCGAACGTAGCTGATATGTGGTCAGCGAAGGCGCCCAGCATGGGGATTTAGCGTACTCGGTATCCTGCCGCTGCTGCGAGCTCGACTCGGATGCCTCGAGCGCGGAGTTTGAGACATAGTGCCCGTCTGTAACGAGCAGCGTGAGCGAGGCATCTTCTGCCACAGACAAGTGGATTCGCCGAGCGAGTGCGTACCCGTTCATTTTGCCTTGTGTGCGCAATGTTCCTGGGTACATCCTGGCGACGCATGGGTCAGGAACGCGACATTTGAGGGATCGATTCGCTTGTCCCGAGGCTGCGAAAGGAAGACACATGAGCGAGCAAACTATGCGGTCTCAAAGCTCACTTGATCTGGATGGCACGGATGGTGCACGCAGATCCTGCCACACATTGTGTGAGCTTGGGTTCGATGACCAGAAACAAGACTAAGGAGACGTACCGTGCACACGCCAGGCGGCGCGGATGCTTTCTCGGTTCATCATTGCCGCTCCAGTCGTCGTCGCCGTTGTGGGTTTCGTGAGATATGACCGTGACGGACATTGTATTTGCGAGACAGAGGCGCAAGCCTATTCGAGTCCCTGCCACGAAGTGCGAACACGGGCTGGGTTGCTGAGCGGTCGCGCTTCCTGCAAGATGCATTCGAATCGACCAGATGAGGGGCAAAGTACAGATCTCGGATGTCCGAGTCGGGTCGAGCTCAGCAGCTTGATCTCTCATTGACAACGCTCTCGTTGTCTCCTACGGTACGTCAATCGGGGGCTCGGCACGGTGGGTGCCTCGCTCGCGATCCAAATGGACGTCCTGTCGAATCGCATCGTCGTGGGCCCTTTAGTCGAATAGTCCAGGCCATTCCAAGAGCAGCCATGTAGCCCTAAATGTGTCCACAGTATGATACTTCAGTATGTCGCGCGGGTGCAGTGTCCGGTCATGACTGGCGTGAGGCGGTGATTCGTCGTGATTACATCGAGTTCTGAGCACATATCTACTGCGCATAAATGGTATGCTAGCTGCTACCACTCGCGCCGAGCATCCACGCACTGGGCTACATGGCAAAGACGGCAAAGCGGGCGATTGAATGCTTACCGTGGTGATTGCATCATTCCCGTGGTCCTGCGCACGATTCGATTGTTGCTCGCTTCACTGGCAGGACAATGTCAGTGTCCGTCTTGGAACATTGTGAGAGGACTCACCGGGTGCTGAGCTCGCCGTGTGCCCCTGCCGCGCGAGGCAGATTGCAGGCGGTGTTTCTGTCAACCGCCGAAGAACAAAGCTATCTATGTCAAAATGTTAGCAATATCACACGTACACAAGTTGCAAGAATTCCTACAAGCGTACCTGCTGTGCCTAGAATGCGCCGCGTGGGCGAGAGAGCGATTATATCATCGACCGGACAAACACGATAGCTCCACCACCCTAAACGCATTGACGATGTCAGCGTAGATTTAGAAACATCGTCAACGGACTTACCAGGCACGAATGTCCGCCGATGTCGTACGACGAGCGGTGGCGCGTATCCCGCCCAATGTCCTCGGCTCCTGCAAACGAGGTATCTACGCCGCGATGTCAGCGATAACACGCGTACCTACGTCGCAGGATGAGCGGGGATCATACCTGATTAGCGTGGATATGTGTTCCTCCTCATTTTCTGGCCGTGCAGCCGCTCCAGCGGCCCGCATACGCGCACGAGTGCGTTCTGCTCGCTCTCGAAAAGCGTACCTCTGTGCGTCCAAGCAGTCAGCTATTGAAACGTCTGTAGAAAGACTCACTGCGTACTCAGGTTCTTGCGGAGGGAGTCTGGATGCCCTGCCTGTGGCCGTGTCGCAAGTTGGGTAACCGAACAAAAACGATGTTGTGCCCTGAGCAGGGCCATCCGCGACGTCCAATTCAGAGTCGTGCGTGTTGATCGTATCGAGCCGGCGCCGAATAGGGTGGTCGAAGCGAGGGTCCCCCACGGTGGCGATCGTGAACGCGCAGCTGCCTCTCAGATGCGGGCTAGTCCGCTACGTGTCCCGTAATTCTGGAAATCATACATCTGGGAAATCAATACGCCATTAGCAGCCACGTACGGTGGAGAAAACGCGAGCCCAGCCGGCGTTGTGGTGGTGGTGCGGTCGAGAGCGACGAGGCGCGCAAGCACCGCCGAGGGCGCTTCGAACTACTCGCTTTCCAAAAATGGCAGTCGCGGCCGTCTTCACTCATCGCCCACGGCGACGCTTTCCACGCTCCCTCTATCATCGCTGCGTCGAGCATTCCACGTGCTCCCTCTGGGATCTTTAACATACTGGGCACAGCTGGTGTAATGTGGGGTGTTAAAGTGTAAACAACAGGAGGACCCGCGTGGGACGCAATTCCAGCCGACGCGGGCTTATCAAAATGCTCCGTATTGGCGAGTGCGACGGGGACGGCAGGTTGGGAAGTATTCCAGACGAGGGGATGAATAGATATCTGTCACGTCGGACGAGAGTGGGTGGCGGAGTGCCAAGATTTTGATAGATTTTGCGACGCGAGGGCATGCCGTACAGGTCTGGACAAGGGTGGCCAAGGAAGACATCTGGGATGAGCAGGGAGACTGCCCATTCCAGGAGATTTCCCTGGACGTTCTGGTCCATAGGTCTGCTTCAAAATGATGAGAAATGAGAACATACAGGGGAAAACAGAAGTCAGATCAAGACCTTGAGCGTAGGGCTACAGAGGCCAAAGTAAGGACAATAAGACACCTAAGATGGGCACACCACACAGCCTCGCATACGCGATGATGTATTGAGAATTTACTACTACAGGGTTTACACTACAAGCGAGACGGGGCGCGCGCCGCGGTGTGCCCGCAGCGCCTCACCGGGGGAGTCACCGGGAGAGCGGACAACCCTCTATCATCCGCCTCTCGATCCCCTAGTCACGTCGCACCCCTCAGCCATTCTCCCTCCGCTTCCCTGACATCCTACGAGCCGCCTGGCGCACTCCTGAATGCCCTACACCGACGGTCAGCAGCCCACGCACAAGGACCAACACCTGGTAAGCCCCACGACCTCCCCGAGCACTCACCTTCAATCCTGACCAATCCGCTGCCTAGGCCACGACAATCGACACTGAAGATGCGGCCGTTTGTGCATCGCAGCCGCGCAGATCGAGCGCTCGGTGGGGTGGTGTACAAGGTACATCCTGTTCTGTTCGCATCGCCTCGCGACAGCGTCGATGTAGCGCGAACGCGAGCGCGGGGAGCATCGGTGAGCGTTGTCGTGAGTTCGCGGGGTGAGGAGGGTGGCGAGGACATCTGGGCATCGTGGGAGGGTGTCGCCGCCGCGTGTGAGATCGCCGAATGAACGGGATCGTGGACGAGAGGAGACGGCGGCGCACGGAGTGGAGACGGGCCGGCGGCGCGCTGAGAAGAGCAGGCGATCACGGCCGCGGGGCTGCTGGTGCGGGAGCGGGGCCGTGTTCGGCGTCGTCGAAGGCAGCGAGAGTGTAGGCTGCATGTGTACGAGAATCCGTTCCTTGCTCTTGCAGATCCACTCTCCCACTCACCACGCGCGACTCCAGGCGTCGTCGACGTCTCGGGTCGTGACGGAGGCTGTCTGCCTTCTCCCGCTCCATCCCGGAGAATACACACCCTGTGGGAGGTACGCACGCGCCAGGACGTCTGCAATGGTCGCAGACTTACCTTCTCCTCGCAGAACAGCGCATAGGTGCGCGACGTGCCTCGGCTCTACCCTCTGACCCTTCCATCGTCCGCGCTGGCTCTGCGGCGATCCATAGGCGGTCGTGCGGATGCGCCTCCAGGTAGATCACGTCAGTTTCCCGCGCGGAGTCGACTGCGAGAGCGCCGGAGAGCGAGCCCGAGGTCGCGCAGCCACAGGCGCGCGGACGTACTCGAGTTCGCGCGATCGAGTCCCAGCAAGCTGCAGAGAAGAGTGCGGGAGAGCGAGCCCCAGAGGCCGAGTTCTTGGCACATACAGCGAGTTGAGTGCGCGAGGGCGGGTCTGGGCGAGTTCTGAAGAGCTCAGAGAGGTAAGCAGCAACCGCCAGATGGCCCAGAGCGTGCAGATGACCAAAGCGAGCCCCCAGAGCGAGATTCCGCAGCCAGAAAGCCCCCATAGGCGAGTCCCAGCGAGCCCGAGCCCGAGCACAGCAAGGTGAGCCCCAGAAGCGAGACCAAGTCGAGCAGAGTCCCCGCAGCTGACCAGAACGAGCAGAAAACGAGCCTTGGAGAGGCTGCGCGGCGTAGCACGCTGTCCAAGTCAGGCCGTGGGGCTCCCACCTAGCTGTGCAGCGCGGCCGCACGGACTATATGCTCGGTAATTGAGTGGCGCGCGATTCTGCGAGGGCGGCGGGAGAGATCTACGAAGGTATGCTCGTGCGTCGTATACTCAAAAATGAAAACTCACATGTTCTGTAGCAGCCGCAGGCGACACGGGCGCATTTGGGCACGCTTGCCGCCGCGGCGGAGGCCCGAGTGCGCGGCAAGGGCCTGGTGATGCACGGGAAGATCAGTGCACTCGCAACGGGTTCGGTACGCACCGAGGACGTCGGCGGCGGATGTTCCGAGGTCGCGAGCAAGATCGCGAAGGCCATGAGAGTGAGTGCAAGCGAGCGGGAGGAGCTCGGTGGTGGCGGTGTGGAGGCAAGCGGCGCCGTTGGGCTTGGCGAGTGGTGGGTGCGGCGTCGGCGTCTAAAGCCTCGCGTTGCTTGTCTCGTCTCGCCACGACCGCGCGACGAGATCTACGGTACGTCGTGTGCCGCGCACACGTTATTGTACTTTTTGACTTTATCTGCGATACAGGATGCGTATTTTGAGCTCTCGAGTGCGCTCGGGAGCAGCTCGAAGTCTGCTTGGCTGGTCAGCTCCCTGGGGCTCCCTCTTCTCCTCCTCTCGGTTTCGCGAAGACACGACGACTCAGGCGCACTCTCACGCGTACGGTGCGACTCTAGGGACATCATAGACACGATCTGGGCACTCCATGGCGCTTGCGAGGGGCCCGGCGCCGGCCTCGGCTCGAACAGCCTGTCCCGGGGCTCTCGACACCCTCCTCTCGACTGTGCGTCGAATTCGCGCCTCAGCCGCGCCTCGCTCGTCTCCGTTGTACTCCACTGTGCTAGGAACATGACGCATCCCACTCCGGCATCTTCAGGCGGCTCTGAGGCGCTCGTCTGTGGCCTTTGCGTCCACGGCTAGTTCTGGATCCTTACCTCTCCCGATCTGGATTCCGCGACAGCGCAGCCGCGTTTGGACGATCGCACGGCCACTAGGTGGTCATTCACACCCCTCGTACGCGATCTGGGCGCTGCAGGACCTCTGCGAGTGGCGCCAGGCTCGACATGTCTCCGACAGCCAGCTCTGGGTGCATTGCTTCTCTCCCTCTCAATATCGCGACGATGCGGCGGCGCAGCCTCCGACGGCCTCACAGGAGTCAGGCCTATCAACGTGCACAGTGTCGACATCTCCAGACTCGTACGACGCGCTCGGTGTCGGGCTCGGCTGTACCGGCGAGTTCCGGGGACTCGACATTCGCGCACTCGCCACGCGGCGACGCAGACGCGCCAGGAGGGACTCTACGGCTCAAGAAGACTCCGAGGGACCCTACGGCTCAAGAAGACTCCGAGGGACCGTCACGCTCGATTTCGGCGCCCCTGGACGCCTACGACGCGCCTCAGCTCCCGACTTGGGCTCCCACCGCCATTTCGGGGTGCTTACCCCCGCGATTTCTCGACGGCGCGGTCACGCAGCCACATCAATCCACATACGCCAGGACTATAGGACTCCGCGCTCCGCACACGCGCAGTTTGGGCGCGCCCGGACGGCTACTCGCGGCGCGAGGAGAGAGGCCGGGTGGAGTGTGTTCCCACGGCATGCCGCCGGCCTCTGCGCGGATTCGCGCACGAGTTTGCGACGACGCGGCGCGTTTCTGGCGCGTCCGTGTGCGAGGGTACGGTCCGACCCAGCTTGCGTCGCGACGCGCGATTCCGGCGTCCCTAGGGTGCTGGGGAGGCGTTCGAGTGGAGGGAGTCCCCGGGGCTTGTTCTCGATCTTCTGCATGTAGTTTTGGTCGTGCCGGCTCGACACTCGCACCGTGTACTGTACGAGTACGATAGCACTAAATGCGATACGAACGGGACGTTCAAAGTGCGCATTTCTGACTTGGGCTGAAGTGCTCCCCGAGGCCCTCCCCAAGCCCCCTCCCCTCCACACTCCTATAGAGCCCTACTCCGCACTCCCATAGAGACTCACCCCACACTCCATAGAGCCCCACTCCACAGCGAGAGTCCGTGAATCTCTCCGCGGCCGTTCACCCTCTCCTCCACGTGCACCACCCGGTCCGCCGCCGCCACCCTCCGCCGCCGCGTCCGAACACACCGCCCCGCGCACCCGAGTCGCGCACTGTGGGCGCGGGAGCGGCAGATAGTAGCCAGACGCCCGCCAGTGGGATTGAGCTCGACGTGCGGCGCGAGCGTGCCCGTCCCAGTCTCTGCGCGGAAGACGGCACTGTCCTGTCAGAACGCGTGACGTCACTGCGAGCCCTGCTCTGCTCGACTCGAGACGCGCAGTGGTGGCGTGGGGGGACACGCGGTCACGTGCGGCGCGCGTTGTTGAACAAAGGTTGGCTTCGTGGATCGGCGCCTTCCCACGACCTCCCTCTCTGCGCCCACCGTCTGCCCCGACCCCCGACGCGCCTGCTCGCTGTGTCCCCCGATGAGCGCGCCCCACCCTCTCCGCGAGCGCGTCCAGTCCAACTCCCCCGAGCCACTCCCGCCGCGCCCGACCACGCCCCTCCGCATCACCAAGCAGCGCGACTCCCCCCAGCCCGAGTCTCCGCGCGAGCACCAGTCCCCGCGCCGCAAGCCCGCGCCCGTCCTCGCCCGCCGCTCCTCCTCCTCCTACAAGCATGTCCGCGAGAACAACCTCGTCACAAAGTCGCCCTTCCGCTCCCTCCTCCCCCAGCCCTCGCCCCGTCGCGTCAGCGGAGAGAAGCGGCCGCGGCCCGTCTCCATGGCCGACCAGGCGGAGAACGAGCACCCGCTCGGCTTCAAGCGCAGGCAGTCCAAGGCTTTCCAGGGCCTCCTCCAGAAGGAGCCCGTCACAAAGAGCCCCTTCCTCCGCGGCTCGGATGCCACCCCGCCTGAAGACGACCCGCCGCCCGTGCCACCCAAGCCGCGTCCTGCGGTGATGGCACAGTCCTCCGCCCCGTCGCCTGCGCGCCCCTCTCTGGTCACCCGCCGTCTGCACGGCCCCCGCGACGCCGGCGGTCGTCGCCAGCGCCGCAAGACCGTCACCTGGGATCCCCGGTGCGACGTGCTCGAGTTCGACGTCGGCGAGAACGAGCACCAGGATGTGTACTACTCCGAGGACGACTACGGCACGCCCAGCGACGAGGAGATGCAGGACAGCTTCGAGTATGGCCCCCCCCTGGACGACAGCATCGTCGGCAAGATCGACTCCATGATTCACGAGACCCAGCCGCATACGCCGCCCCGGCCTGAGGACGAGCAGGATGCGGCGCTCTTGCCACCGTCGCCCTCGCCAGCCAAGACCCGCTCCGCCGCGCCCCATCATGAGTACTCGGAGCCTCCGGGCGGTGCAGATGGTGAGTTCACATTCGTTGCTGCGCATCAGGGTACAATTCCGGCGCTCGAGGGCCGAGCACACTGTTCGACTTTGCTCGTCTCGTGCGGACAGACGGGTGTAGATGTAGCTCCGTCCTTTCGTGTTGCTGTGTCGTGCATTTGATGTTGCTCCGCCGAGATCGTCGTTTACTCATGCTAACAAGACCTCACAGATCTCCCCGACGACCCTTCATTTATTGACCATCTTAAAGACGAACCACCGCCATTCAGTAGGGACGAGTCGTTCCAGTCTATCCGATCCAATGACTCCGACTCCCTCGACCCATCTAACTTGTCCATCGGCCACTCCGAGGTCTCCCTTACCAACCTCGATAGCCAATCGCTCCTCGCTGACACGGACATGCCCGTCGACCACTCGATCATCAGCAATTCCCCCTTTGTTCCTCAGGCTGATTCCTCACCTGCTGGTCTCCTACGATCGCGCTCTCCGCCGACACAGGAGCAGTCCTTTGAACGCGGTCATTCACGCGACCGCTCATTCGAAGCCCGCTCGACTCCCTGCATAAATGCTTCGCGATACAACTCCCCGAGGCCAGGAAGTGCAACGGGATCTCGCTCGGGATCTCCGTTTCATCAACTCTTCCGGCCTGCGAGTACCTCGAGTCTTGGAAGCGTCGGCCGTCGTGTCAGCCCCTTCATTACCCCGGAAGGCGTGCAGCAGCGCTTGCAACGGAAGAGCCAGGAGGCCCTCTTTTCCTCGGCCCGAAGTGGGAGCGGTAGCCCAGCTCCGTCACCGTCTTTAGGCAAGTCTCGTGCCGAGTGCGAAGATGGTCAATCTACGTCAAACGTACAAGTTGCGACGGAGGACACCGAAGCGGACACCTCTCGCGCAACCGAACCCGCCTCCGAGCTCCCAACCACCACCTCCACCTCGTTCACCCGCCCCCCGCCGCAGACACACCGCCGCGTCGCGAACCCCGCGCTCCCGCCGATGATGGTGCGCGGCCAGAACCCGACGCACGACGGCGTGCTCTCCATCGACCCGGAGCCGCAGCCGATCGACCCGCCGCGCCCGACGCTTCCTACGCGCGCACACAGCATCGACGTCGACGCGCCCGCGCACATGGACGCGAAGCGCGCGTTCGAGGGGCTCGACCTCGACTTCGAGCACGGGTTCGCGCTCGGGGACGAGGGCATGAGCGTCAGCGCCGGGCTGGGCATGCGCGCCATGGTCGCGCGGCACGCGAGCCCGACGCCGGCGGCGCGCGAGAGCGGCGTGCACCTCGGCGACGTGAGCGCGCTGGACCGGCTGATGGAGGACATGGCGCAGGGCGCGCAGGTGGACCCTGGGGCGGACTTGAGTCTGCTGTCGGAGTCGGAGCTCGGGGAGCGATCGTTTGCGAGCTTGCGCGTGGAGGCGGTCACGGAGGGCGTGCGTGCGGCGACGTTCGCGCTGCCGGACATCGTGCAGGATGATGAGGAGATGAAGATCGATGTGGATGTGGGGAATGTAAGGCCGCCGACGCCCGAGGGCGGGTGGCGGGCCGCGGGGGAGAGCAGGGTGAACGGGAAGGGGAAGGAGCGGGAGGAGGCGCCGCCGACAAAGGACGCGATCCGTGCACGCGAGGAGCTCATCCGCGCGAAGAAGCGCGAGGCGCGCCGGCTGGAGGAGGGCAGCGACCTCGAGGACGAGCCGCTCCTGCAGCGCAAGCCGATGCCGCCGATTGGCGTTGGGTCCCCGAGCATACCGAACTTGCTGCACCCGACGGCGGCTGCGGGCGCGAGCGGGAGGCCGACAAGGAGACGGAGCATGAGTACGGGGGATGCGGAGGACATCCTGACGCGGACGCCGGGCGCGAGCCAGCGGCGCGCGGCGGCGCTGCACCAGGAGGGCCTGCTCGACATCACGGCGCTGCGCGGGGCGGACGACCCGCTGGCGGACAGCATCAACCGGGAGCTGAAGCGGCTGGAGGCGCCGAAACGCAGCGTAAGTGGCTTTGGTCTTTGTCTGGGTGGCGCGGGCGCGGTGCTAATGGGTCTTTGGCGTGCGGGAGCAGAAATACCATGTGAGGGAGCACTCGGAGACGATCTACGCGTCGGCGGACGCGGACACTGTCAAGCACATGCAGGGCGCGGGCGATGTCGATGCTGGGAAGGCGTGGAAGAGCGTGCGGCGGCCGTCTGATATGGTGCGTGGTTTGCTTGTTGAGGTGTGGGTGGAGTGCTGATGGGAGGCGCAGAACGAGTATGCGAAGCAGATCAAGGAGCTTCGTGCGCAGGCGGGTGGCAAGGCGCACGGGAAGGTCTTCGTCAGAGGTGGGTCTGCTGTGATCGAAGAGAGGGCGTTGAAGCTGAGCAGCGATGCGTTTGCAGTGACCAACTTGAGGAACCTCCAAGTGCCGCTGCCCAGTCAGCCGACCGCCGTGACGTGCACGCTCAACAACGGGATCCACTTCGTGACGACTCCGGAGGCTGCGTTTGGCCAAGAGTGTCGCATCGACCAGGAGTTTGAGCTGTGAGTGCGCCGTTCGGTCTTCTGATATTTTGGAACTGATGGATGTGTCGTAGGATCGAGCACAGCAAGCTCGAGTTCACGCTGACTATCAAGGTCCGCCGGGACCCGCACATCATCGCCCAGTTCAAGGCAAATCAGCCACCTCCCGTGGCCCGACCACCCCCACAACCACTACCGCCACCCGCATCGAAAGGCGGCGCGCAACACAAGGGCGGCGGCATGCGCAGCTTCCTCGGCTTCGGCTCCCCCAAGAAAGCAAAGGCCATACTCCCGCCCCCAGCTGCACCCGCACCCACACCCCCGCCGCCGCCGCCGCAGTTCCGCCTGCAGGAGAACCTGGCGCGGTACCTGAAGCCGGACGGGTCGCTCGCGCGCGCGTTCATCTCGTTCAAGGACGTCGCGCCGCACTGCGACACGCGCCTGCTCGAGACCGCGTTCCCGCTCATCGGGCAGCGGCTCGAGCTGGGCGGGGGCGCGCCGAAGGCGATGCAGGTTGGGGAGATCGTGCTGCAGATATTCAGGCTGCCGCCGCTGGCGGGCATCCCAGCGGGCCAGCTGCCGCAGAGCCTGGAGGAGTGCCATCGCGGGCTGAGCCATGTGCGGTGGCATAAGGCGACGTACCAGCAGGGGACGTTGACGCAGAGTGGGGGCGACTGTGCGGTCAGTTTTGCGGTTTATTCAGATGTGCGAGAGACAGGAACTAAATGTGCTGGTGGGTGACTTATAGACATGGCGGAGGCGGCACTTCAGGATCATCGGCGCAAACATGATCGCGTTCAACGACGTTACGAAGCGCGCGATCACGACTATCGACTTGCGCAAGGCGATTGCGATCGAGGACGACGGCTCGCCGGTGATGAGTCCGGCGTCGGGCGTCACTGCGCGGAGCCACTACGACGACGACAGGATGTACGGCGTCGAGCGGTCGTTCCGGATTGTGTTTGGTCCTGGGCCTGATCAGGAGATCACGTTCTTTGCGGATACGGACATGGAGAAGCAGCGGTGGTGAGTTCATTCGGTTTTTTTTTGAGTGTCTGTACTGAGGATATTTCTCCGTTAGGCTGGAGGTCTTGCGAGTCATGATTGGGCGGATCCCGCCGAACCCGCTGTGGGCAGAGCTGTTGTGGCAGCAGCAGCAAGACCAGTCGAAGAACGTCCCCCCGCTACCAGCAGGCGCGCAGGTGCCCGCGCGAAACCCACCACGATAGATCTCTCGCTTACTCTCTCTCTGTCTCTTTTCATTATTCATGACTCTCGTACGCTACGTCTCACGGCTCACCTCTCTCGCATCTCAAGCAAATACGATTGTACGTTTACCTTTTTACGATAGTGCGCGCTTTCTTGTTACTATGACCTCTCTCCGACTTCTGACCTATGTATCTGTGTATGCCCGGCTCGTGAATGCACCTGTTTCATGCCCCTTCGCTGGGACTTGCGGGCTGAGTGCTCATGAATTATAGTATGCTCTGAGGAGAAATTGGAGTCCGGTGATGATGAGGTCCACAAGCGGGGGCTCTTGCGGCGCACTCTGTAGAGACGTGACCGGCTTCGAGTCCGCGTAGACACCGCCCAGCTCGAGGTCGACGTTGTACGTCCGCGTGTCCGCCACTCCGTCAACCTGGAAGTCCGCGACCCACTGCGTGAACGCGATGTTCACCCACCTGCCTCCCGGGCTGCTGAACCGCCGCGCACCCGCCTGCCACTGGTCCGGCCCCGACATGCTCCCACTGGCAGACGCCTCGCCGTACTCCCTCCAGATACGCTCTAGGGCGGGCTCGGTCCACGTCGGGTCGTCGTCTACTGCGTCCTCGCGGATGAGGATCTGCGACCATACTGTTCCGGGGGGTTGCACCCCAATGGCGACGGCGAATGCCTCCCCGGCACCGGCGGGGCTGCGGAAGAGGACGACGGCGAGCCCGGCGTCGGGCGGTAGGATGAGCGTGAGCGAGCCGTCGAGCGGGTCGCGTGTCCATGCTGAGCGGGGTGTGCATTCGTACTTGGGCGGGTCGGTGTGTGTGGGAAGCGCGTTTCGAAGCCGTGGACGTTGCGTAGATATGTGAGGAGCGGGCCCTGGAAGACGAAACGAAATTGCCGGGGCGCGATGTCGGACGAGGACAGTGAGCGCTGCCAGGGCTTTAGCTCGCGCCGGGCACGCTGCGGGTTCGCGTTGTGGCTGTGGATGTAGAGGTCGGTGACGGCTAGGTGGTCGATGAATGCTTTGCGGCGTGCAGGGTCGGCCGGAAGGCGGAAAAGGCGGAAATGCGGCTGCCACGGCGCGCGGAGGGAGTGGTAGATGCTGTGCACGCCGACGTAGTAGCGGTTGTCGCGGCGCGCGGTGCGGCGGAGGAGGAGCGCGAGGGGGTCCCCGTCCTGTTCGCACGCGAGGACGGCGAAGCAGAGGGCGCTGGAGGGGCAGGTGTGCAGGGGGAGGTGCATGCGGATGCCGTAGTTGGTGGGCGCGTGCTCGGGGACGGCGATGGAGAGGCCGAGGCGTTTGGCGAGCGTGTCGAGCGTGAGTGCGTCGATGCCTGCGGAGTCGGCAAACATGTCGGGGGAGGACGCGAGCAGGCCGCGATCCTCGGCTGTCCATTCGTAGCCGTCGGCGAAGGAGGTGATGTTCTGCTCGAGGACGGCATGGTCGTGTGCGACGCCCCAGGCGAAGATGCTCTGGTCGGGGGACTGCCGGATGATCTCGTGCTGGAGGCGGATGAACGCCTTCTCGCCCTCGCCGTAGATTGTAGGCATGTTTACGTTGAATATGCCCATAAGCGAGTACGCGCGATCCTCGATGCGTGTGGTTTCCCGTTCAGCGGCCCATGACATACGCTTCGCGACGCTGATGTCGTCGAGATGTGTTTCGTGTAGAAGCACGGCACGGCCGATGTGCGTCAGCTCCTCGATGGCGCCTGCGAGTGTCGCCTTGGTCCCGATCTGTTGCCAGTCCTGCGAGTAGAAGACGAGCCTGCGGGGTGCGATGAGCTCCTGGAGCGTCCAACCGCGCGTAAACCAGCGGCTACTGCGGAACGACGAGTGCGGGGACCGAGGGTTGTGATCGGCGCTCGCATCATAGAGATAGGCGTAGCAGACGGCGGCGTCGCGGTACCAGATGAACATGGAATTTATCGCCTCAGAGAGCTCGGCGGAGCTGGTCTTGTCGATGCAGCAGGTGTCGACCCAGATCCACTCGTAACCGTCGCTGAGTGCGATGGCGCATGCGTGCGAGACCTTGGCGAACCCATGAAGTTTTTGAGCGCGCTCGAGGTCCTTGATGTCGGTGAAGGAGACCTCCTCGTCCCGCCAGACGTGCGAGAGGATGGCGTAGACTGGGCGGGCGCCTTCGGACGGGAAATAGCGCAGAGTTTGCGTACGTGTGTTTAAGAGCCACATCAAGCTGTGATATGGTCATCGTGACAATTAACGGCTTCAGTCAGGAGTACGAAGGTAGAGCCGATAACGTACCGTGCAGGATACTGCCGCCACCGGTGTGCAGTGGAACCGCGAGCAAACAAAGTCGGTCGCTGGGAGAGAGCGTACGAGAGACGACACTCAGAGCGTGGGTTGTTGGTGAGGGCAGTGGCAGACAGTGTTAGCCCGCGCTACGCAAGACGTCAACGATATGTATTATCTGGCAGGCTAATTGATCGTGGGGCGTGTTTAGTGCGTGTGGTTCAGCAGTGCAAGGGGCAGTGTCAAACTAGTCGCTCAGGTGTTCGCGGACGGCTTGCCGTAACTTGGATGTAGCTGGGTAGCGTCATCCTCGTCCCGGTCGCGGAGAGAAGTATCTGCACAGGACGACTGTGTATATAAGGCCGCGCACCTCGTACGTGCCCCTGGTGGGAGGAAGTGGTCAGAAGATGAGCTCTCAAATGACGAGACGTTGATATACCAGTCAGAATGTCCGAGCTTGCATGTCTACTATTATGGCAGTGATGCGAGCCCGCTCCTGACTGCGAGGATACTCTGGTAGTGTGCTTGATTGCTGATCTTCGTTTTTTGGGCCGCCACCTGCCTGCAGATGCTGGCAGGAGACAGGCCAGATTCACCGCGGCACTGAATACTCGCACTTCGCTAGGCCCGGACAAATCCTGATGTAGATATAATTTTTACTCAGTGTCCACATGGCAATGGCGATATGGCCGAGCGGTCTAAGGCGCCAGAATCAGGTGCATTGCGGCATTGCCACTTTTACCTTCATCTGGTCCGAAAGGGCGTGGGTTCGAATCCCATTGTCGTCATTTGTTTTGCCGCAGTCGTACAGGTTGTTCTAGCAAACTGCTTGCTCCGTCTCGAAGGTCGATCGCGGAAAGTTGTAATGGGCGTCCATGGTCTCACCACCTATCTCCGCGAACACAAGTCTACTCTCTCCAATACTCTCCAGCTTCCTCTCTCGCATCTCCCGCACACCAACGGACGGAATGCAGACGGAGAGGGCCAAATTCCGGTAGTGGTGGACGGCTGGTCGTGAGTCTTCCTGTACCACTCTTTCTGGTCAACCGTCGCTTACAACACACTTACTTTGTCTTCAGATTCATCTTTGAAGTTGTCCACTGCGCCGATCTCCCATGGGTCTATGGCGGCGAATATACGCAGCTGTCTCAGCTTGTTAGACAGGTCGTCCACGCGTGGATAGAGGTCGGCCTCGACCTGCACTTCGTTTTCGATGGTGAGTATCTTCATTCTGGCTACGAGCTTTCCCGCAAGAGCAAGAGATCTCCCGGGTACCCTGCCGCAGGATGTCTTTCGCAGCCCTCTTCAGCTTGGCTCCGTTATGACCTCCTGCGGTTTGGGCTCGGTCCTGGCGTACATGGCCCGAGCACCAGAAAGCGGTGGCTCGGTTAGAAAGCAACGAACAAAGTGATCACGAAGTCGTGATGTGACTGTATAGAGCATGCATGGTATCCGCATTACCGACGAAGCAGGAGACACATATGTTGCTGCGCCACCGCAAAAACATTTCCCTCTGTGTTACGGTACGAAGGACTATCCCTCGGCGCGCGCATGGGGGGATATAGGCTTTCTTCCGTTTGCGGTCAAAGCACCGGAGAGTATAGAGGTGAACTGACGGAACACTGCGAATTGCAGGAATCCGCCACATTCCGTGCACGCCATCATATCGCTTCGCTCAGTACTGGAGGCGCTGCCGCTACTCCCTGTGATACTCGGGTTTTTTTCCCGAATGTGAGGGTCGTTGCAGGTCTTTGACCAGGCCGTGTACGCATGCGGTTAACGTTACCTTGCATGTGCGTCGTCTTATGTCTATGTTTTGCGGGACTCTAGTTGTGAACAGTAGCTGACTCCCCGCAGGCCCATACCCTACCCTCAAGTTCCCGACCCTGATCTCGCGCCACACCCAAAACCAGGTCCAAAATGCGCTGCTCTTCTTTCGCACCTCCGCCACCGCTCGCGCAGCACCGCGCTTCCTCCGCGAAACTGCCATGCTGCCGCCACTGTCGTACGGCGTGTGCGTCGACACGCTGGTCGAGCTCGCAGCCGGGGCGCATGCAGGCCGGCTACATGTGCACATTGCGGACGAAGAAGGCGACCCGTACGCCGTCGCACTTGCTGGACGACTGAATGCCTATGTCGCTGGGCGAGACTCGGACTTCGTCGTGCTGAACACGGAAGGATACCAGGGATACATCCCGCTCGACGAGATGGTCTGGACCGCGGCGAACGCGGGGGATGGAGACGGCAGCGTCTACTCGCTGGACACGGAACCGGACGTGGACGACGGCGGCTTCAAGCCCGCACGTTCAGGCAAGGCGCGCAAAAAACGCGCCGTGGCAGACCAGCAGGCCGGGCGCGGGATTATCCCTCCAGACGACACGCAAGGCCTCGCGCTTTCGTTCACGGTCTACAGCCCCGCGACGCTTGCTGCACACCTCGACATCCCCGCGTCGCTCCTCCCGCTGCTGGGAGCGCTCGTCGGGAACGACTTCACCGGGTCCTCAGACGACGCGGGCGCCGCGGGCAGCCGCCGCGCGAACCTGCAGCGGCTCTTCTTCGAGCGGCAGCTGACGCTTGGACAGCGTATCGCACGCACCGCGAGCACACTCAGCGGGCTGCTCGCCGCCGCGTTCGGGCAGCCCGCCCCAGGGGTGCAGAAGAAACGGACGAAGAAGCCGATCGGGAGCGTGATGGAGCTCATCGACGCGGCGGTGGGCGCGCTGCTGCTGCGTCCGCTGGATACGTTCGGCCCGGGCGAGCGGGAGGCGGTCGTAGAGCGCGTCGTGGAGGCGACGCTGCAGTATGCGATCCCGCGCCCGCCGGACGAGGAGGAGGCGGGCGGGGAGGGGTGGGTGTCGGAGGTGTGCGCGCTGCATGTCGCAGAGGCGTGTCCGTTGTTCGCGTCGCTCTCGAGGCTGGTGGCGCCGGTTCCTGGGGACGTGACGCCGGAGGACGTGCCGCTGGGGAAGAAGCTCGCGGGGGAGGACGCACATGCGGCGGTGAGGGCGGCGTATGTCGCGGCGTACAGGCGCGGGGAGATGAACCCGCATGTGCTGGACGCGGTGCAGAGCGCGACGGCGTGGCCGTGGCTGTTCCTGGAGGACCCGGACAAGGAATGCGTCGAGCGCAGTGTGGGGCGGCCGATCCGCGAGTGGATGTATGCGGTGCTCGATGCGAGCGTCGGGCTCCCGAGTCCGCCGGTGCCGGAGGGCGAAGAGGCCAATGCGGATGAGGATGAGGACGAGGATGAGGACGAGCTGATCGACGTCGTGGAGGAAGACGACGACGTGGACCCGCTGGCGCGGCTGCGCGGCGCGCTGAAGGAGCTGGACAGCGACGACGAGGACGGGGAGAGCGCGGACGACAGCCCACCACCGTCCATTCCGTCGACCTCTGCGAGTTCCCAGCCGAAAATTATCACAGAGTACGTCCGGCGCGGGACGCGTCTCGCCCCCGAGGAAGTCGCAGTCCCCCCGCTCGCCGAGCTCCTCCGTACCATCGCACTCGAGAGCCCCGTGCACCCGCGCACGCGCCTCCCGCTACCCCCGCCTCTCTGGCCTAGGGAAGCGCGGCGACGCCTGCTGCTGGGCGCACTCGAGTCGGACGGCCCCGCGGTCGCGGCGCTGCCGGACGACCGCGTGCTGGGCGTGGCGGCGCTGCGGTTCGTCGTGCGCCGGATGCACGTGCGCGCGCTGGAGGCCCCGGGCGTGAAGGAGCGCCAGCAGGAGCGGTGGACGCGCGCGGAGGCGCGTGCGTTCCTCGCGTGTGTCCGGCCAGAGGGCCAGGTGGAGGCGGACGGGGAGCAGCAGGTGCCGATTCTGGAGCGGCACGTCCAGCTCGTTGCGCAGATCGGGGCGGCGCTCGGGGCGGCGGAGCGGCTCGCGCAGGTGCTGCTGCTCGCCCCGGGGATCGCGAGTCCTGCGAGGTACTTCTCGGGGGCGCGGTTCCATGCGCTGTTGAGTGGGGATGGCGCGCTCGGGGCGGAAGTGGAGGAGGGCGTGTGGGCGGCGTGTGTGGAGGGACTGGAGGACGCGTTCGCGGCGCTGCCGCAGAGGAAGAGCAAGAAGGAGAAGAGGGGGAAGGGTGTGGTACAGGCGCCGCCGATTTCGAGGGGGGCGTCGAAGGGCAAGTCAATGTTTGAGCTGCTCGCGGACGTGGATGCGTGAGCGGCGGGGAGGGTGCGGTCGGTGTGCGTGTACAGGTGTGCGTGTACGATGCTCTGCAGTATCTAAAATATGTTGTATACATGTGACATTCTGTTTGCCTATGAAGTGTACTCTGTTGGTGTGATAACATATTGCTCACCTAAGGCTACAGGTTCGGGCGGCGGTCGACGAGGGTTCGGAGGATCGGAGGATGCCATATGCTGGGCGCTTATGGGGGATAGCAGCCGACGACGTCAGCGGACACTTTTGTGCTCGAGCCACGACCTCTCCCTCCCTCCACCGTCCTCTGCCTGCCTTCTCGCCTCATCATCATCGCACGCATATACTCTCTGGTCCTAGCCTCTGGACCTGCTCTTGACCGACTCTGGGAGGAAATATTCGCTGCGTCCACAGTATATCCTTCAGCTTCCGACAGCCCGCATAGGTTCTCTCCGCTTCCAAGTCTCTGCTCCGCTGCTGCCAACTATCGTCTTTCTGGAGAGCTGTGACTCAGATATGCTACGAAGAGCCCTGCCTGTCCTATGCTCTCCGCTTCGAGCTTCTCCACGGCTGTCCGCCCGCCGTCTCGTCCACGCTCGCCATGCCCCGAGCGCACCAACGCTAGTCGGGAGTAGCGCACACGCCGCAGTTCCACCTGCTGCTGTCCACCGGAGACACGCAACGTACGTGTTTTCCCATGTTTATCTTTACTCTCGCGGGCTTCACCTGGGTGGCATTTTTCTTATGGGACGGGTGGAAAGGCGGGTATGATACCTGCCACTGTTTGCAAGGTCACGGCGAGGCACTCTTCCCCCGTGCGAACGAATCTCGATATACATTTTAGTTTCCAGGTCCGCCCGCAGGGATGTATGCGCGTCAAATAGATGGGCTGAATATGCTATAAGCTAGACGCGTCGCCAATGGCATCTCACCAAAATCTGTGCTCATCGTAAACAAGCTTCGCACAAAGCCAGTCGTGGACGCCATCGACACCCTACTAAAGTAAGTGCTCACTCATAGCTCACCGTCTTACCGCGCGCTCAGCGGGCCGTGAAGGTATATCGGCGAGAAATACCCTGATGTCCAGGTATACCATGAGGACCGACCAGATATACCAGAAGCTGCAACAGTATGGCATCCAGGTAGGGCCGTAAGTCAAAGTTTGCTATGCGTAGACTTACGTTGCGCACCAGGTCCGAATGCTGCACCAATTGACCTGGTGATTACTCTGGGTGGGGACGGCACCATCCTGCATGCTTCCTCGCTGTTCAAAACGGGCGCCGTGCCCCCAGTCCTGAGTTTCTCGATGGGCACGCTCGGATTCTTGCTGCCGTTCCGTACGTACTACCATCCAATCACCCGAAGGCTCGTCATTGTACTTACACTGTTTATTTTCCAGACATCGACGACTACACGAAAGCCATCGACAGCGCGTTCGAGGGCCGGATCACGGTCCTGCACCGGATGCGTCTGTCATGCACGTTCCAGGACTCAGGTGGCGAGCGCATCGACACGCAAGCGGAAGGTAACCTCTTCCCGCGGAGAGACTCGACGATGGCCCGCGCTGACCACGCTCGCATCGGACAGACTGGCAGGTCATGAACGAGATCGCGCTGCACCGCGGCTCGAGCCCGCACCTGAACACGATCGACGTCTTCGTCGACGGCCAGCATCTCACTGAAGCCGTCGTGCGTCCCCCACCCGTCCCCCCTTTGCCACCGTTTGTTTTCTGACGTGTTAGGGTATCAGTCCGACGGGCTGATCGTGTCGACGCCGACGGGCTCGACGGCGTACTCGCTCTCTGCGGGCGGGCCGATCGTGCACCCGTCGCTGAGCGCGATCGTGCTGACGCCCATCTGCCCGCGCAGCCTCTCCTTCCGCCCGCTCGTCTTCCCCTCCTCGTCCGCGATCACGCTCCGGGTACGTCCGCGCCCCTCTCCCTTCCCTTCCTCGTCTTCTGCGTACGGGCGCTGACGTTGGGACCCGGAGCAGATCAGCGAGCGGAGCCGGGCGTCGGCGGGGCTGTCGATGGACGGGCAGGTGTCGCACGTGCTGAGCCCGGGCGAGGCGGTCACGGTGCGCGCGTCGCTGCACCCGATCCCGTGCATCAACCGCTCGTCGATCAGCGAGCCGCCCGAGATGCGCGAGGGCGGCGGGGAGGGCGCGGGCCCGGGAAAGGAGGACGACTGGGTGCGGGATATCAATAATTTGCTGCAGTACAATGCGACGTTCCGGAGCAAGGCGTTGACACGGCATTTGCGGTGAGGGGAGAGAGGATGTTTATAGGTGCGTGAGTGGGGTGGGCTGCGGTGTGTGGTCTGTGGGTGCTGATGGTTGTGAGCAGCGTGTAGGACGAATGAGGGAGTCTTTTGAAATGTGATGCAGCTTGTGGTGCAGCCGCACGCATCGCTATATGTGCGGTGCATACTCCGTTTAATAGGGTTCCGGGTCCAGAAACTGCACTACTTGGATCGATCGGCGAGTACGTGTGTGCCGCGGTGCGTGCGGGGACCCACAAGCTGTACCCCGCGGTGGCATATTCGACAACGCTTAATTTTACTTCCCCTTCAGCATCTCACGCGTACGATCATCACAGACCAGTGTACGCCTGAGGGTGTGGTCGGCAGTTTGATCGAGACGCTGTGGTACGGGCGAACTGTGGCTGCGTCGCGGGTAAAGCTCCTGCGGACGCTGGCGTCCTAGGATTGTCCCCAACGGGAAAGTGACGTCTGTGACCATCTGGGACTCACCCTTCAATATCGCCGGGCCCATTCCTCTCCACGGGGCTAACACCGCCCAGGAACACCTACTCGTCAGACCGCAGGGAAAACCTGTCGGCACAGGCTGAAGCACGCAGGTACGTCCGTCCGCGCGATATATCATATGGAACGCCGGCGCCCGCAAGGCGCGTGAGGACGCTGGGCTTCTGCTGCTGCCAACGTGGTCTGAGATTGGGTTTGGGTTTGTGGTCGCGTGCGATGGCGCAGCCTGCGTGCAGCGATTTGCGGGCTGCGCGCGGTGCCTGCCAAATACCTGTTGTGCGCGGTTCGCGGACACGGAGGGTTGGGGGCGTCGCGCCGCCTCCTTGACCCGATGTCTGGACATCTGGAGAACGCATATGGCTCACCGGCGTACACGCATATGGCTCACCGGCGTACACGGGGGACCGTGCTTCTGAGTTTCTGTGGAGTGCTGAATGTCATATGCCTACAGGGAGCACCGCTATGTATGTCCCCGGCTTTCCTAGCGGGCGACGTGTACGGAACGCTACGGAACGTTCAACGCTCAACGTCCACTTAGTACCGGTACCCGGCCCGTCTCCGCGCTCACTGGTACGACCGCGGACATCTGATAGAAGAGGCACTGTGGTCCGGCGACCACAATTTCCGGGACCAGTGGTGGTCCTGGCTGACGTCGGACGGAACGCTTGGAAGTTGGGAAGACCCACCGTGACACTGGGCGCGCACGAGAGGTTCTTGCGTGCTTGGTGTTCTCGCGCGTCTTAGTCGACTTCGCAGTACTGCCCCGAGGGACGCGCGGGGAGCATGAGGCGGGGGCGGCGCAGGGCATGTGCGGTGCTTAATTATATGTGGGTGGCAGGATTTGCGGCGGTGTTCCGTGGGACCGGTTCTACTCCGTGGAGAGGGGTGGATGTCGAGGCTGCGCGCGGTAGTGGTATTTGGAAAGAGAAGCTGCGTGCGAAACTTGTATCAGTCGTGTTCGACTGGGGTGAGCGCGTGTGGTTCTTGTTCAGGAACGAACCACGTACCTTGGAGAGATGGGTGTATTTTGGAGAGATAGAGGCGTATGAAATTAGCAGGGAAGGCGCGCAGGGATGTGGGGGTGTTTGACGAGTTTTTTTTGATTGTAATGGTATGCAAGGCATAGACGGCTGCCGCAAGAACATTACTGCGCCAGGAGTATGATACAGAGGGTGTATCGGGAGATCGAGAAGTAGTCGTACATGTAATAAAGTATCGTACCAGTATCCAAGAAGACAAGGTCAGTGTTGGAATTGTACATACAGGAGTCCCGGGCTGTGAGGAGGGCGGTCCGCGAGTAATGCACACTATAGCCGCAGATGGGGCGCGGGTATGAACACGGCTTGTCTAGTGGGTATGGAGAGTTGCGTGGGTGGAATATTCCTGTGGCGCAACGGTGGCGCACAGGCAGGATGGGTATGATATGGAGGTTCACGAGCGGACGCGCTTGCCGAAGAGGCTCCGCGCCCAATCCAAGGTAGAGCAGGAATCGTTGGATGTGGTGCTCGGCGTGGGCGAGTGGGACCGCGCCCGCCCATTGCGGTGGTTCGCCATGGGCTTGTTCGCGCCGTGCAGCATGGGCGGGGACGGCGCCCGCGAGGGCACGAGGAAGTCGGCCTCGTCCGGATGCAGCTTCTTGACGGAGTCGTACTCGGGGAGCGCGTCGGCGTCGCTGACGACGATCTCGGGCTTGTCGCAGTCGTAGCTAGGGGAGGACGCGGAGGGGTCGAGGGTGACGTCGAGGACCTCGAAGCGGGCGCGCGAGAAGACGACAGTCTTCCAGGCCATGGGCCCGATGCGGATGAGCTGGCGCTGCTTGTTGACGATGCCGTTTACGGAGATGAGGATGTGCTCGGGGGCGACGGCGGCGAGCTCCGGGAAGACCTGGCGCGCGAAGCGGATGCCTTCCTGTGTATGTATAAAGAGAAGAATGAGTAAAGTTGTGTAAGGAACTGTTAGAGACACTGACCTCATATGTGGCGGCGGGCGTTACGTAGACCATGGTGCCGTTGTAGCGGTAGGTAAGGACGTCGGGTGCGGGCATCATGTGTCGGGAGTAGGACGTGTAGACCGGCAGTGAGCGGGGGAGGTGGTGGGGCGGAGGATGGAGGAGATCGGAATATCGCTTGGCCATTTATACAGGAGACGTCCATACCACTGCATGGCGGATCAGCATAAAGGGCGTCCGGCGAGAATGAAGCAAGTGAGCGAAGCATCTCACAGCTTTGTGGGCGCGTAAAGCGTCGGGCACCGCCACGTCCGGCGTCTACTAGTACCTGTGCCTCTCCCAGTCTTGCGGTGCATCCGTCCTCTGCTTCCGACCACACTCGGTGCACGACTACTTTCAAGGATCGCGTGGCTTGACTTCGATACACCGACGTAGGCACCGCCGTCCTCGCTTGTGCGGCTTGTCGTTACCTGCCTGTCCCGCGGCAGTGTCCTCGAAAGGACAGCAAACATCATTCTGAATCGTCCTTTGCCCCGCCTCTACGACACATTCCTAGTACACTTCTCCGCCCTCGATCGCCCTCTACCAAAGAAGACTTCAATAAGCGTCGTCCGGGTGTCAAGGGTCTTTAGCTCACGTTTTTCTTTCATAGACCACAACAGACGCACGTGTGTACTGGATCTGGAAACGCAGTCGCTATTATGACAGTGGTGGTAACAAGCTTAGCGACGGTTGACAGGCAGCGCTATAGCCCACCACAATCTGTCGCTTGCCATGTTTGAAGGTGGCCCGCCATGTGCGGAGGGTATGCACTTGACTCGGAAGAGACGGAAGGCACTGCCGCTCGCAGACGCCTGCACAGGCAATCCCCGAATACACCAGCAAGGCCCAGGGCTTCTTCCGAGTCGCACGCCAGCCTATACACCGCCAAACATGCATTGGGCTACGGCCAGATTATACGCTCAGCTTAATATCATCACAGTCCCAAGCTTGCGGCCAGCCGCGCCCGGCCTCAGCGCCACCCGACCAGGTCCACGTTTTGAAGCAGCGCCCACGGCTGACGCCAAGGTTGCGGCAGCACAACTGCAGCATCTCTCGTCAGGCCGCCGTCAGATGACCCGTCGAAGTACCGCTACCGGATCGGCAAGCTCGAGAGGACATGGCTGGACGTCTGGCAGACCTCTGACCACCCAGCCCCCTCAGGTATGCCTGTTAGGTCAGCGTAACACCAGTGTAGACTCGCCGTCAGAGTTCGAGTCGGGCGGGAGAGCCAGTCGATAGCACAAACACCGAGAACACATGCATAGCACAATACATCCCATGTATAGTACTGTATACAAATCGCCTTGGCCCATAACATATCTAGGACACCTCGCTCGCTCGCGCCCCACACCCTACCCCCCTTGTTTGGCATTCTTGTTGCGCGCGCGCGTTTCTGCGGCTTTGGCCTGCGCGTCTGCACGCTTGCGCGGGCCTGATATCCTCATGGCGGCGGCGAGCTCCCGGTGTCGGGCTTCACGGTCATCGACGTAGGGAATGGGAGAGGTAAGTTCGCGCGGAAGGACCTCCCGAATGAGCGCCGCATTGTGGAGGGCATGCATGTTGAGGAGGTAACGGCCGATGGGCTCGTGCCCGATGATCTTCCTTGTGCGGCCGGTTAACTTGCGCTCTTGCAAGATCTGCTGGTCCTCCTGCCGCGTGCATCCACAGGCGCGGCAGTGATGCTGGGCGTTGAATATGAAAATGACGGACTGTGGGTTTACCAGGTGTGTGGGGGTTGTAAGCAGAGCAAAGCTGGCGCGCGGAAGTCACGGGTACGCACCTCAACAGGGATATGAGTGGATTGTCCGCGTCCTTCCGGGTCGCAGATACGGTGGATGACAGGCATGTTGAAGTAGGTGTCGCGCTCGTGATCAATGTCATATTTGTCGATTATGGCCACGGCACGGCCCTCTTCAGGGCACGACAAGATCTTGCTGATGCGACCTACTCGAGCAATCTAGTGACGGGACATGACCGATAAAACGATCAATAAAGCTTATGAATACATAGGCGGTGCTTCACTTACGCCTTTTTGATTCCGGAAGAAGATCCAAGAGTCCGGCTTGCAGATATCGCGTGATTGGGCTACGAGGTATTTGCAGTGATACCATGTGCACTGCGGGGAGGACAGAGCCTCTGGGATAGGGATCTCCTTCTGACCTCGTGCGACGATCCACTCGGATGGTGCTTGCTTGTCTTTCGCCATCAGCTTGACGGTCCCTAAGGCAGTCATCATGGTGTGAGCGTTCTATAGGCAAATGTATTAAGGTTCTGGTACGCACCGGCGACTAATACAGATGGGCTGACCCATCCAAGTCGACGTTGAAGTGTAGGATTGCACTGTAAGAATGTCCGGACTTTTTCTCCGGCGCGCACATATTCCGGAAGCGGGTCCATGGCACCTGCGTTGGTGCCGTCATCGCGCGCATCGCTGTCGGTTGGTGCCTCGAGAATCTGCGGGCCTGGTGCGGCGCTGCCCGAGGACTCGCTGCCCGTCAAAGATCTCCACCAGCCGCCGCTCACTTGGTGCTTGAACTGCTCGAGGCTAGCCATACGTCCTGCGATATCATGACTAGGCCCGTGATGATTTGAGTAGATGCTGCACAAGCGGAAGATGGCATTCCAGCATTCGAAGATCTCGGTCGAATACAGAACCGCGGGGCCGTGTCGCCGGATGTCGTCAACGAGGTGAGCCAGGACATGGAGCTTCAACTTGACGAGGATGCGATTAGGATCCAGTATTGCCCAGATGTCGAGGACGTTGGCGATATATGTCTCAAGGTCGGCCTAACGGATACATAAGATAAGTACGGAGAGTTCCAGACAAGAATGAAGCCGACTCACTAGGTAGAGATCTAGGTTATCGATCTTGTGGAACCACAGGACGGCGCCGAGCTCCCCGGTGGCTTTCCAGAGGTCGAAGATGACAGGCGGACAGACTCCGTCATACAAATGGAAGACGGCGAGCTGTTGCAAGATCTTGAAGTGTTTGCCGAGGAGGGAATTCGGATATTGGATGATGAAATCGTCAAGCATTGAAGTGAGGGTGAGGAGCTGGGTGAGGCCGTTGATGCTAGACGCCCGCAGTCGGACTGCGAACAGCTGCTCGTTCTTCTTGTCCCACTCGCTGTTGGTCTTATGCCACACATACTTGTCGACACCAAGCAGGTACGTATGGAGGATCTCGCAGGGAGTGTCCCGATGGACGTTGATGCTGGGTATGCTAAGAAGGGGATTATAATGATCCCCTGGACGGATGTCGCGTCGCAGCTCTGATCACGCAGGCCGCCCGCCATGGATTAACCCTCCCGAAACGACGCAGGGAGACAAATACTCACCTGAAGCCTCTGGAATATTGCGATAGGTGCGTTCTGGCTGCTCGATAAGCCACTGGAAGAGCTCTCGCTGAATATCGATCTTGATTGCGTCTTTCATCGCTTTCCGTTCGTCACCTTTTACAGAAGCATCGCGCAGGCGAGCGTCTTCGCTCATGCGCGCATTCTGGAGCTCGCGAGCTTTTGGTATGAGCTGCTCTATCCAAAACTGTGCGATCTTGTCCTTGATACCGGTTTTCGTTTGTAGCTGGTCCACGCCGTCCTGAACACCAAGACACGCAGCCAAGAGCTGTCCGCGAATTGCGCTGACAGTGCTCGCGGTCGTGCGCTCGGTACCCCCCTGGGTATGGTGCCATTAGGTTTGCATAATACCACTTACTGCTCAATCAAACTTACTGAGAAAAACTCCTCGTAGCCTTCGTCCTCCTCGCATTCTGCCGCCGATCCTCCTACTTCGCATCGTCGACAAGGACGGCTTCCCTTCCCAGTCATATGCGAGCAATGCTCAGCCTGCTGTGGGTTGTCGGCAGGCAAGATATGTGGTATGATTCTGAACAACACTTCCTGCTTTAGGATGCAATCGTATGCGGTGAACCACTTTTCGGGGCCGCTACGGTGATGAGTTGTGTAAGTTTCCGGTCCGATTCACATATTCTGCACACTTACGTATGCTCCGCAATTACTTGCATTTGCTCAGATGATGACGCATACTGCGACGTCGATACAAACTGAATAAAGTATTCCTGCTGCAGCTTCGCGTGCGGGATACTTGTGTTGGCGATGTAGACGTTCGTGTGAGCGTTGTATTGCTTCGTTTTGTTTCCTGATACATCGTCACTCCACGGCATCATCGTCACCGTGATGGTGGGCTTGCTTTTGGCAATTTGCCGGACAGGATGCGGCATGTTCGCGACCCACTCCGGTGCGGCTCCTGCAAATATCCAGGATCATTCCCGGTGTGTTTTAGCTATGGCGATACAACGCAGTGGACATATTGATTAACGTACCGCTGAACAGGAAGACGTGGCCTTGTGCTTTCAGATCAAGACAGTTCTTCCAGAGACTCGTGGCGACCACGCGCACAAGGTGCTCGCAATCGACCGCAAATACCTTGTTCTGTCATTGACGGCCGTCCTATCAGCACGGCAGCTCTTTATCATCAAAGTTTTACGCTTACAGTCTTGTCGTAAGTCACAGCGTACCCATCGAAGCTCTCTATACCGCTGACAGTAATCCATTTCAGCGGTATGACAAAGTTGCCATTTTTGAGTTGTGCGAGCTCTTTGATGTAGAAATGGCGTTGTGGTGAGCCTTTCCAGTCCGCCCACATGAGCTGACTTTGGTCTAGACTGGCGCTATCCATTCCGAGCATCTTGTTTGCTTGAAAGAACTCAGAAATGGGACCCGTAACTTCCGGGTACAAATGCATGAGCGGGCGTATGAGCGGGTTTGCGAGGTTCTGATCGATAAGGTGAGCAGGTTTCTTGCGCCTCAGCAGATGACTTACAAAGCGGAATAACTCGGCAGGATGATTGGCGTAGTACTCGTTGTTGAGGGCCGTGGTGTGGTGCGTAGTTTGAAACCCCATCATCTGCGCTCTCTGTGCTTGCCAACTCCGCAATGCTCGGAACCCCGGGACACCAGGGGTCTTACATTCTTTCATTATCCACAGGAATAGCTTCATCTGCTCGTCTGAGATCGGCGTACGGGGCTGGTGGTCGAGGAGATCAACCATAAACCACTATAGCCTTCTGGTGAGTACAGAAACACTTTAAATAGACAGATAGAATACGACTTACGGCCTGGTTTGGATAGGGCCACCATGGATTGCTGTCCCGGGAGTTAGGATCATTGCATAAGGGTACGTCCTCGTCGCTTTCATCGTCATCAAGACCCGTAAACCCTGACGGCATCAATAGTATTAGTACGGTCCACCTGCATAAGCCATACACCTCCGAGCAGGGTGAGCACATACCCATTGCTTCGAGCGATGCGATCGCTTCAGAGACTTCAGGGTCAGGGTCGGGGGATGCCTCGAACTCTGCACTGGAGGATACCGTTTCGTCCAGGTTCGTGAACTCTACACCTGCAGTTTGGAGTGCTGCCAATACATCAAAGTTCGCTGCCGCCGTGGTCCCCGCAGAGAATGTGATCGGTACATTTTCCGAATCAACGTACATGCCGTCTTCCAAGAAGGCCGTATCGAAAGGGTTTGGGGCAGGGGTCACGGCTCGTGGTATGTCATCGTCAACTTGGATGTGCGTGAGTTCATCGACCGGGTGCAGACATGCTGGAAGGGGTGTTCGGCGGCGTGGGACTGGTATCTCGGGACCGGAGGGATTCACCAACAACTTGGTGAGTGCGTCCTTATGCTTACCGGACCCCACATGCCGACCGAGTGATGTCTTCTGTAGAATTTCAGGATGTCCGGACTCCTGTGCACAGACAATGCAGTTTACGCGGGTTTTATCGTCAGGGATCGCTTCAAAATGTCCTAATTCTGTTGGTTAGGTCGGACTCTCAGTTACCCAGAATCTTCGCTTACCATTCCCGTGTATAGTGCGTTTTTTTGCGCGGGGCATTTCAGGGGTTTGAAAGCGCCAACGCTCAAATTCAGCAATCCGTGGCTGCGTTCCCGAGGCTCACGTGCATTGGCTCAGCTGTGCCAGCGCACAACAGCCGCCTTCTTCCTTCGTGCTTCCATCTTCCACTCAAAATCGCGCACCCTCCGCTGCACGCGTCCGCTCATTTGTTTTGTGGTTTCTTATATCCCTCGTACTCGCACTAATACTCCATAATGCCTGCGGTCCCGCTCTTTTCGTATGACAGCATCCCAGAGATCCCTCCCCCCAACAACGAAGACTTACTTCAGCGAGCTCTCACCGGGTCGCCACCCCCCTCCGGCGACTTGGATGGCAGTCCCGCAACCCAGAGTGCACGGTTGCGCTCCAGAACTCCTAGCAACGACGACCTTGCTGTAGAGCTTGTCTCGTCCACCCCAGCTCGACGACGACGTGCTGATGAGATGGACGACCTCGGGCAGCATGCAGAATGGGCTGCGCAACACGTCCGACTGAAGCCTGCTGGCGCTCAAGAGCTAAAAAGAGTTGCACAGGTAAGTCGTCGTGTCATACTCCATAGCTTTCTTCATTGACATTGGTTTTGTGACGGCACAGCTTGATCGTCATCAACGGGAGATCTTGACCACCGCAATGCTTCTCAAGTTACAGGAACAGATCGAAAGCATCATCCCCGCAGATGCGCAGTGGTCGATCTCAGAGAATCTTAAGGTACGTCTATATGGGTACCTTATCTATGTCGCTCAATTGGCGATGGTGTATCCTGATGATCATTTCGTGCAAGCAGGAGAAGATCGAGCTGTACACGTTCACCGTCCTATGTTCCCCCAAGCTGGCACTATATGTCGATAAGCAGGCTCCTACAAAGCTCGTCCTAGTGTGTTCGCGCTATTCACTCCTTACATTCACCCTGACTGACCATCGTTGTGACCGGCAGGGCATACTTGAACGCCACCCATCATGGGGCTACACGAAGGACATCAAGTGCGACAAATACAAGCGCGACATCATCGCGGCTCGTGTGGGAACAAGGCTGTCAGATCGCCGTTCCGATATCAAGGAAACTGTGAGCCATTATAACGTGCATGCCTTTGTTGTTGCTGAAGATGTCTTTGAATTGATATCTAGATCATGTTGTCGCTCGGGCCAGATGGCCAACCGGCCCCGTCCTCGACAACGGCTGCTTCCGGCGTGAACAAGCAGTCACCCCAGCTGCTCCATGTCGTCGATCTCTGTCAAGCCATCATTGACAAGGGCCCAAACAGTATCTGCGAGGATGTCAAGGTGACGCTGCAGATGTGCGCCCGGGTCGCATTTTTGGTAAGCACGATCTGTTAAGCCCAGTAGCCTACAGCTTCGCTCACCCTCAGTCGATACAGCGCAAGATCTTGGCTGCTCTGATCATGAATCCACGGGCGAAGTTCGATAAATACTGGAATATCGTTGATGCACAACTGATCACTCTTCGAGCGATCAAGGACGACGCCAAGATCAACCAGTATGTCTTCCACTCAGGGGTTTTGATTGAAACTGACTTCGCGCTTGTCTAATATTTGCAGGCAGCTCACCTTATTCCTTACTCAGGATCTCGAGCTGTACGGCAACACTTCGCTGCCCTCCGCTGCCGATGGGGCCATTGCTCATGAGACTCAGCGAGTCGCCGAGCAGGCCATTTCCGGTAGCCTCGATTGATGTGCTATTGACCGCCACGTCCTTGTTTCCATGCTACCGCTGCTGGTGCTACTTCGAACATGGCCTCCATGTATTACTTTAGCTCATCTTATAATGTATTCCTGTTTGCGATAAGCATCCATTCTGCTGTGTACCTGCAGCGGAATTTTCATCATGTGCACACCTTCGGGCTCGAAGCAGACAGTATTATGAATTCCCATTCTGCACACCCTGCCTGGACGCTCGCAGACGGCTTTTGGCTGTCTCGTCCGGATATATATACCAGCTAAAAACCATCTAGGCAACAGCTCGCGACCCGACTACTTAACAGGTAGAAATCTGGTCCCCAACATGCTGCTATATGGTGATATACTATCTGATCGCTCGCTTTCGTGTAATGGGTATGGGGTATGGGCAAGCGGCCGCTGATAATCTCCGCTACATCCTGCTGGCCAGACAACTCAATCAGCTTGCCGTCACAGGGACCTGGTGGGAGGCTCCAGTAATATTCGTATTGACCCTGGTGGCCGGCTGACAAGGGCGCTATCGACAGGCGCTCTGGCAGTGTGAACAAGCTGGCTCGTCTGGCATCTCCACCAGGCGCCTCAAGTTTGACGGTGTAGTAAAGGTGAGTCCCCTATATCGGCTCGTCGATCCTTCTTTGATCATAATCGCACTGCCGCAGAGTTCTCGCTGAGGCCTGTGCCCAGCTGCTGCTCTAGCAGCCTCGAGGCTTGCCATTCACTGGCAGACTTACGTAGTCCGACCACAGTAGATGGCACGAACCCTATCGCAACTTGGGACATTACCGCAGGTCCAGGGTGGCGGGTCCTGCCGCCGGCACGGCTGCAGTCTTCAGTGCAGCAACAATGCTGCTCCCTCTGGCCTCGCGCAAGTGCGTATGTGCTATGACTCCGAGAACTGTCCACGCTGCCGTACGCTCTTGCGCGCACCTTCCTCTTCGACGCAAGCGACGCCGCGCGGGGTCGATGGAGCGCACAGAAACCCGTTTTAGGCAGTTCTAGTGGTCCTTCTCCCGACTTGAGGCCAACACGTTGTGCTGCATCCCTCGGATGGTCCGCTGCGAGCTACCGCAGCACACGCGCGAGGTACCCCCGTGTGCAATCGCAGGGCGTGCTAAGGTATAGATGTGGGAGATGCGCGATCGTGTCGTTCCAAGCCATCGCGGTATAAGACGGGGTCTATCGCGCGCTGATTGATCATACTATCTCCTTCAAGTGCCTCCGATTCCCCTTTATATCTTCGCTATGGCCCCCAAGAAAAACAACAACGCTCACAGCAGGCTCAACTCTCCCGCTCCGGGAAAAGCAGCTGAGGTACGTGGGAGTGCAGCGTACCTGATCATCCCTGCAGTGCGCTAACTATATATCTGCCCGCTGTATAGAAAAGCACGCCTGGCCCGAATCCACTCACACCCCCCATTACACCGGAACGACCCACGACTCCGATGCCTAACAACTCTCAGCAGAGCACGGGTCACAGCCGTTTGAACATCCGCGTCGATACGTCGTCGACCGCAGGCGTAGGCGCGGGCCCATCGACCGCGCAAACGGGTACTGCTACTGCGACGGCTGGGCCGCCGGTGTCTGCAGTCGGGGGCCAGACCTCAAGACGCATCGATGAACTCTTGCATACTATGCAGCAGACGCTGTCCTCGCTCGCGTCAACGTTTGACGTGCTCGGCGAACAAACGCTCTGTGTCGCGACCCTGGGACCCGCCGTCGACGCTCGCGTCAAAGTGAGTTCTATATCCTCTGCTGTAAGTTCATACCTGACGTTCCCCCCAGATAGACAATGTTCGCCAGGACGTGCACGCCCAGCACGTCGAGCAAGATTCGGCGATGCAAGAGACCATGACCGATGTGCAGGAACCCGTCAAGGCCCACATCCGGGACGTGTTGCGGCCGCAGGTCGACCGTTTGGTCTCCGCGAAGGTTGGCGAGTACATTGAGGGCCGCGTTCGGGCGCAGGTGCGTAGGTCGCGAAGATCGTGCGAGTGCGAGGGTTCCTGAAGTGCGGGGACGTAGCTCGCGGCGCAGGTTTCGGAGCACGTGAACTTGGAGGAGCTGCGTGAATACAGGAGGAGGATCGAGGAAATCAAGGTCAAGCTTCATAACGCGTACGTCTGCTCCCGATGCCTTTGTGTGCCTGAGCTGACGATGTTTTCGATGGGTCTATGTCTGGGTCTGTCTTCTGTCGTCGCCGTGTACGTTCTGATCATGCGTCTTGCGCTGCCATCCCCCATTCGCACCCCCTCTCACACTGTCATCGCTTCTTCGCCCCCTCCGCATCCGATACACTAGCGAGGCGATCCGGCACAACTCGCGCCTTGAATACCCATACCCTGAGCCCATCCGGCAGCTCATGCGCCCGCTCCCCGCGCCCGGCGCCCCCCTCGGAACCCCCGGCCCCTCGAACGCACCAAACGCGGAGGTGGTAGGAGGGCCGGGCACGCCGTCGCTCGTGCACCCGCAAACTGTCGACGAGATCGTGCGCATCGACGCGGTGCGCGCCCGCCGCCTGAGGCAAGAGTATGGGATCGGGCGGGCGCCGGTGGATGGGGAGACGCAGGCGCAGGTCGATGCGGACGTGGAGGTGGAGGAGGAAAGCGCTGAGGACGGCGAAGACGGCGCGAATGGGACTGCGAACGGAGGCGCGAACGGGAGCGTCAATGGGAACGCCAATGGGAACGCGAACGCCGGGCGTGGTCGCGGCCAAGGAGGGGGAGGCCAGCGCGGAGGACGTCCTGGGGTCGGAGGTGCCAGTGGCAGCGGGGCCGGAGGAGCAGGTCGCGGTCGCGGCGGCGATCAGACCAAGGCGTCTGGCAGTGGGCGCGGCGGTGCAGGCGCGAGGACGGTGAGCCCGGAGGTGCGCGAACGGGCGCGGGTCGCGGACCTGAACGCGTTCCTGCAATATATTGGGGTGAGTGCATTCTTCTCGTGTCCACTCGTCTTTTGGAATGGAGACTCTGCGTGGCTTATGGCGAGCTATACGCTTGCCGACAGTCGTGCGTGTTTCTTCAAGGATCACGGGCGGTTGGCATGCGTCGCGCGCGCCTTTGAAGACCACGATTTACTTTTTCGCGAGTGGCGCTGCTGCTATTTGGCGGTGGCGGCATTTCACGCTATGCGTTCTCACATGTTCTCCCTTGCTTTTTGTGGATACGCGATGTACTCCTGAGTATCACACTAACATTTTCATCCCTTCATATCCTCCAAACACTACCGTCCACACTCCATGGCCTCCTAATTCGACATGAACGCCATCTCCACCTTCGCCGCCACCGTCATCGCCGAATCCGCCACGTCCATGTGCGGGAACGCATGGATGGATTCCCACGTGCGGATGTCCGTTGGCTGTGCACTCTGGTGCACATGGTTCATCGTCTGCGTATCCTTGGGCGATGGCGCGGACGCTGGCGTACGTATGGACTTCGCCTGATCTATTCGGATGTGCCCGTGCTCGACTCTCCCCATGACTGCTGGTGATATTGCAGTTGGCGCACATGCGGATATACCCGTCGCGCCGGGGCGCAGCGACGATGGTGAGCTCGCCATCGGTGCCGCGCCAGCAGTACCGGCCGTGGTGAATGCGCCCATGGTGCACTCGAGTATTGTGTTCTTGGACTTGACTTTTAGATCGATGTATTGCACTCGCCGCGTCCCGTTATTTGTACGAGCAGCCTCCGAGTCATAGTGTCCGTCATATCTTGTTGCATTAGCCGTTGTATTGTGGTAGTCTGCTGTGACTCGTCATATGTACTATCGAATGTATAAGTTTGTATTGTAAAACGCGCTCGCCGGACCACGCTGTCTTTCGACAAAACAGTTTCATGATAGACATCCTCAGGGATGTGTTGGTGATCGTACTGCCACACTTTGAACTTAGCTCAGTTGCCGGCGGTAGTACAAGGGCGGCAGGAGTCGTTAGCGTCCACTTCGGAGCGCACAGCTTCTCTCCCATTATAGGCAGGTCTTCTGCACCTTCTCCTTCTCCCGGTGCGAGGACGACACGTTGTGCTGCATCCCCCGGATGGTCCGCCGCGAGCTACCGCAGCACACACGCGAGGTGTCCCCGTGTGCACTCTGTGCGTAATCTCGGGCGTGCGGAGCGACAATTGTGGGAGATGTGCGATCGCGCCGTCCCAGGCCTGTGGGGTATAAGGCGGAGGCTATCGCGCGTCGACTGATCATCTCTCCCTCCCTCTCTATCGCACTCGCTCGATCGTTCCCTACTGCGTCAAGATGGGGAGTAAAGGCGGAAATAACAGAAGCACTAACAGTAGACTCACCTCCCCGCCCGGGGGCGAGGGCAAGGACAAGGTGCGCGCAGAGACTCACCATCTGGCGATCTTAGTAGGATTGATCAGGACACTCAGGCTGCCGGGCCCGATCCACCCACCCCGCCTAAGAGCCCCGAACAAACGAGGGCCTCACAGGCAAACAGCACGACGGGAAGGTCGACTCCGCACCTGAGGCTGGACACATCTTCCAATGCAGGACCCGGCCCTTCAACGTCGACCGCGGCGGGTACCACCGCAGTGCCGCCGACATCGGTCGTTGCGACGCATCAAACCACCAAGGCCATCAATGACCTCCTCAATGCGATGCAGCAGACACTCGGGGCACTCGGCAATACGTTCGATGTGCTCGGGGAGCAGACGTTGAGTGTGGCAACCTTGGGCCCAGCGGTCGACGCTGTGATTAAAGTGAGCTCTGCGTTCTTGCGCGCGATATACTGTGGGATCTCACCTAACGCGTCTTCAAGATCGAGAAAGTGCGCAAAAATGTGCAAGCCCGGCACGAGGCACAAGATGCGGCGATGAAGAGTACCGAGGACGGCGTCAAGGAGCAAGTGGCGGTCGCCATCCGCGAGAAGCTGCGCCCTAAGGTCGACCAGCTGGTGGCCGAGACGGTCGCGCGTCATGTTCAGGATCGGGTTCGGGAGGAGGTACGCACGTTCATTGGTTTCTGGGTCGTCTGTGGGGGCTCACACTTGCGTGCGTATTCGTAGCTGCGCAAGCAGGTATCCCAGAAGCTGAAGGACGAGCTTGAGGAGCACCGTCGCCGCATCCTCGAGGTCAAAATCGCCCTTGTCAACGCGTATGTACTCCTTCCATCACCGTGATAGCCATCCTGATCAGCGTTTGTCCTTCATGATATGTTCGACGCTCACAGCGAGGCGGTGCGCCACAACGCCCACATCCCGCACGAACAGTTTGATCAGCCCCTGCTCCGCCCGCTGCTCCGCCCCTTCGCAGTCGGGGCGCCGCTCGGCACCCCGGACGGGGCCGCGAACGGCGCCGGGGATACACGGTTGACGCCTCAAGACAAGAAGAAGGACGGCGGCAAGAACGCCAAGAAGAACGGCGCGGCGAACGGGAACGGCAACGGGGCGGGCGCGAGTGGGAGCGCGAACGGCACGGCGCCCCGCGATGCTCCTGCTGGGGTTGACGTGGGGGTGCCGTCGCCGCTGTTCCCGAGGAGTGTGTATGATTTCCGGGCGATGGAGGCGCGGCCGGCGCGTCAGCTTGTGCTCGATTATGGGCTTGCGGGTGGGGATGGACAGGACGAGGAGGACTGGGACGATGACGCGTCGACGGTCAAGGAAGAGAAGGAGACTGGCAAGAAGGGCAACGCGTCGAAGGAGGACAAGGCTCCTAAGACTGAGACGCCGAAGCAGAAGGAAGACCGCGAGAAGAAGGAGGCCGCGCGGGAGGCTGAGCGGCAGGCCAAGTTGTACGCGCGCGAGGTTCGCCGGGCGGCGCACCTTAACGAGTTCATGAGGTTCATTGGGGTGAGTTCATTCTTCTCGTGTCCTGTTTTTGTTTGTTTCGTTGTTCTCGATCACGCGGGAAGCTCGCGTCGGGAAGGACTTTTTGCGCCGTCGCGTGATCCCGACCTGCTGAAACATCGCAAGGGGGAAGTGATGCTCCTCGACGTTGGGCGTTCTTCGCTCACGTCGGCGCCGATGGCTTTCCCGCTTTTCCTTCTCGCTTGCTGCGGCGTCACCTGCCTGTTGCATTTTGTCAGAATAATTCTCTGGGACAATACACTGACGTTTTCTTTTCCATCTCCTTTTCCACTCTACCTCCTTCCGCCGTCGCGCGTGCGTATATGCGCCGGTCGCGATCTTCCCGGTCCACTCGTGCAAACACATCTCCACGTCTGGTTCATGCGAACGGATGTCCGTGGGCTCCGCCGTACTCCTCGCCTGGTACGCGGTGTGCACCTCGCTTGGCGACGGCGCGGACGCCGGCGCGCGGATGGAATTTTCGTCGTGATCGTGTCGAGCAGCTCGGCCGCTTGGCCCTGGAGCCGATGCCTCTGAGGAGGGGCGCGAACGGCGAGGTGGTGGTGCAGAGTCGGCTCAAGGAGCGGTCGCAGTAGATGTTTGGGCTGTGGTAAGCGAGCGTGTGCCCGCGTCGTATCTTGTATTCTTGGATGGTGGCTGCTGTACCGGTATCCTCGTCGTGTTGTCTGTAACATCTTGTTGTACTGTTCTCGTGTTCTCTGTAGCGTCGTGGTCTGTCATGTTGTTGTAGTTGATGTATACTTGCATACGTTTCAATCGTTGTCTGTCGTCCGATGTGTCCCGGATGCTGCTCGAGTTTGCCACATCTAGCCTGGGGAGACTCGGATTCTTGGTAGGTGCGCTCCCAGGAAAAAATCGAGGGGGCTGTCGCGACACAGTACTGCAAATCTGGAGTGGTGAATAAAGATGTGCTAAGGGTTGCAGAGAGTCAGGAAAGCCCAATCAAATCGAAAAGCGAAGGGTCGCGCGACGCGATCGGAGATCTGACGCGGCTATGGGCGCCTGTTGCACGTGCGACGCGTCAACGAACCAGCGCCTCCGCGTCTCTTCGTTCTGTGCCCCGACTGCCTGACCTCGACGAGCACGCTGTGCGGGATGGAGAGCAAGAAGCGCACTCGCTCGCAGACGACGCTCGACGCCTTTGTCTCGGTCAACCTCGCACGCTCGCCGCTCAAACAGGCTAGGTCTGCGCTCCGACACACGCCTCCCCACCGCCCGGCCCCGCCACAGCCTCACACCGACTCCCGTCCGCGCTCGCCATCGCCAGACAGCGCGACAGAGGGCAAGCTCAAGCGGCCTTTGTCCCCAGGCAAGGATGCTGCCGTGCACCACGAACGCGACTTTAAGCGAGCTCGACACGACTTCGCCATCTTTCCACGCAGACCCAGTGCGCATGCGAACGACCATCCACCACAGCAGTCCTCGTCCGCGTACCGACGCGCTGTCTCTGTCCCTGCTATCTCTTCTGTCGTGCCCCTCCTTGATCTCAACAACGTTCCGCCCTCTCCCCGCCGATCGCCTACCAAGTTCCGCATCGCGTCCGTTCCTCCAGAATCCAACCCGCCCGAGCAACCTTTGCCGGCTCTACAACTAACAATCCAGCCTCCATCTCCCTCTATACCTCTCAAACCCGCGTCCGTGTCCACGGAAGACAAATCACCTAAATTGTCGTTGTCGGCTTTGCAAGTAACACAACTATCGATCCGACCGCCGTCGCCTTCTATACCCCCGGAACCGCAACATGAGTCCCCGTCGTCACCCTTGTCTCCGCTCTCGCCCCTCCCACTGACCGAGGACGAGCTTATGCCCGTCGACCCCGCCCCTGCTCCCTCTACTTCCTCCTCCACATCCACCTCCGGGTCCAAGTCCACACCTATGCCGACGTCCGAATCGCGGCCCAGCCGGCTGCCTGTGTCGTCCATCGTGGCTCGGATGAAGCCCAAGACACCGGCCCCAGCTCCAGGGAAGAAGGCGCGGTCGAAGACGTTCGCGCCGTCGGTGAGGACGACACGGAGCACCGCGCTGCGGCAGAAGAAGGTCGAGGAGGAGGCGAAGACCAAGACACATCGTACGTCCCCTCTCAGCTCGGGCTCGGTCCCAGATCCTTTCCCTTTCATTCTTTTCTCGGCGCATATACTCTTCCACGCGTACATGGAGCAGCAGTACTGACACGCCGTAGCAGCCCCAGGTCCGAGCGCGACGCCCCACCGGCGGCGCTCCATGTCCCTCTCATCCTACGCCCAGCCCACCGCCGCGTCCTCCGCGAAAGCGTCGCCCGTCAAACCCGCCTCCTCGTCCCGCCCGTCCTCCATCGCGCCCGCGCCGCCCTCGGGCGCATTCACCTTCACCGCCGCCCCGCGCATGTCGAACCTCGTCCCTGGAGCTGCTGCAGGGCCGTCCAATAGCAGCAGCAGCAAACCGCGTCCGGGGAGCTCCAACGGCACGCTGCAGCTGAACTCGAGCCTGTCGACGCTGAACCAGGCGCTCGAGCGCCTGAACGCGCCTGCCCCGACGCGTCCGAGCACGAGTATGGGCTTCCACCGCGATCGGCCCGCGAGCGGGAGCGAGGATGAGGGAGACCGCGCGCCGTTGCGCTCGAGTACGGGCGAGAGTGGACGGCCGGGGAGCGCGGGAGCGGGGAGGGCTGCTCAGCCACTACAGGCGCATGGGAAGGAGGCGAAGAAGACGAAGACGATGGGGAGCATGAAGCAGACGACGCTCATGCTGCCGCCGCCGCTGCCTCCGCCCGACACAGCCAAGGCGCGCGCGAACCCGCTGACGGAGAAGTCTGTGCCGACGGCGAATGCGCGAGAAGATCAAGCGGAGGGAGAGGAGGCGAAGGATCTGAGGGAGGACGCGCGCAAGAAACAGGTGAGCCTCGCACTCGCGCCGAGCATGGGCAAGCTGCGCACCAGCCTCGGGTTCGCGCTCCCGCCCTCGACCCCAGTCGCGCGCCCCGCTCTGCCCACGCCGACATCGAGCGCCGCAAGACCGAGCACGGGCGCCCTGCCGCAGAGTCAGAAACGCGTCTTCCCGGCGGCGACGCCGTCTGGCGGGCGCGCGCTCTTCAGCGGGGTCCCCACGCCCTCGGGCTCGGGCTCTGGGATAACGAAGATCGGCCCGCCGACGGGCGCGGCGCGTACCCTAACTGGGGCCGGACGCGGTGGGCTGGCCTTCGGTTTTGGGGGGAGAACGAGCCTCGGGATGGGCATGGGCGCGCGCAGGGGCGGGATGGCGACGCGGGTGCTGCAGCGCGCGAGCAAGAAGAGCTCGCTCCCGGTTGTGATTGGCAGTCCGGTCAAGGGCGGGGCGCGCGCGGAGGTGGGGGAGGACGTGATGGACGTGAGCGAGGAGGGTGAGGGAGAGAAGACGACACAGGAGAAGATTGGGGATTGGTTGAGGAACGCGAGCAAGGACACGCTGCGTGACTTGGGGCATACGGAGGAGGGCGGGGATGCTCAGCCAGGGCAGGAAGGGCCGAATGGCGCGAATGGCGCGGTCGTCGATGGGCAGCCGTCGTCGGACGCTGCGGGCCCGCCGCCGTCCTCCGAGGGCGAGGGGTCCGCCGAGAGCGCTGAGAGGGAGGCGGAGAGGGAGCGCGAGCGCGAGCGCGAGGCGAGAAGGAACGCGAGCCGACGCGCGAGCATGGCGAGCCAGCTGCTCTCGCAGAGCCTGTCCGCGCTCCCGGACACCCCGCCTGCGCTCGCGGCCGCGAAGGACAAGGGCAAGGGCCGCGCGGTGAGCAGCTCGTGGCCGCTCCCGGGCGCGGTGGCGGAGGGTGCGGCGGGAGCGGGAGAGATGCCGCCCCCGCCTGTGCCGCCTGCGCGGGCGACGCGGCATAATACGCGGCTGGCGACGGGCGCGCTCGCGAGTCCCCCGGAGGCGAAGGGGAAGGAGCGGGAGAGGGAGCGGGAGAAGGAGAAGGGCGTGCTGGATAGCCCCGGGGCGTTGGCGGTGCTGAGGGGGTGCACGATCTTTGTGGATGTGAGGACGGAGGAGGGGGATGATGCGGGTGGGCTGTTTGTGGATATGTTGAGGGGGCTTGGAGCGAAGGTGCGTTCTGCGTGCTGCTCTGTGGGTCTGCGGGGGTGACGCTGACTGGATGAAGCAGATGGCGACGAGGGTCGGGTCGCGGTGCACGCATGTGGTGTACAAGAACGGGCTGATGAGCACGTTGACGCGATATCGGTGAGTTTCATTGTTTCTACTGTCCGTGCGCTGCGCTAACGGCGCGTCTCGGTAGACTGGTAAAGGACCCAAAGCCGCTCGTCGTGGGCATCGCGTGGGTCGTGGAGTGCGTCGAGAAGCGCACGCGCGTCGACGAGACGCGGTTCCTGGTCGACCTCGCCCTGGCAAACGTCGCGGGGGTCAATCGGGTGCGTCTCTTTCTTTGATTTCGTCCGCCATTTTGCGCATGTTGTTCGGGTGTTGACGGGGTGTTGTGTGCAGCGCCGGAAGTCGATGCTCCCGAAGAGCATCTTCGCGTCGCCCGGGGCGGACGGGAAGACGGTGGGCGGCGCGGGCGCGGGCGCGGCAGCGTCGCCCGCGTCGTCGGACTCGTCGTTCAGGGCGAGCGGGCCCCCGGCCGGGATGGGCATGCGGGGCGGCGCAGGCGACCGCAGTGTGGAGGTGTCTTCGCGTGGGTCTCCTTTTTCCTTTTTGCCCCGGTGCGGCTTGAAGTGCGGGATGCTGACTATTATCCTGGGTGCACAGCTACGGGCCTCGCGGGGGACGAGGACGCGGACAGCAGCATGCAGTCGAACGGCGTCGGTCTCGCACATGGGCGCGCTGGCGGGGACTTGGACGACGAGGAGTCGCTCCCGCCACTTGAGAAGGCGCGTCGAAGGCGGAGCATGCTGCCTGCGCGGTAGAGCTTGGGGCGGAGGGCGTGGATGGCTTGGTCGTTGAGCGGGGGCGTGCATTTGGCGCACGGTGTATGAATTGATGATTAATGTGACGGTGGCATCTCATATACTTCGTACATACTACAGCAACTGTTTCTTCCTCGTTTTCTTTTATGTCATGAGCGGTCTCCCATAGGCAGTGTTGACGTGTGGGCTTGTTCAGACCGTTCCGAGTATCCTAGACCTAAAGTAAGGTAGGCTTAGTGCAGACTCGACTATGTCAGGACTTGGTAAGGACATCGGGATGGCCAAGGTTTGATTTTTGATTTTCGCTATTTTGATGCACACTGCAGCTCATGTGGCATATTATTACTGCAAAGTGGTTGTGGGTGGTCCAGTGGTTCACTGAGTCTTCTGCTGGGCACTTCTAGTGCACTTAGGATATGTTTTTGAGCAATCATTGAGACACAGGGCTGGACATCACCATCGGCCCAAGGCCAAAATGCTGGCAGGCGCTCATGAGCCTTCACAATGGAGCTAAGTGGAGGTCGGCCCCTCTCTCTCTGCTCTCTTCCCTGCTGCTCCTCTCTTCTCTTTACTCTCCAGCTGTCCCTCCCAAATCATGGAATGCGGCAATGACCCTACTGCACTAAAGCAAGTGGACCACAATCAGGGAACAGATGGCCAAGGCCCAGGGCCCGAATGTAAGAACCCGTAGGTTCTACAGTATGCAGACCTGGATGGGTCATACATGGATGAGTCTTTGTCCTGGAGTAAAGAGACAACTGTCTCCAAGTAGTGATTTGCAAGGCCCAGCCTCAGGCCGAGCCCTAAGTAAGCTGAGCCGAGCCAGGCTTTGAGGTGGTTTAGCAAGGGCTTATTGACAACCTCAAAGCCCGGCCTGAAGTGTTGCTAGGCTGTGCAGGGCCGGCAAGCTAGGGCCTCTGTTACTATGCTAAATGGGTGTCCAAATAAGGTATGTTCTTGGTCTGCAGGGTCAGAAGCAAGGAAATTTTGGTGTCAAATCCAAGTGGCGAGAGTGTGAGGGCTGATATTGCCTTTGAGCTGGGTTAAACAAGTCCTAGGACAGAGGCATGCTTGTGTGGCATTAGCGCCAGGCCATTGCGAGTCCCACTTCAAGTGCAATGCTCGCTTGCTCCTTGTGGTTTCTGACTGACTGACAATGCATTCTATGTGTGTAAATCAAGCTTCAGAATCATTAGCACATTTTTAAACTTATATAGCTTTGCAACTCTGAGCCCCGGTTTAGCCGAGCCGGGCCCAAGCCGGCCTTGAGCCATAGCATAGGGCCCAGCTTGCAGTCAGGAGAGGCAGGAGCCCCCATAGGCCAGGCCCAAGCCCCGTCTTTCAGGCTGAGCCGGGCCCTGCAAGTCACTATCTCTGAGGTTCCTGGAGACTGGACGTGCAGGTGCGCTTAGATTAGATTGCAGGCCACATGTATCTTTATGTAAGCATACAGCACCCAAGGTTTGGAGAACGTACGCATATCCGGAACTCCACCTCCCCCCACTCCCCCCCTCAGCTCCCCCCACTCTCCCCCGGGAAGTGCCAGTCATTAGGCGCCCAAGAGCCAGCGGTTCCTGGTTCATGTTCGTGAGGTGCTCTACTGGTACCACCACGCTCCTGCGCTCCTGCCCACTACTGTACTAATCGGACCATAGCAGGGCATCACAGGTCACAGAGGCTCCCCGCCCCGCAATTTCCCTGGCTGTCCTCAGTCACAGAGGCCGCCGCTGGCTGTGACATATGGATCTCTGGCCCAAAAGGGTGTAGGTGCCCAAATGTTTCGCTCCCGCCGCTGCTCCGCTGCTCCGCTGCTGCGGTCCACGGTCACAGCACAGGGCCCCGGAGTCCCGCTATGTACCTTGGGTGTCACTGGTCACACCCGGGCCCGCTATGGTCCAATTAGTACAGTATTCTATGTTCGTATAATGTTGACTCTTCACTCTCTGGTGGCTGCCGTCTCTACTGCGCCTATGGCAATGTCTCTCTCTTTCAGTACACTACTCGCTTTTATTCGTCTCTGCAATGTCCTTCAGCTGGTCATCCTTCATCGTCTGCCTTCATCCTGGAACACCAAAGCCACACCCGCCGCGCTTCCGCCCTACATCCTGTCGTTCATCAGTCATCATGTTGGTGCTCCCGAGGAGTGCATTCAAGACACTTGGTCCGCTCTGGGCATATGGATATGGACACTGGGTGGGTCTTTGCTCTGTGACAATACAGAGCCCGCAAACACGGAGGATGGTCACTGGGAGGATGTCGACTGGCTGCTATGTACGTGCACCCCAGGATATCTCTACCACTGTTGTCTAACATTCCACAGCCGAGAATATGCTCTATCCGGAGGTTTGTGTCTGCACAAACCCGCACTGCAATCACCATGGTCAGCTGCTTCGCATGTGGGATCTGCCTACTCGTGTACAAGTGTTCACCCTCACAAAGGGCGCATATGACACTTACAGCGTCCAATTAACTTGCAAAGGTATGACTGTCATGCTCACCATTGACGCAGGCTCATGGAGTTGTGGCTGCGCAGGATGCCACTTGATATACTATCCAAACTATGTGGTCATCGGGAGTGTTTGTCAATACTACATTGGCATTCCTGACTTCATACAAGTATCAGGCCATAAGTACATTGCCCGCGACATGCTCGAACACTTTACGACCCTCTCTGTGCTGTCCTGGAACTTGTCTACCAACACCGCCCACATCTACCATGAATCCATGTCCCGGCTGAACGAAGACTCACAGAAGGAACCCCGTTTCCATCTCCGTCCGTGTCACACCTCTGACGGCTTCTATATCCTTGCACTTCTGCACAACGCTTAGACCTATGGTGGTTTCCTTGACATACCCCATACCGGGCATCAGAAGGACTGACTCACGCAGGCGTTGGAGCGCTGCAACGAACACATTTGTCAATCAGGCCAGCCGGAGTATGTGCACTGGTGCAACAAGTGTGTGCGTCGCTTTGACGATGAAGACAGCGTCTCTCGTAGGTCCCTAGTAATGCTCCCTGTAGCTGTCTGCTCATGTCTCCTTGCAGGCTTTGTCGATTGCGTGATCACAGACGGTATCAACATAGGACGGCTGTGTTGTGGTGTCCGTCATTGCACCGGCACACTCAGGACTCCACAAGATCTTTGGTGTGCCACCCACCAAGCTCAATGTACATTCTGCGTTGTAGAAGGCTGCTGTCACCATCATTGTGATGGGCACCGGACCTGCACGCTCCACGGGGGTGTTGAGGAGCATCATGTGGCCACAGGAAAGGCGATGTTCACGCTGCGCGCACGGCTCCAACGTGCTCAAGTCGCACATCCGACGGATGCTCTTGAGCCTGATGCACCTGTTACGATTGATGAGGAATGAAGAAATCGTTTCTTATGGGGTGAGCTTCCTGCCAACTCGCGTGACGCCAATCCGACCCCGTGGGAAAAAATTACTTACCCATCATTAGCTTTCTGATAGGTGCCACATACAAAATTTTGTAATGCTCACAGGGTTAGGGTTGGATTCCAATAGCACAGCTTAGGGTTAGCCTTAGAGCAGTTCTAACACGAGCTCTTACCACATGTAAAGCCTCTCCCTGGGCGCTTGTGTAACCCTACCTTGCACAGCACATGTGCCCCTCACTGCCCACTGCTGTATATGCCTATAGGCTATGCTCTGTATCAAAACATGACTTTAACACATGATATAGTGTAGCTCAAGCACTACACCCTTAGTTTCCTTTCAGAGCTATAGTCTGGTAGTAGTAGTTATATGCCATATGCCACTACAAGAGGCTAGTCAGCTATCAGTTGAGGTGTTATGTACTGACATATAGGGTGAAATCTGTTTTTGCATTCCATCCATTATTGCCAGTCACTGAACTGAGGCAATTGAGGAAATGAACTCATGCATGCATCCTGGCCTGGAATACATAAAAGGGTAAAGATGAGGTATGTCTTGAATTTAGAGTGCAATTTGAAACAAATGGAAGCCATAATAGCACCATGATGCAGTGCTTGTAAAGAGCTTCTAGATGAGGTATAATATATGCTATATGGATGAGAAATGTTGAAATAGCAAAGGAAATATTGTCATTGTAAGGTTGAAATTGAGGTATTTCCTTTTTCTATTCTAGAAATTTGCGTCAATTAGGACCATAACAACACCATGTTGTAGAGCTTGTAAAGGGCTTTCTAATGATATATAATATGTGCTTTATGGATGAGAACTGGTGAAAGTGCAAGGGAAATACTGCTAAGAAGCAGCTGCTTTTCATAAAATTGTTCTCAGGACAACGAGTGCTAGTGGATCGCACTGGCCCAGCGTGATCTACTAGCACCCATCGGACTTCACCAAATCACGCCTTGGGCGCTTATTTGGCCGATAGGATCAGGCCCTATCAACCCTTCTTTAAAATGCATTTGTTGGCCATTGATACATTATGTAGGGTATATATGACCCGGAAAACACCTCCATTGTATAGAGCTCAACCAGCGAATTCCAATGGTACATACACCATTATTTATTGGTAACCAGGGTACCTCATAAAACACAATTTGGTGTATTTTTGTATAACTCTATTGCAACTCGTTGATTATCTGCTGTGAAGGCCAAGCATTGACTAGATGGATGATTTTATATTGTAATAGTATTCTTTGTATAGGAATACACACACTACAAGAGACAGAATGTACATAGCATCACAATTGGCAGAATTGTGGACTCAACACCTGTTTGAGTCTTCTGCTTTGCAGGAGGTCTTGAATTTAAACACTACAGCAATAAGATAAAAGGCTGTGATTGTCACCATCAGGTAGAGCTCTTATATAGCTTTCTGATGGTATATAACACATCTATATTTGACAAAGGGATAGCAGAGGAATCCACCCATCTGCACTTTTGTAGCCCATTTATCAATGATGCTAGTCAGATTGGAGCGGAGATTGAATCCTGCCGCCCGGCATACGCCTGGGTCGAAAATCCGACCCAGGCGTATGCCGTGCGGCACGGTCACGTGACTCTACTGTGACCTGCTTGGCTCCAAGTCTTTATGTATGCCAACTTCACACAATGTTCACCAAATCTAACAACTGTGGTATCACCAGAAAGCTATGGATCAGGAGAATATAATGGGGTTGTTTGTATTCTGTTGTGAGCCCATCTGAGGGAACTACAAGCCAAACAAATCCCTATAAGTGACACTTGGTGACAATATGTCACTAATGGGGGATTGAAGTGGGTCTATATCAATGTATTACTGAGCAATATATAAAGTGTCATATACTGTCAGATTCAGGAAATTGAGCTCTACACAATGGTGTTGTTTGTAGGTCAATAGGGTGCCAATTGAAGGCATAAAGTGGAGTAAAAGGATGTTCAGGTCCAGATAATGCAGTTCCTTTAATGCATTGCCAGCACTATCTTCTGCCCTATATAATGAAATTGTCCTGCAATATAATAATGAAGCTAAATATATGAAGTAGTGAGTATAAAGACTAGTTATTGTGCATACACTCTGGCAACAACCTTCAGCCACAATCAGTGTTTGGTGCATCAAAGCTTGTGTATTCAATATAAATCCATGATTGTACCACCATTAGATGCACATTGAAACACCCTTTCCAATGATATATAAATGTCCTATGTTGTGGTGAGGAATGAGCCAACGGGGGGCAAAATGGGTTGCAGCTGTGGCTGAGAACAAACAAGACCACAGTTGGTGGCAGGGGAACGCAGCTTAGCGTTCCCCTGCCACCAAGTATGGTCTTGTTTGGTTCCCAACACAAATGCCTCAATATCTTAGCCCCCACTGGACCATATGTCATGAAATATATATCAACAGAAAGCTATGAATGAGCAGATTCCATATATACAAACATAATTTGAATGTGACCAATGCAACTGCCACTATACACAAGACAAGATCCTATTAGTGCCACAATTGGAAAAAGCGCCCATGGCACATGACCTGATGACATCATTGCCTTCCCCCAAGTGTTATATATCACCAGGCTCAGAACTTCAATGTCTATTAAGTGGTGCTGTTTATATGGTTATTACATGAACCTAGAAGGAGCTCAGAATATCATGAATGCAGTATTACAGGCTGTTGCACTATATTTAGCAATCTGATCAGGTGATATGGTTACACAAGATAGAGCATACAGATAATAATGGAAGCCTAATAAGATTATCACTCTGCTGAACATTGCCCTGTTGCCTTTTGAAAATAGTGCATAGTGTAAGCATCTGAAATATCATCATTGTAAAGTGTATGATCCACGACGGGCAAACGCCCGTGGCTCTGGTCCAGAATAGGCTAGGAATATGACCTGAATTGGTCTCCTGGTTCAGGACCGGAGACAGGCTAGGAGCCCAGACAATGGCGAACAAAGCGCCACTCTAATGTGAGTTGTTATCCGATAAGTAAATTTACTAACCGGGATTCCGGACCTGAACCAGTCTGGTAACAGGAGACCAGTTCAGGCGCTGTTCCTAGCCTATTCGGGACCGGAATTTGGGCCAATGCCCCTCGTGATCAAGCTATTCATTGAAGGGCTTGTTCATTGTCTATCTGATTCATTTTAAGCCATGACAGTACTTGCAAATATCAATGTCTTCCTGGGCAAACTCAAAAAATCAGCAATGGGCTGTAATGAGTAAACTCTCACCTGTAAATTGCCTGAGCTTAAGAGGAAGCCTGTAATGCTAGAGAATCAGCCCTGCTCAATATAGGAAAGGAGTGACTGTCATGTAACATGGATAAGACTACATCTATGATATAGTAAGCCAATAGTTTCACTTTATTCAAGGCTTGGGCACAGCAATGTTGATTACCATGGGGCTTTCCTAGCTGGGCACAGAGGTCAGATAACAGAAGTTTGGATTGGATCAATAGCTGAATGTGACAAATGAAGTGGAAAAGAATACTGGATGCTTGAAAACAAATACATCTGAAATATTGATCAGATATAGTTTGTATGTGTGATAAAATATTGATTCACATTGTCCTGCATATTGTGATTGGATGAAAGTGGTGCAGTTATAGCACATAATATACATCAGTGCTTATGAATCATCTGCACTGTGTGAAGGACACTATCGTCTCACATCTGCTAATGTACTTCTGCACTGGCTGTAAACAGTTTATTAGTATATTTTAATATCCAAATTGCATACACTAAACTTGCGTACATCAATAGGGTGAATCACTCAGAAAATTGTGATGTGTTGTTGCAGTGCTTTTGACACTAAGACATGCAGTATTTCTGTACTACATAGGAGTATATATTACTCCTATTTAGATAGCACAAATACCAGAGAGCAAATAACAAATGGCAGTTTGATTCAATGTCATTGAAAAATTCATTCTCATCAATCGGACCTGCCAGCCATGGCCCTCTCCACCCAAGTTGATGAAGAGGTTGAGGCTACCGTGCCCAGCCCTTGTCCGGAGAAGTCGGGTGAGGGAAACTATTGTGTCCGTGCCCACTTTGGACATCAATGGACGCATAATGAACAGCTCATCGTCTGTCCCTGTGGCATCATCACCTGCCAGGAACCTTTTACGGATCTGAGACGGTGCCGCAAGTCCTGGTTTGTTCAACTGCTATTACAATGTGAGTGCAGCTAACATGATTGTAGGACATGCTCAAGAAGAAGCACCTGGTCCCGGGGTCAATGCCCAAGTATGAGGTTGCTCTTTACAGAGTTAACTGTCGGGACAAGATCAGAGCTCAGTGACATAGCGGAGTTGCTCGAGACAATCAACATAGCCAAGTCTGCAGAGTGGAGAGTGGGAATGGAGTTACACAATGGCAGAGTAGGGACGGTATGTGGGAGGGAGCGTGCTGTTGGTGGGGTGTATGCCGCAGGCGTAGAGGGATACCCATATGCAGGCAGGCAGGCAGGACCCCCGTACATCATGCCGTTAGCAGGTACACCCAGGGGCAGCGGCATAGCTGTGATGGCACATTTCGGGTTGCCAAAGTCTTGCGCTCTGATGGTCCTAAGACAATATTTAGTAGACAATACATAAACTGCCAGCGAGACCTACTGCGTGCAGGGGAGAGGGACAAAACTCTGCTTGCCCGGGGAAAGCCTAGATTCTCATTGTTAGAGCAAGCTATAATGGAAGGTAAAAGGAAAACGTACGTCTTAACCTTCTTCACAGGAGAGATTCTGGGTAATGTTGTGTTAGTATCATCGTAATCAACACTGATGTTTGCGCACCTATCATCCTCGGAGTCCTCAGAGTCCACCCTAATTGGATGATCAGTATGACAGTATAACATATAATAATAACGTGGTACACTTACTGCTTGGCACACTTAGCAGGGGTGGACTTTGGCTTGACGGCTCTGCCACGACCGGCCTTGCTGTGGCAAAGTATTAGATGACAGATAGCAGCAACACAGCAGAGTAATAACACTCACACAGGTGACGGAGTCTTCGGGGTAGACGGTGGGCTAGAATTGGCAGCACGGCTGCGTCTGCAACATACAATATTAGAGAAGCACAGCATAAAGTGAAGACACATACCCAATCTTTGGGGTCAGCTCAACCTCCTGGCAGCTGTCTTCTTCGTCATCGCTGCATGCAGTGTTAGATTTGCATGGGGCTGATGTCGCATATCTTACCTGATCGTCATGACATCCGCAGAGACACTTTCGTTGTCACTGTAAGGATACCCTTCAGAACTGAAGCACATTGAACAAAAAACCATGCAGAGCAACATACGAGGTGTTGTCAGCAGCAGCCTCCTCCATGCCAAGGTCAGACTCTGTCTGGATGTCGGACTCGTCGGAGGCTTCCTCGGCGTCGCTGTCAATGGCCCTCGCTGCCTTGCCACGGACAGTCTTCCCTCAAAGGCAGCTCAGAAAATTGTGATGATAAGACAAGAGCGATACTCACTTAGTGGCAGACACCACTGGGGCCTTGCGAGCAGGAGCTGCGGTCTTGCGCCCTGCAGCAGCCTTGGCACCTTTAGCCTGAGCCGGAGCAGCAGCCTTCTTGGCGACAGCCTTCGGACTGCAGAAAGGAGTATACCGCAGCAATATAGTACACACAAAAGACACTCACGCCTTTCCACTGGTGCTAGCAGTGACACAGGTGCGGGTAGTATGTCCGGCCATGGGGATAGATGGTGGGGTGGAGAAGTGGAGGGGGAAAGTAAAAGAGGCTGAGAAGAGTGTTGGGGAGGGCTCGAGGTGAGGAGGACTCTGCCTGGTTCTGCTGCCCTCCGGCCCTTTTATCCTTCTCAGAAGTGGGGTTCGGCGATATCGCCAGAGTTCTGGGACCTCGCTGTGCTCGCTTACCAGTGTTGGGGACAACGTGTTCCATTCCGTGATGAGTGCCCTCCCGTGAACGCTGCCTGCAGAGCGACACCCCGTGCACCAACTCTGTACCCCCCATACCAGTGAAATTGCATACATATGTACCAGAATACACGGTGCATCCATGGACACAGTAGGCGCACCTTTGTCAGGATCCTGTCTGTGCAAGACTTGTGGAGTGGTGGTTTGAAATTCACATATGTGGGTGCAAATTTGAAATGGCTGCGCTGATGCAGCTTCTGGGAACTAGGATGGGCATCCCCAAAGTCCCAGCCGGTCTCCTGTCTGCTGTCAGCTCACAATTGGTGAGGCGAGCAGTGTGATGGTGAGAAAGCCGGACATTTCTCCCCAAAGGCGGAACATGCCTGAATGGGACATTGTCAAGAGCGCATGTCGCAGTAGGTCATGACTTGTGCTGACTGCTGCTTCTTTCCTTCTTGACTCTCACCAGAAATCATGTCCTTCCTCACCCACCTCTATGGGAATGTTGCCAAGTACCGTGAGTGTGTGCATCGACCAGGCCAACAGAATACTCACCAAATTTACTAGAGGCTCTGCTCCTGGACTGCATGAGCAGGAATGCAGAGTCGGCTCCTCCATTCATGCAGCTTTCAAGCCTGTCCAATGTCAGTGCCACTGCAGTCTGTTTTAAACACCCCTGACCTGTTTGACAGCCTGCACGTCTTGTCAGCAATGTCGAGATACTAGAGCAGCGGGATGGCAGATTGCTTACGCTTATTCAACAACAACCATCCCGCTCCACTAGTGTTCACCATGGGTAAACCCCCGGGTACCGCCAGCCAACCCGCACCCGTACCCGCGGCAGGGACGACCCACGGACCCTCGGGTTGTGGAGGGTACAGGTGTAGGCGCCGGGTACGAGGGTATCACGGGTCCTATACCCGCGGCGGGTTACCCCCGGGTTAGGGCTAATTCCACTAAGTCCAAAACACACAGCTGGGGCAGGCAGAACGAGTCGGCGGACACATTCATTCACATACAACACGATAACATGGTGCTAGGTACTACCATAACCCTACTCGCTGACGGTCTCGAGTGACAGAACGTCACTGAGACATCCATCCTCATCGACGGTGTTGCGGACTGCCGTAATGCCGTCGCGCGCCTCGATGGACTTGTTGTGAGGGACAGAGCATGCGCCGAGGTCGGCCATACGAGCGGGGTGACTCACGCGCCAAGCTCTAGATGCCTGGAATCTGAGAGTTAGTGAACACATGTCGGCAGGAAGATGCGTGCGCGTACTCACGCGGTACTCCTGCTTGGCCCAGTCTGTGATGAGCGCCAGGTGGCACTCATCCGTGAGGCCTTTGGTGCGCGCGTACACCTCGAGCTTGTTGATGAAGCGAGCCCAGTCGGACTCGTGCTCAGCCGAGGCGGTCTGCTCGCTGAAGTGGATGAGAGTGCGGGCGAGACGGCACATGATATCGCGCTGCCGTTCGGTGACACCAGCGGGGATGATGCCATGGCCGTTTGGGGCATCCAAGACCTCGAGCCACCCCTGCCAGTGCTCGCGCGACGTCATAAGGTCACTGTAGACCTCCGGAAGGGTGAACTGCAGAAGAGGGGCCTGTCAGTGTATGTACATACCTACAAATACAACGTAGTACTCACATTGACTTGGGCGTCCTTGTCCTCCAGGCGGGCGACAAGACTCGTAAAGTGCCTGTGGTTTGGGCTCGTCCACTCATCAATAGTCAGCATGAGCGTGGGGAGATAGGGCTCCTCGCCCTCGTTGGTTGCCGCCTCAGGCCCTGTGTTGTCATCCGTGGGGGCGTCATGCTCCTCGACGGCATGCGCGAGCTCAGCGGGGGCAGCTTCGGTGGGCGCGTCGTCCGGTGCGAGCATAGCAGGAGGGGTTGGATCAGGCTGCATGGGCGGAGAATGGGACGGGGCACAAGTACACGGCGCGCCGTTGGACAGGAAGATATAGGATCGCAATGCTCGCCATGATCAGATCCGGCTCCGCGGTAGATAGGTACGGTATGCGCGCAATAGAACATGGTCGTGGTCGATGGAACTTGGCCGTATATTGGCAGATCATGTACCGCCGCATGTCGTGCACAACACGGCACCGATCGAGCGCACTGCACTGCAGAATAATCAGTACATGCCTGTAAATGGTTAGTACACAGTGGGCACAATGCAGAGTGCTCATAGATAGTTATCAATCATGGTGGATGGTGCATACAGTACTGCAACACATTGCTCAGAAACATCAGACAGAATGAGTGCGTACAAGCTACCGGTAGTGGGAATTAGATCAGCCCTTCCTCGTCGTTCTCGCCGTCCTCGCCGTCCGGCTGTGCCGTGACTGCCTTGAGGTCGCCAATGTCGATGAGATCGTGCTCGCTCCAGATGCCAAGGCACATCGCTGCACGTGTCGTCTCGGTGGTCATCCTGTTCCGAACGTGCGAGAGGAGCACCCTCCCGCGGCTGAAAACGCGCTCCACATCGACCGCAGTTGCTAGAGCGGAGTGTCAGTATGGAAGAACACAAATTAGAAAGGATACTACTCACTGGGGATGGTGAGATAGTCGATGGCCATGCGGGAGAGGCGGGGATAGGCCTTGCGACGGTCCTGCCACCATTGGATGGGGTTTGTTACCGGCACAGGGTCGGAAGCGAGGTATCGCTTCAGCTCATCCCCTTCTTCAACGACAGGTCCGACAAAGGGCAAGTTGTCGAACATGTTCGATGACTTGCCCTTCTTTGACGACTCACCCTTTGCGGTAGCCTGTGCGCGAGCCTTGACCCTTGATCCCTGCAGTAGCAGGTCAGTTCTCTGTATATACGTAGGAGAAATTACATACCTGGGAGCGCGACGGGCCTGGCGCATTGTTGACGTCCATGCCGCTATTGTCCTGCTCGTCGCTGTCATCCTCAAAGTCATTGTCGCCGTCATTGTCGCCTTCCTCGATGTTGTCTTCGGGCTCAGGCACCTTAGTGTACGAGGTGTCGAACCGATTACGCACAATTTCCTCGGCGACTTCGATCCACTGAGGCTCCCAGCCGGCCTTCTTGAAGTACGTGTACTTGTAGGCGGGATGCAGCACTGTACAAGAATGATTAGCGGTTAGAAGACTTCAAGAACGTTCACACACGTACCCATAGCGATGCGATAGGCCTCCGCGCTATCTGTCAGCTCGTAGTACTTGTTCAGGGTGCGTTTGGCGATGCCCATGGCGGTGCGGATGGCATAGTCATACTTAGTGGTTTCCCGGTGCTTGGTGCCAAGTTGGAGGTCGATCATATCCATCGCCGGGATGACAGTGGCAAGGTTAGGCGTGCCACGCGAGAAGAATGCGGTAGCATCTTTGAAGACCTGCAAGGAGGAGGGAGGAGGGGAGGGAGGAGAGAGGTGAACGAGCGTCAGCACAGCGGTATCGTGGCAACTCAAATAAGGTTCAAACCTTAAGCGTGTCAGCCAGCTGGGACACGATCTCCCACTCCCGCGTTGTCAACTCGAACTTGCGCAAGCCCAGCTCCCGGTCTGCACACACCGTATCGACTACGACACAGTATTTAATCGCGAAGATCAACATGTCATAGGTCGAGTTCCAGTGCGTTGACACGTCCCTTGGCATCACCCTCTCGGGCAGCCCAGCCTCTGCGACTCGCTTCTTCCATGCGGGCAGGAGAATCGTGCTGGAGTTGACGATCTTGAAAGCCAGACGACGGATCTACAGGAACAGGTGAGCTAATCCATACAAGGCCAATTGTGAGGCATCCGCACCTTGGTCAGAGTCATACGCACAGGACGCATGCGCTCCTGGAACTGAAGCCGCTTCGCATCGGTCATGGCGGCAATCTCGTCGACCCAGCCATCCTCATCATCCGCATGGAGCGCAGAGAGAGGGTTGAATGTGTCTCCGGTGTCATCAGGTACGTCGGCGGCATCCTGTGCCTCGTTCTCCGCCTCCTTGCTATCGGCTGCCAGCTCATACAACTCGCGGTCCTGCTTGTCGATATTTTCGGTCGCCTTGGCCTTAGGGACGTCAAATTGGCGAAGCATCGACTTCGCAACAAGATTAACAACATGCGCAAAGCACCGAATGTGCCCGATCGAGCCCTCGAACTCGACAACATTGAGGCCAAGTGTATCAATCATGACGTCGTTGTTGGAGGCGTTATCGCATGTCACGCCGAGGATCTGATAGCTCCGGTAAGTCATCATACACCTCGTACATCTGCTACAAGCATTGCTGACCTTGTCTTCGATGCCGAAGCTCTCCAGGACGTTCTCGAAAGCGGCCGCCAGCGTCAACCCGGAGTGCGACTAAAAATGACGGTTAGCAAAGACATGGGTGGTGAGCAGATAAGTAGGTACCTTGGGCACCTCTACGAGGTTGAGGAGCATACTGATGGGCTCCCCGCGCAGGACAAAGTGCACGCTAATGGCAACAAACGCGCGATGATTTGGGGAAGTCCAGGCGTCTGTGGTGAAGCTGAGGCGCCCATCGTACTCCCTGAGGAGGTGCCTGATGCGCGCCCGCGTACGCGTGTACACTTGTTTGATGTTGCGTGCTACGGTGGTGGGCGACGGGACCCAATAGCCCGGACGTCCTGTCTTCATGAGGGAGAGAAAGCCTCGATCCTTCACAATCAAGAATGGCCGCATACTCTCGGTCACCCATCGGACGATCTCGATGCTATCAATTGCTCAGCTGACATTCCACAGATACAATGGATCACTTACCGAGTCTCGGAGCGAGTGTGCGTGCGGTGAGAGTACAAAACTGCCCCTTTCTTCCGCCTGAACACGACTGAAATGTCTCCGTCTTGCAGCACCCCCGTCACCAGCTTGCGTGCTTCTTCGACGTTCAAGGCCTCCTCGGCCCGCTTCAAGACCTCCGGCCCCCAGCACTTACGTACATGGCGGCGGAGGTTGTTCGTCAAGGACCTGTTGCCCTTGTCGAGGAAGCGGCGACAGGTCTTTTTGCACCCCTTGGCCATGCATCGGAAGAGATGCGTACGCCGGCCATTGACATATTCGATGATCGGGTCGGGGTGGTAGAAAGCATACACGGGGGACGTCCATTTCACTCGGAGTCGTTCTGTATGCGCTAACGTCAGCTTTACCAGAACCTGCGAAACTAGTCAACACGCACCAAGCTCCTCTTCGGAGTCCTCATCAACCTCGTTGGCTGTGCTCCGCCCCTTCCCCTTCCCCTTCTCTGTGCCCTTCCCCTTCTCCGCGCCCTTCCCCTTCTCCGCACCCTTCCCCTTCGACTTTGGGCCGTCATCGACAAGCATGACCTCCTCGCGCTCAAGCTCGGCCTCCTCCTCCTCTTCGGACCGGCAGGTGGTCTTGCGGCTCACATTCGAGCACAAACTGGCCTCGCGCGACACCTTGGAACCTCCCGACGGTGCGGGGAGGCCCTCGTTGTCCGTCGCTTCAGCGGTGTCAGCGATATCTTCGTGAGGCTTACCCTTATCGGCACGAGCATTGACCTGACCGCTCTCCGCAGTACGCGCCTTTTTGGGCCCAGTCACGCCGGTCGACATCATGGTGATGCGGCGCTTCTTGTCGTTGCGCGGGGCGGTGGAGGCGGCGGCAGAGGCAGCAGCGGAGGCGGTGGACTTCGTCATAGCGGCAGGGTAGATAGCAAAGGGGTTGGGTTTGAGAGTAGAGCGGGTAGGTTTGTGAGTGAGCAAGGGAATGGGGATGCGCCTGACATGGGCACGGTTTAAATATTTCTCGTTGACTAGGGCAGGCTTGACAACGTTGCGCGAGGAGGAGCCAGAGCCAGCTGCCAACAACTGGCAAATCTGAGTGCGGCAAGGTCCCATCATGGCCGGGGCTCGGAATAAATATATTATACGCTCTGTTGCTCAACGCGGTGTGCGCAACACAGCGCGCGTTAGTATCAAGACACAGCCACATGCTGCCTCCGGGCGTTCAGTAGGTGATTAGATAAGACAGGTCAAGCGCGGGTTGTCGTGCGGGCACAGGTACGGGTTGTATGTACTGCGGGCACGTAAATCTCGACCCCTACCCTTACCCGCTATACCCCTACCCGTAACCCGCCACGGGTGCCCGTACCCTTGGTGAACACTACGCTCCACCCCTCCCGAGGAGCTCATGCTGCGTGTGCAGGGTTTTCTTGTTGAGTCTACTCTGCCTCCTATCAGGCGTAACCAGTGAGTGCTTGTACCCATCTCTCGTCAGCCAAGCATCAACAGTTGTGTCAGACTCCCATCAAACCCGAACCGGCTCATTGATCTCAGGCAAACTGTAACTGTGAGCGGCCTGGGCGTGGAGCCCTTTGACGGTGCAGTCAGTGCAGTCATGACCATCTATCAGCATTTTTGTGCGCACCTTGTCGGACACAATTTGCGCACCTGGAGCACATCACATCTGGAGAACCACCTTACGCTTTCCTTTGGGAATCGGTACCTCACTGCTTCAAAGTTTGCTGAAGGCGAACCACGGGGTGATCTCAGCAATGTCGTGGACCCCTTCTATATTCTGCAGCCCCGTCTCACCAGTCAGGTCCATCTGCAAGAGAATGTGGTTGAGTACTGGGAGCAAACAGTGACAGAGAACCAGGGCAGGTGTGTTGTTAGTGAATGTTTGCAATTGTGTTGATCTCTGACAGTGATCAGTTCCTTCCGCCGCATCAAGCCGGATGTAATCTTCCCCGGCACCATGGTTGAACTCCAGATTGCCTTTGTGGCTGTCAAGGTTGGGTGTCATGAATATATATTCCTGCCGAAGCTGTGGGCGATTTGTGTCCTTAGTCATGCAGTGCAATTGGTAATTAAGGTGTCTCTGTTTAACCTTCACCATGCTCATTACATGCAGGACTATAACTCATTGGCCTTGAGAGATCTAAGCCTATGTGCTGTCTCGCCACTCAAGAAGGTCAAGCGCAAGGTGGGGTATGGAGAGCAGGAAGAGACAGGGATGGAGGAGTCACGTTGGCAGCTGAAGAGAATGTCCTTGCAGGATGGTGGTGTTAGATGCGCAGATGAGCCTACGTCTGATTAATCAGTCTGGTATTACAAGTTCATATATCTCATGTCTGTGAACTATGAGTGAACCTGTCATGTCAATGATGGCAAATCAAGTTTTGCTAGTATACAATACAAGAAAATACTCGGACTCCAAAGGAACGGTCAAAGTCATATATATCTAGGAAGTGTCCATCCCTTCTAGCGCCTCTTTGGGGCCTTCTTCTTCTTCGCGTTCTTCGCAAGCTCCTTCTCAAATGCCTTGACCTTTCTCTCCACATGCTGATACTTGCATAGAAGGTGCTCGAACATGATAGGATCAAATGTCATTTGGGAACGTTCATCGGGGGTGAAGGAGTCGTGGAGGGAGTTGTAGAGGTTGACTGCAGCACTCTGGATAACATCGACAGAATGCTTGTTGGTGGCTGAGTGGAGAAGTCCAAGGGAGCTGAGACCAGAGACAGCGCCTTTGGAGATCTGATAGATGATTGCTCCCATTTCTGTGATGTCAGGCATCTTGACCTGGCCCGAGTAAATGAGATCTGAGGTGATGAGGGATGCTATGAGGGGACCAATACCGTGCAATTTGGTGAAGAACTTGTGGGCCTCAAGATATTCCACCCGCTCCCTATCGCCCAACAAAGCTTTCCACCCCTTCTCTGCTGCAAAGTAAGCCTCAGCAAACTTGAGCTCTTGGTTGCGTGCAGTCCCGTAGGCGTTGAGGTTGCAGACGTAGAGAAGAAGGGCACAGCCAGTGAGCTTCAAAGACCCGGAGAGGTGGTTGATTTTGGCTTTGAATGAAGCATAGTCCCAGAAGAAGAGATTGCGAAAGCTGGTGGAGTCCATGAGCTTTTCAGACCAACTTGACCGGTAGGAGAGAGCGCGCCAGCAGATATGACTTCCCAAAGCCCCGGGCTGACCAGCACGCTCTGGATCAAGGAAGGTACACTTGTCTCGAGCAGCCAGGACCTGTGGAGCATGTTGGCGGAAGGGGAGGAAGAAGTTGAGGTCTTGAGAGACTACAATTTGCCAAGGGCTCTCGCAGTTATCCTCCTGAACTTTGTCTGATGAAAGGAAGATAAGGAGGGAGCGGATGAACGTCTCGAGAGTCTTGGCAGCGGTGGTGGTTGGAGACAGGGTGGAAACACGGCTGCGCGGGGAAGAACCTGAGGGACCAGCCTCCAGTTCCATCACATGCGGACGGGGAGCAACCGCTGTACTCCCGCTGAGAACCTGTTTCCAGTTCTCACGGTAACTTTCCAGCTGTGTGCAAATCTGCTTGTACAACTTGGCCTCAACTGAGTCAGTGTTGGCCAACAGGAGACGTTGCAGGTCCTTGAGGAAGTCATTGAGCAGGTCAGGTTGGAAGTTGACGGAAGTGAGAGTGCAATCATTGCCAGAAAGACAGGTTGCACGTGCATTGCGGAAGGCTGCCCAGATTCCCGGGAGAAGAAGAACATCAGAGCCAAAGGTCATGACCAGATGGCGCACGAAGGTACCTTGAACTCGGCTCATATCCCGGGATGGGTAGCGGAGCCAAGTCCACAAGGTTTTGTGAGCGATGGAGATAATGCACTTCTTGCACGCGCTAGACTGCAAGCGTCCACTGATGGCATGGAAGTTGACCACAGGATCATCCTGAAGCTCGAGGCCATATGAAGAGGGCTTGAAAGTAACACGCAAGTTACTCCCAACATAGGCTTGTACGTCCGCCAGAGAGTGACCAAGCCATGCTCCACTGCCAGTGACCTCCGTTGCTATTGAAGCTATAGGTAAGGACCTGTCTCTGAAGAGCGGAGAAAGCAGCAATTACTCATGTACCATGATAAGCGCTTTCAACTTGAGCCATTATTTCCACCGGTTGCATTAAACCATGAGCAGATCAAAAAATCCACCGCAGCAGGATATTTGCTAGCAGACAAGAGCAAGTTTGGAGAAAGAGCTAACAGGCAGACTCGACCTTGGCAGACATTATTCAGCGGCTTAGCACTGGGTCCATGAAACTTGGGTGGAGAGGGCCATGGCTGGCAGGTCTGATTGATGAGAATGAATTTTTTAATGACATTGAATCCAACTGCCATTTGTTATTTGCTCTTTGGTATCTGTGCTATCTAAATAGGAGTAATATATACTCCTATGTAGTACAGAAATACTGCATGTCTTAGTGTCAAAAGCACTGCAACAACACATCACAATTTTCTGAGTGATTCACCTTATTAGTGTATGCAATTTTAGTATATGCAATTTGGATATTAAAATATACCAGTATATCTGTTATAAACTGTTTACAGCCACTGCAGCAGTACATTAGTAGATGTGAGACAATAGTGTCCTTCACACAGTGCAGATGATTCATAAGCACTGATGTATATTATGTGTTATAACTGCACCACTTTCATCCAATCACAATATGCAGGACGATGTGAATTAATATTTTCTCACACATACAAACTATATCTGATCAATATTTCAGACATATTTGTTTTCAAGCATCCAGTATTCTTTTCCGCTTCATTTGTCACACTCAGCTATTGATCCAAACTTATATCATCTAACCTCTGTGTCCAGCTAGGAAAGCCCCATGGCAAATTTGTAATGTTCACAGGGTTAGGGTTGGGTCCCAATAGCACAGCTTAGGGTTAGCCTTAGATCAGTTCTAATCACAATTCTTACCACATGTAAAGCCTCTCCCTGGGCACTTGTGTAACCCTAGGTCGCACAGCACATGTGCTGCTCACTGTCCACTATGCCTATAGGCTATGTATGTTACAATTGATGAGGAACGAAGAAATCGTTTTTTATGGGGTGACCTTCCTGCCAACTCGCGACACCTCAATTGATGCCCGTGGGAAAATATTTTGAAACTCCACTAATCAGCCATTAGTGTTGAGATAGGCGCCACATACATTCTCCGCTTACAAACCCAGGGTTAGGGTTCTCCTCCATTAGGAATTTTAGGGTTAGACACTAGATTGCTGCACACAGCCACTCTGACCATCTGCTAATGAGGCTCTAATGCTTCCCAGTAGGTGTCTATGTAACCCTAGGTGGCACTACACACCTGTGGCTTCATGCACACTCAAATGCAGGCTATAACAAACATCTATATAGACTCAAACACAATGTGCATCATAGCATAAGGGTATATCTATATAGTTTACATTACTAGCAATTGTGCTAGTAGTGGTGAAGGGTCTATGATTATTCCTGCCAAGAGAGAACACTGATCACGTATTTGAGGGGTGGTTATGTGTACACATAGGACATGCTATAGTGCCATGATATATGTGATTGTATCTCTTTCATCTATGGCAGTTACTAGAGTGATTGAAACTGCAGTTTATCTACTCTGTCTTTGTTTAAAAGACTAAAATCAAAGTATTTCCTTTTTCTGTTGCCCAATGTGGAGACAATCAAAACCACAACAGTGCCATATTGTAGAGCTTGTAAAGGGCTTTCTGATGATATATTATATGTGCTATATGGATGGGAACTGGTGAAACAGCGAGGGAAATACTTCTAAAAAGCGGCTGCTTTTCAAAAAATCTTTCTAAGTACCACGAGCACTAGTAGATCGCGCTGGGCCAGCGCGATCTACTAGTGCCCATTGGACTTCACCAAATTATGCTTTGGGCGCCTATTTGGCCGGCAGGATCAGGCCCTGTGAAGCCTTCTTTAAACCGCATTCATTGGCCATTTATACATTATGCAGGGTATATATGATCCGGAAAACACCTCCATTGTATAGATATTGGCGAGCAGGTTCTGATGATATGCATATCAACATTTATTGATAAGCAGACCACTGCAGGAAATCTGATTTCGCACATTTTATACCACTTTGTAGGCCAATACTGCTCCTGTGTTGTTTATAGCCCACAGTGTGCCCAGGTATTTATGATGTGTCTACATGACATTGCTGTCTTGGTACTAGGATGACTGCAGAAACAATAATGTATATATACCAAAAACTGACAGAGATATGGGTTTAATCATGCCCACTTACCTCTTTCTGGTGTTGTATTGAGGTATTACATTGCTTGTATAGCGGAATTTTCTGGGTACACTAGTATCATAGCATCACCATTGAATAGAG